TTTTTTAATTTTTATTTATTTATTTTTAGAAAATCAATCATTTTCATAAAATAAATTCAATGGAATTTCCTAAAAGAGCATTTTCTATAAACATTCCAATAATTTTGTATACAAATTTCAAAATTTCTATGGAAAAATTTAAAAATCAGTGATCAGTGATTTATATACCCATCACCACACTGTGGTACACAGGGTATTGTGTATTTGTACATATGTCTTTAACAGACAAAAGGCAACGAGATAGACCCATGGTTCCTTTTGAAAATATGCATAGAATCACTTTATGAGTCGATTTATGTATGTCCGTCCGTCTGTCTGTCCATGTTAAATTGGTCGCATTTATATTCCGATTTGGATGAAATTTGACAAAGCACATTTATTTGGTCCTATGACGAACCCTATTGAAATTGGGAAAAATCGGTTCAGATTTAGATATAGCTCATATATATAGTTTCGACCGATTTAGGGTAAATGGTGCGTCAAAGTCCCTCATTATCTTTCGATATGCACGAAATTTGGCACAGGGTACTGAAATGAGTATATAATTATGTGTGCTAAGTTTCGTGAAAATCGGTTCAGATCTACATATATAGCACCCATATATAATTTTCGTCCGATTTAAGGTAAATGGTGCGCCAAAGTACCTCAATATCTTTTGATATGCACGAAATTTGGCATAGCGTACTAAATTAAGTCTAGAATGATGTGTGCTAAGTTTGGTGGAAATCGGTTCAGATTTAGATATAGCTCCCATGTGTATTTTCGTCCGATTTAATTTAAATGGTGAACCAAAGTCGCTATATATTTTTCGATTTGCACGAAATTAGGCATAGCGTACGAAATTATCTCTGAAATGATGTGTGTTAAGTTTCGTGAAAATCGGTTCAGATTTAAATATATATCCCTTATATATTTTCCTCCAATTTTAGGTACATGGTTCGCCAAAGTCCCTAAATATCTTTCAATGTGCACGAAATTTGGCACAGCATACTGAAATGAGTCTATAATGATGTGTGCTAAGTTTCGTGAAAATTGGTTCAGTTCTAGATATAGCTCCCATATATATTTTCTTCCGATTTAAGCTAAATGGTTCGCCAAAGTCCCTACCCTACACAACTATGTTGTCAGAGTATTATAGCTTTGTGCAGCCCCAAGAGTTTGTAACGCCGCGAAATATTGGTCCTAGACCCACCGATTGTCATATCTCGACTAGCTGAGTCGATCTAGACATGTGTGTCCGTCCGTCTGCCCATTATAATTTGTAAACACGATACAGACCACAGTTATGGACCAATCTTCGCAAAATTTTGCATGTATGATGGGTTCTGACCAATGAAGATCCCTATTGTTTTTGGTAAAGATCGGTTTATATTTTGGGGATGAAATGGACCAAATACTTAATTTTTGTCGGTTTTTCGCTGGTCGCTACAGAGGCCGCAATTATGTCCCGAACATCGGGAAATTTTACATGGAGAAGGGGGTCGGCCCAAAGAATAAGCATGCATGTTGCATGCCTGTTTTGATAAAGATCGGTCAACAATTTTTTTTTTTTTTTTTTTGAGGCGATCTATAGGACACAATTACAACTATCATGAAATATTGCCCAGGCTCGGAATAAAAATCAACAGAAAGTTAGAGTTCTGTGGTAGTTGTGTAGGGCATTGTATGGTCGGCCCCGTCCGACTACACTGCTCCGCTCACTGGTTTTTTAATAATTCTGTATTAATTCATTTCTGTATAGAAAAAATTTTTTAGTGACTTTTAATTGTTTGTATCGGAAAAAGATTTTTCAAAGTTTCGTTAAGATTTTTCAAAGTTTCTATATAGAAAATTTTATCAAAATGTGGTAGATTTTCTTTTAGGAAAATGCCGTTAAAATTTTGTGAACATATTATTTGACAATAGAGAATTTTCTGTATTTATTTGAATTTCGTATCCAATTTGTAATCCCTATTGGACACATTTTCTATGTTTGAGAATACCATTTGTTCTGCTACCATGTTTGGCCAAAAATATCTCAAATTCTTAGATGAGAAGGGACAAACATACGCACCCATATGTCTCACTACTCGCCCGCAATCTGTGTACAATTAATAATATTTGCCTACAATTGTTTGGTTCTTTCCATCTGTCGCACAATTTGTCTGCCTGACTATTTGTCTGCTAGACTAACTGTCCGTCTGTCCATTCGCCGGTTTTATTTGTGTATAATTTCCCCACCATCGAATTTTCATGTTCATGTTCTTCAAAGTTGTTCGCAAATGAACACCCAAGCGAACAGGGCAACACGCACAATATCTATCTTACTCTCGATGGAGCTGTTGTTGTAATTAAACATACAAGTGCAACAACAATAACAACAGCAACAATGACGATAATAAATCTCAATATTATAAACATTGTATGAGAACATTGTACAACAACAACAACATCTACAAACATGCCATTTTTAAATCTTTCACATTTTGTTGCGGCTTTTTGTTGGTGTTGTTGGGGATTTATTTTTTGTTTTTATTGTTGTTGTTAATAATTAGCCAGGGCAATTATTTTATAAATATATTATTTCATTTCACTGGACGGGATTTGAGTTTGGGGGCGATTTTAAATGATGGGTAACAGGATGGTTTTTTTAATTTTTAATAGCTGATATCGGAAATATTAATTTACGGGCGGGCTTATTTTTGTTGTTTGTAACCGCAGGAGGCCTGGCGAAGGTATTCCATCTCCTATAATGAATATTCTATCTCCTGAAGACCTGTTGAACTTCTTCTATTTCCAGAAGACTGTCAAAAAGGCTTCTATCTGAGAAAACTTGCAGAAGATCCTCTATCTATAGAACACCCGGAATGTTCTATAGATACAAGATCATCTGCAGGCCTTTTATGCAAACAGGAAAGAGAAAAACTTCTACTGACCTTCTGGAGATAGAAGTTTTTCGAAAGGATTCCTGCAAATGGAATGATAACGCTTTAGCGAATTTTAATCGTTGGTATCGGAAAAATTATTTAGGGAAATTAATTTTTCTAAAGGCCCTTCCAGGTCTTCTATACACAAAATATCTTCCCCAAATCTTTTATTGATGTAGGCTTTCTACAAGTCTTCTGGTAATATAAGTCCCCCTTCTACATGCCTTCTAAAAATAGAAGACTTTCAAAAAGTCTTCGGGAGATAGAAGACCTTATATAAGCCTTCAGACAATAGAAGAACTTCTACAGACATTCTGCAGTTGGAAGATTTATCGACAAGACTTTTGGAGATAAGGGACTTTCGACGGGCATTTTATAGAAGCCTTCCGTAGATCGAGGCTTTCTGGCTTACCAATTAACCGAATTTTATTTGTTGGCGTCGGAAAAATTCTTTAGGGAGGTTAATTTTGTATAGAAGCCCTCCTTCCAGGCCTTCTATAGATAGAAGATCTTTCGCAAGTGTTTCACAGTTGGAAACTCTTCTACCAGCTTTCTGGAAATAAAAGGACTTCCACAGATCTTCAGGAGATAAAGGATCCTTTACAGGACTTCTGGAGATGGAATACCTTCGCCAGGCCTTCGGAGTTTAAAACCCCTTATACATGCCTACTTTTGGAGATAGATCTTCCACAGGGCTTCTTGTGATAAAAAAAAACCTTCGACAGTTCTTCCACTGGCCTTCTACAGCTAGAGGCCTTTAATCACAACTTATATATCTATAAACAATTTCGTAGCCCTTCTATAGCTAGAAACCTTTCCGAAAGCCTTCGATAGTTTATAATCCTTACCCATTCCCTTTGTAGCTAGTAACCCTCCCACATGTTTTTTATAACGAAATCCCTTCTAGAGGCCTTTTACAGGACTCGACAGCCTTTCCACAGGCCTTCGATAGGCCTTTTGTAGCTGGAAGTCCAATTTCGTCAATTAGAAACCCTTTGACAGGCCTTCTATGACTATAAGCCCTTAGACAGGCCCCGACAGCCTTTCCACAGGCCTTCGATAACAAGAAATCCTTCCATAGCTAGTAGCACTTCGACATGCCTTCTATTACTAGAAGTCTTTGACACGTTTTCTATGACTATAATCACTTCAGCAGGCCTCCGCAGCCTTTCCACAGGTCTTTGGTAGCAACAAATCATTCCATAGGCCTTTTTAGCTAATAGCTCTTCGACAGGCTTCCTATTACTAGGAGCCCTTTGACAGGCCTTCTATGACAATGAGCCCTTTGACAGTCCTCCTAAAACTATAAGCCCTTTGACAAGCATCGACAGCGTTTCCACAGGCCTTTGGTAGCAAGGAAACCATTCGACAGACCTTCTATAAGTAGAAGCCTTCGACTGGCCTTCCGTAACTAGAATCCATTCGGTAGGCCTTCTATGACTAGAAGCACATCGAGAGAGCTTTTATGACTACATGTCCTTCGACAGGCCTTCGATAGCAAGAAATCCTTCCATAGGCTTTTGTAGCTAGAAGCCCCTCGACAGGCCTTCTTAACTAGGATCCCCTTGACAGGACTTCTATGACTAGATGTCCTTTGACAGACATTATATAATTTGAAGTCATTCGATAGGCCTTCCACAAGCCTTCAACAGCTGAGCCTCCTTCCACAGGCCATACCTAGAAGTCCTTCCACGGTCCTTCAACAACTATGCGTCCTTCCACAGGTTTTCCTGAACCTCGAAGTTCTTCTAAGATCGTCTAAAGCAAGAAATCTTCTGCAGTTATTATATAGCTAAAATTTATTCTCTCGTATTTTTTAACTGCAAGTCATTGCACGGGCCTTCTACAGCTGGAGGTCCTGCTAATGGCCTACTATACATAAAAGTCCTTAAACAGGCCTTATAAAGCTATATATATTTTAATGGACCTTCAATAGATCCCTCCGAAGATTTTTTAGTGATATACAACTTAAGGGAATTTTTCCCCAGGCCTACCCTCGGGTTTTACAGACCAATGCCTTCCATATTTATTTTATTTTCTCTGATCAATTTCCTTTATTCTAATTATCCCCATTTCTCCCCTTCTTTTTTCCAGTTACCTGTTGCTGAAAAACGTGTCGACGATGATATGGTCGGCGACAATGAAATCAACACCGAAAACAGTATAGACAATGACGGTGGTGGCGGAGGAGGTGGTGGTATCGGCGGCGGTGGTGGTAGTGCCGCCAATCGTGATGATAATGCCCTGGTGGGACAAATTGGCCATGGCTTTGTTAGCGGTGGCATTTCAGCGACATATCGCAGTACAGTGCTGCGCAAATGGTATTCCGCACCAACCGTACACGAACAGAAGGGCAAGCCGGGTGAGCTGGGAAAACCCGTGAAAATTCCCACTGAAATGAAAGAATTGGCCAAAGAGAAATTCAAAGAGAATCAATTCAATTTGGTTGCCAGCGATTTGATTTCGTTAAATCGTTCGCTTACCGATGTCCGACATGCAAAGTAAGTAATCGAATTGTACGAATAATACTAAACAAGTTTACATTTTCATTCTTTTCTTCCCTTTTCTTCCATCCATTTTTTATAGCTGCAAAAAGAAACATTATCCTTCGAAACTGCCAACCACCTCCATAGTTATAGTTTTTCACAATGAAGCCTGGTCAACGCTGTTGCGTACCGTCTGGAGTGTGATAAATCGTTCGCCACGTACCCTGCTGAAGGAAATCATTCTGGTCGATGATGCAAGTGAAAGAGGTTTGTATAACAACAACAGAAATATAAATAGAAATAGAAAAAATAATATAAAGAAGAAGATGTAGCAAAGATCTATGAAGTGCTCCATCTCTGGCTGCTGCCGCATACATCTTAGCTTTCAAGTACTTTGTTTTGTGTGTGTGTGTGTGTCTCTGTTGTCACAAAGTTAAAGTGTCGGTCTTTAGTTAGATTTTCTTTCAGTGATAAATTACATTATTATGTGGTGTCCCTTTTTCTTTTTTTGTAGCTGTCATTGCTATTGTTGTTGCATACATTTCTTCCAGCTATTTTTATATTAGTTTTAAGGTGTGAGAGTTCGTCTGAGAAGTTTGGTGATAAAGGAAGTGGAGAATATGCCCTCTATACTTTCTCAGTTGTAGTAGATCTTCTGAATGTAATGAAGTTTTTAGAAGGCCTTGTTCCAAGAGGAGATAGGCGGAGTAGGCGTATTTTTCAAAATTCTGTCTACAGAAAAGCTCCTCATTGTATTATGCCCATAAAATAACTCTTGAGGATCTTCTATATATAACTTTGTTTTCCATATGTATAATGCCCTCTAAAATGTTCGATATAGAAACTCCCTAGTCTAGATTTTCTGACCTCAGTAGACATTTGTATAATTGTAAAGAAAAGGGTATAGGGTTTTTTTATATAAAACTTTCAGTAGAGAACAATTCTACAATATGTATCTAGAAGGCATTTTGTAGGGCATCTTTTGAAATATCTCCGGTAGAGGACATTCGATAGACTGTACTTCTTAAGCCCTTCGAAATGACTTCTTTAAATATAATCCCCATAATAATTCTTTTCACAGATCTTCTATAAAAAGAAACCACATTCCTTCTATAAATAAAATTCCTAGATATTATATATATATATATACGGCTTTTTAGCTGATTTACTGCTTTAACAGGACCTCTATATATAACATACCTTCCACATATAAAATTCCTTTGTAGATTTATATAAATTCTTTTGTAGATATAGACAGAAGCTGTTTTAGGTTCTTCTGTCCATATCTAAAGAAGTATTTATATCCGTTCTCGAGATATAAATACTTCTACCGACCTCTTACTCTGCAGAACATCTATAGATAGAATGCCTTCTGCAGGTCCTTTATAAATTCGTCCGGAAGTTTGGTGTAGATATAAGCCATCCTACATATACCAACGCGTAAAACTAAGCGACTATATATCACCAGTCCTGAGATTTGACGACGTAGATGTCGTTATCCCTAGTAGGGACGACTGGAACCGTAGCAACACTCCGCTCTGGCTTTTTATGCAGACGGATGCAAGATGGAAAAAGGTACAGGGGCTGGCGTCTACTGTGAAAGGCTAGGCTTTGAGCTTACCTACAAGCTGTATAGCAACTGTAGTGTTTTCCAAGCTGAAACCTTCGCTATTTGGAGGGCAGTGGAATTGATAAAAAGTCTGGATGCAGAGATCGTTGAACCGGTGACTATCTTTGTGGATAGTCAGGCTGCTCTTAAAGACATCAAATTCTGTAATAACAAATCTGAGGTCGTCCTCGAGCGTACAGCAGTTTTGGAAACACTATAGGCTGTGTTGGGTACCAGGACACCGTGACATCATGGGTAATGAAAAAGCAGACGAATTAGCTAGACGAGGATCTTAATCTACAGATCTAGCAATAGATGGCTCAATGAAACCAGAGTAATGACAGGAGTCACTACTGGTCATTGCAATATCAGGGCCTTTACCAGTAAATGGGAACATGATGTTACTGATTATTGCAGACTCTGTGTTGACGAGAGGAGAAACCAAAAGTGGTTGGGAAAGTGCAACCGTAGCACGTAATATGTTTTCTGTTCAATTTCTATAACCATCGAAACTATTTCCCACCTGCTTCCTAATACTTCTTGTTAGAATCTTATCTTTTATATCCCCACTTTCTACCCTACAGATCTCTCCATATCGTTCGTGGATGATCACAATGGACCGGAAGGTCTCAGAGTGCTGCAGCCACATTAGTGACTGCACATCCCCAAACCCAACCTACATTCTATCGACAGAATTATCTTTTATAGGCCATAGTACAGACCTTCTGCAGAACACCTATAGATAAAAACCCTTCTGCAGGTATTCTATAAATAAAAATCCTTCCGGAAGACAAAAAAGACGAATTTGTAGAATATTCAATGTTAGAAATCTTTCGTAGGCCCGATGAAGATACAAGACCTTCTACATTGCCTTTTATAGGCCTTAAAAATTCCAATATATACGATGTCTTCTACAGGTTATATTATAGTTAGAAGTGCTAACCGTCTCTTGTACACTGAAGTCATACTACATGCCTTCTGTAAATGAAATCGATATTAAAATCCTTTCTGCAAGTCTTCTGTAGACAGAAACCTTTCTAAAGGCATTCTACAGATAGCAGTCCCTTTTTAGATCATTCTGTAGTCAATACAAACTTCGGCCTGGAATTCCATTGATAGACGATTTTCTACAAGCCTTCAATAGATGGGAGCCGTTCCTGTTCTGATTCCCTACTAAACGCCTACATATATAAGTCCCTCCTTAAATTGAAAGTCCTTCCTCAGGCATTCTACTAAACATTAACAGATATTGTATAACTTCCATTATATGTCTACATACTTTCCATGGATATTTTATTTTCCAACCCCCTCCCTTTTTTAGTTTTCTTTATTTTATAAGTTGCGTGTTTTTAGATTTTCATTGCCATCTTGGGAATCTTTTAGCTATAAAACTCTTTAGCATTTTTCCAAATGACTTAAAAGTATTCTTATTTAGATCCGCTTTCTCTTTAGGAGATCTCTCGATGTTGTTCTTAATATTTAGGCCTTATTATTTAGACACACTTTTCCATAAAAGTCTCCTTTGGAGATTCTCCATAAGAGTCCTCTTGAAGGTATCCTTAATATTTGGGCATATTTTTGCATAGAAGTCATATTTAAGGTCTCTTTACTATTTATGTCCCTTTTTTCTTTAGGAGTCTTATTTAAGGTATCCTATTATGCTATTTTTCCCACTAAAGTAATCTTGAAGGCTTTCTTTACTATTTAGGCTCTTTTTCCATGGGAGTTCTTTTGCTATAAACGACCCCTTGAATATATTCTAGCTAAAAATTACTCTTGAAAGTATCCTTACTACTATATGTAAATTTTTCCATAGGAGTTCTCTTTATGATCACTTTACAATTGATGCTTCTCTTAAAGGTCAAATGTGGACTATATCGGTTCTTCTCGATTTTCAATATTTTTTGCAACATTTTCTTCGGATTTGATTTAGTTTTTACAAAGCGAAAAGAAACCCTCTTTGGACAAATTTGTAGAAGTAGGTGTAGTAGGTCCACATTAAACCTCATATAACAGTACTTCCAATTATCCGTACGACCCTCGTTTTCCTTTTTTATTTTGCATACCCCAGCCCTGTGTAATGTAATATATTTATTATCTTAATATACTTTTCTTCTTTCTCCTTTTTTTGTTCTTTGTACTTTTGTGGTGACTCTCTCATTTTGTTGCTGCTGATGCTAATGGCGTTGGTCCTGATGCTGTTGTTCTTCTTGTTGCTGTTGTCGTGCCATTATAACTCTATGCAGATTATCTGGGTAAAAAATTGGAAGAATATGTTGCGACACTACCCGTGCATACATTTGTTTTGCGTACACAAAAACGTTCCGGTTTGATACGTGCTCGTTTATTAGGTGCTGAACATGTGACGGTATGTACAAAAAAAGGAAATTAAATATGTTCTCTTTTATTTTAAATTTGTATATTGTAGTTTTTTTATTAAATTTAAACTTTTTTATTATTTTGAAAATCAAGAATTGTATTGCAATTTAAAAGCCCAAAATTTATTTTGTATGTAACATTTGTGACTCCTGTCCTAAAAATTACTCACTATTTTTTCCATTTACATTATCTATCGAAAATGAGATGTTATGGCACTAACTAAGGAGATATAGGGAAATATTTCCTTTTATATAAAATAAGATTGACCATTATTTTAATGCTATATATTATATATAGCGATTTCTGTTATTCCGCGGCCTCTAGTGAAATTTTATAAGGAATATTTTTTCCATTGACTTCGTCCCCCTAAAAGCAGGCATTGAGGCTCAAATTGACACTAATTCCCAGCAAGTTCAAAAAAGTAGGAAAATGTATTTTTTGTCATATAAATATTTTCACATATATATTATAGCATTATATATTATATATACCGATTTATGTTGTTCGGTGACCCATAGTGAAATTTGATAAGGAATATTTTTTCCATTGACATCATCTCTCGAAAATGAAGTATTATGGTCCTTCTAGTCCTATTCCAAAATTGATTTCATTACCCTAACTAATGAGACCTGAAAATATTTCATTTTAAATAAAATTATGTTGGCCTTATTCTATATACCCATTTCTGTTGTCCGGTGACCCAAAGTGAAATTTGATAAGGAATATTTTTTCCATTGACATCGTCCTCCTAAAATCAAGTATTGATGCTCAAATTAACACTAATTCCAAGTAATGCCCGGAAGAAGAGGGAAATCGTATTTTTTTAAACATCACCTTTTTAAGGCTATTTTAATATTATATATGACATATATAATGTTTCCTTATATTCGATGACCTATAATGGAATTTTATAAGGAATATTTTTTCCATTGGTATCATCTATCGAAAATTAAATCTTATGGCATTTTAATTTTATATTATGGCCATTTTACCATAAAAAAAATTAGCTCTTTCAATTTCCTACTTATGGTAAAGGATATAAAAAGTTCGGTCAGTTCCAATTTAACGATGTCTTTACTTGTTTACTTCTTAAATTTTTAAAATTTGACCCAGAATTAAATTTCCACAAAAGTCACAGAGATTTATATCCCCATGTAATCATGCACATTCATGTAAATAGGTTTATTGTATTGTATTGTATGTTTTTCAATAGAATATAATTAAAATATTTCTTGTGTTCTTCTTTTCAACAACTGCCACCATCGCCACCACCTACTCCTCCCCAACAAAAAATTATAATCTTATTTAAAACACACCACAGGGTGAGGTTATTACATTCCTTGATGCCCATTGTGAGTGTACCGAAGGTTGGCTGGAGCCATTGCTGGCACGTATTGTACAAAATCGTCGCACGGTTGTATGCCCCATTATTGATGTTATATCCGATGAAACATTTGAATATATAACAGCATCCGACTCCACATGGGGTGGTTTCAACTGGAAGCTAAACTTTAGATGGTAAGTAAAAAAATGATTTTGTTTACACTTTAATCATTCAGCAAAGAATATTTTAAATTATTATTTTTATTTTCTTTTAGGTATCGTGTTCCTCAACGCGAAATGGAGCGACGCAACAACGATCGCACCGCTCCATTACGTACACCCACCATGGCTGGTGGTCTATTTTCCATAGATAAAGACTATTTCTATGAAATTGGTTCCTATGATGAAGGCATGGATATTTGGGGTGGTGAAAATCTGGAAATGTCATTTAGGGTAAGCTTTTTAACAGCAATCGAACAAAAAATAATTTAATCATTTAATATAATGAAATCATGTTTTTAGTAATTTATTTATTTATTTTTTAGCTTGTTAAGTTTTATATAATTATTTGAATTTACTCCAAAATTAAATATTTTACAATTTATAATTTATTTTTTAATTCATCCAAATCAAACAAACCAAATTTTCTTCAAAAATTTTTGGCATCCCATCATCAACTCTAGATTTGGCAATGTGGCGGTATTTTAGAAATAATACCATGCTCCCATGTGGGTCATGTATTCCGTGATAAATCGCCATACACATTCCCCGGTGGCGTTGCAAAAATCGTTCTACACAATGCGGCGCGTGTGGCCGAAGTATGGCTGGATGAGTGGCGCGATTTTTATTATGCCATGAGCACAGGTTCGATGTTTAAAGAAATGTTTTTTTCTACACTAAAAAACTGAAAATTATTAAAAAAATAACCAATCGTAAATTTTCGTAACTAATCCCCAAAAAACCAAACGCAATCATTAATATTATAATGTTTTTTTTTTCAAATAATGCTTAATTTATTTTGCTAAAACAAAAAATTGAGAATATAAAATAATATTGCTTTTAATAATTAACTAAATACTAATAATTAAAAAAGAAGAGAGAGAGAGGGAAATATTACTCATGAAACGTTCCATTTGAGGAATGACTCTGTAGCTCAATACCCTTAAATCGAGGTTTTATTCAGGATCGAATGTAATAATGAAGACTAGTATTTCCCTTTGACATAAAATCCCATTTTTCCCATTGACATTACCCCTCGAAAATGAAATATTATGGTTCTTTGAGTCCTGTTCCAAAACGGATATTATTACCCTAACTAATGAGAGATAAAAATATATATAAAATAAGATTGACCCTTATTTTAATGCCATACTGCCATACCGATTTATGTTGTTCGGTGACCCATAGTGAAATTTGATAAGGAATATTTTTTCCATTGACATCGTCACCCTAACATCAAGTATTGAGGCTCAAATTGACAATAACTCCCAGATAGTCCAAAAAAATAGAAAAATGTAATTTTACATATGTTATATATACCGATATTATATATACCGATTTATGTTATTCACTGAAATTTGATAAGGAATATTGATTTTATTACCCTAACTAATGAGAGATAAAAATATTTACTTTTTTTATAAAATTGACCATTATTTTAATGGTATATATTATATATATATTGATTTATGTTGTTCGGAGACTTTTATTGAAATTTTATAAGAAATATTTTTTCCATTGACATCATCTCTCCAAAATCACGTATTAGACCACTTCTTGTCCTGTTCCAAACACACCTTTTAGTGATATTTATAAATTTATGGAATATATAAAGATTTCCTTTTGTATAAAATTGTTGACTCTTATTTTATTGATTTATATTATAAATACAGACAAAAAGTATTCTGTGACCTATAGTGAATTTGATAAGGAATATTTTTTTCATTGACATCATCATACTTAAAACAAATAATTAAGCCTCAAATTGGCAACAATTCTCAGCAACTGCAAAAAATTGAAGAAATTTATATTTTTGTAATATAAAATTTGTGACCCTCATTTTAAGCTCTATATATTATATATAGTGATTTCTGTTGTTCGGTGACCTACAGTGAAATTCGATTTGGAATATTTTATCCATTGACAACATCGTCCTAACATTAAATATTGAATCTCAAATTGGCACCATTTCCCAGCAAATCCAGAAAAAAGAGAGGAAAATGTATATTTTAAAATATCAATATTTGTACAGTTATTATAACGTTGAATATGATTGAGGCCGATTTCACGTATTTGGTGACCTATAGTGAAATTTGATAAGGAATATTTTTTTCATTGGCATCACCTCTCGAAAATGAAGTATTACGCCACATATTGGCCTGATCTAAAACACCTTTTTGTGAAATTTACAAATTAATGAGATACCTTTTTATATAAAATTCTTGGCCCTTATTTTAGTGTTTTATATTACAAATACCGATTCCTAAGTATTCTGTGACCTATAGTGAAATTTGATAAAGAATATTTTTTCCCTTGGCATCGCCCCTCTGAAATCAAGTATTGAGGCTCAAATTGACAATAATTCCCAACAAGTCCAAAAAAGTAGGAACATGTATTATTTGCATATCAGTCATTTTACATAGATATTAAAGTACATATATAATATATGTACCAATTTATGTGCAATTTGATATGGAATATTTTTTCCATTGACATCATCTCTCGAAAATGAGGTATTATGGTCCTTCTAGTCCTATTCCAAAACTGATTTTATTACTCTAACTAATGAGACATAAAAATATTTACTTTTATATAAAATAATGTTGACTTATTTAAATGTCATATATTATTTCTACCGATTTTTGTTGTCCGGTGACCTATAGTGAAATTTGATAAGGAATATTTTTTTCCATTCACATCGTTCCTCTAAAATCAAGTATTGAAGCCCAAATTGACACTAATTCTCAGCAAGTCCAAAAAAAGTAGGAAAATGTATTTTTACCATGTTAATCTTTTTAAATAATTATTATAGCATTTCATGTTATATATACCGATTTATGTTGTTCGGTGATCCATAGTGAAATTTGATAAGGAACATTTTTTCCATTGACATCGTCTCTCGAAAATGAATTATTATGGTCCTTCAAGTCCATATCCGAAATTGATTTTATTATCCTAACTAATGAGAGATACAAATATTTCCTTTTATATAAAATAAGATTTTTTATGAAATATCCCAACTAAAAAACAAAGATAATATATTCCATGAACAATCCTAGTTTCTCCCCTCGTATAGTAATAGAATACAAAATTAATTTAGCCTTACGCGTTTCATAGTAATTTAATACCGCTCCTCCCTCCCCCTCTCTCTTTCTCTCTATTTAAAATTTTTGCATATATTAACGCTTTAATTACAATATTCAAATCAAAATATTTACATGGTTTTTTTTAAATTTTGTTTTGCATTTATTTTTTTCTATGAATTGAATTTCAAAATTAAAATGTTATGAAGTTTTTTTGTTTGATATAATTAAAACGATACCAACCAACAGACATACATACACGGCAGATGATGTATATGGAATAAATAATTTTGCGCACCCTTTTCACCTAATTTAATTTTAGTGTATGTACAACAAAAAAAATCAATCAACACACACTTGCAATTTGTTGTTGCTGTTGTGGTTAATATTGCAACAATATTGGAAATAATGATGAATGATGACAGTAAATGTGTCTTTTTTTGAGTTTTTTTTATTTTTTTTTTTTTTTATATAATTTGTTCCTCGTTTTCTCTCATCCACTTTGTAATTGAATTGAAATAAATGTTGAATTTTGTGCTCATATTATGTTTGAAAATAAAAAAAATCAATCAACGAATAACATTCACAACCAACCAACCAACACCACCACCGACCACCCACAAATAGCTTGAAAAGTTGGAATGATCTGTGTGTGTGTTCGTGTGCATATGCGTGTGGGAGAATGTTAACTGCAAACTCAAAAAAAAATCCTTTTAAAACCAAAAAAATGCTTCACTAATCCCCCTTTTTAAGAATGAATCAGGGATCAACCACAGCCATGAGGTCGAACACACATTGCTAATAAATAATTTTAATTGGTATTTGTAATATATATTTAATTTTTTTATTTATTTATTTTTTTGTTTCTAACATTGTTTTTTATGTTGCCCTTATATTTTTGAAAATGTTTATTATGGGTATAACAATGTTATTCACAGCATTTTGTTATTGATTAACATGTTTACATCAATATGTGACTAATTTTTATATTATATATGAAATATTTGCTTTTAAGTTTATATTAAAATTATTATTGAATAGGTTTTTAGAAAGGGAAATGTTTAAAATTTAATTATCACAATAGAAATTGTTTTGTTCTAAGATCTTAAGTGGACGTATTTTTCCCACTTCCGAACATTTATAATGAAATAGCTTTAAATACAGCAAAGCCTAAAATTATGCAATGTTTTCTTTGATAAAACTGACACATTTATGAGGAAATATCACAAGCGTGGATTTTTTTAAAAATTATTTTTTTTAAATATCACAAACGTGGATTTTTTAAAAACAATTTTTTATACAATATCAGAAATGTGGATGTTTTAAAAATGATTATTATAAAATATCACCACCGTGGATTTTTCAAAAAAAAAAATTTTTAATATTACAAGCGTGAATTTTTTAAAAATTATTCCATTTCTTCGACCAAGGGCTGTCACCTCAACTACTACATGTTTGTGTCGTATTTTTTTTTATCATGGGAGAGGCGTTATATCCCGGGATGCCTGCTCCGAACTCTTCTGGTCCGCGCCGGGATAGAAAGAAACCCCGGACCTTGGTTCTGTTCCATTTGTCGGAACAGCATCCACCACAGATCAACGTCGGTGAGATGCAATAGATGTATGGGATGGGTGCATTTCCGCGGTTGTTCAGGTCTTAGCCGACTTCTGACTACTGTGACAGGAGTTATTTTGGTGCATGCTGCGTCAGCGTATCTCCCAGCGTGTCCGCGAAATCCACAGCCACTCTGTTCACCACATGGACGGCTGAAATGAAGCTCCCTCTGAACATCATGGTCGATGGTGCAATAATTCCGACCACAAACTACCCCAAATTTTCGGGTGTAACGTTCGATAGCTTATTTAAGTCGTCCGCGCAAGCCACCGCTATTTGCGATAAGATGAGAACAGGAACAAGGTCATCAAGTCATGATGGTGCAGCCGCCTCTATTCGTATTGGGACCGAATTGACAGCGCGGTACCAAACACATGCCCTGTATGTGGACTTGGACCTCACGATACGCTGCATCTCTTTAACCGCCCTGCTAAACCCACTCATCTGTCTCCGGAATCTCTTTGGACGCAGCCGTTACAGATTGCAACCTTCCTGAACCTGGAAACAGAGGAGTCAGAACCAGAATAATTAAAATACAGCAAACATGTAGGCAGTTGCTACAACAACAACCTGGGATAAGTGTCGATTTTTAAAATAGTTTAGGTCAGGCGTAGATTTTTAATATATATATATATATATATATATATATATTTTTTTTGAGGCCTAGACGGCGTAGATTTATAAAATAATTTTTTTCGAGGCCTAGACCACCATGCGTAGTTTTTTTTAATAACTTTTTTCGAGGCCTAGATCAGGCGTAGATTAAAAAAAAACTAAGCCTAGACCAAACATAGATTTTTAAAATGATTTTTCGAATCATAGACGTAGATTTTTAAAATATTTTTTTCGATTTTTAAAATAATTTTTTTCTAAGCCTAGATTTTCAAAATAATTTCTTTGTGAGCCTAGGTCAGAGGCTTAGGTCAGGCGTAGTTTTTTAAAATATATTTTTTTCGATGCCTTGACTAGGCGTAGATTTTTAAAATATATTTTTTTCGATGCCTTGACTAGGCGTAGATTTTTAAAATATATTTTTTAAGACCAAGACCAGACATAGATTTTTAAAATATATTTTTTTTCGATGCCTTGACTAGGCGTAGATTTTTAAAATAAATTTTTTAAGACCAAGACCAGACATAGAATTTTAAAATATATTTTTTTTCGATGCCTTGACTAGGCGTAGATTTTTAAAATATATTTTTTAATAGAATTTTAAAATATATTTTTTTTCGATGCCTTGACTAGGCGTAGATTTTTAAAATATATTTTTTAAGACCAAGACCAGACATAGAGTTTTAAAATATATTTTTTAAGACCAAGACCAGACATAGAGTTTTAAAATATATTTTTTTCGATGCCTTGACTAGGCGTAGATTTTTAAAATATATTTTTTAAGACCAAGACCAGACATAGATTTTTATATATTTTTTTTCTAAAATATATTTTTTAAGACCAAGACCAGACATAGAATTTTAAAATATATTTTTTAAGACCAAGACCAGACATAGAATTTTAAAATATATTTTTTTTCGATGCCTTGACTAGGCGTAGATTTTTAAAATATATTTTTTAAGACCAAGACCAGACATAGAATTTTAAAATATATTTTTTAAGACCAAGACCAGACATAGAATTTTAAAATATATATTTTTTTAAGGCCGGGATTTAAAGAATATATATTTTCATGAAATAGGGATGATTTAATACAGTATTCCATTTGCCTCTTTAAGGTCTTAGAACAAACACTGTCTTATATTTTTTATTTTTTAATTGCTTACAATTTAGCATCCAAATAGTAAGATATGTAACTAAATGAAATATTTTTTTCCATTTTCTCTCTTGATTTTCTTTTTTTCTTTTATATTTTTCTATACTCTCATGTATAACCAAACATCATACAAACATATCATAACTATAATGCGACTAACAACACCCCCTATTTTATGGAAATAAAATGCTAAATCGAATCAATTCATTGTTTGGGGTATTCATTTATTTTTCGCCTCATACATACATACATTTCTTTACAAACAAAACAATGCTGCCTCCCTCTTCTTTAACACAACATGAAATCGAAATTAAAACCCACGAATAATACACTAGGTTTGGATGTGTGGCGGTATTTTAGAGATAGCTCCATGTTCACGTGTTGGCCATGTCTTTCGTAAATCGACTCCGTATACATTTCCTGGCGGTACAACGGAAATTGTTAATCATAACAATGCTCGTCTGGTTGAGGTTTGGCTGGACGATTGGAAAGAGTTTTACTACAGCTTTTATCCAGGTTAATTTAACTAATTTTCTTTGCTTGAAATTAAAAACAAATATATTATTCGTGACAAAATTAAACATGCATTAGAATTCAATTCATTACCCTTATGGCCGTTTTTTTTGGTTATGGCAATATAATAATAATTTAAAAACAACATTGTCTACCATACCCATATACATACATATTAGCGAAAAAAAAATATTTACATTTTTCTGTTAACATTGTCCCTTAACTTTTTTTCTCTCTTAGAAAACCTCGCATATTTATAGAGAGCATTTCTAAACACCATCCATTCATCACGCCCCCTAACTCCCAATGAATTTTGTTTGTTCTATGGTCTGCCATGCATCCTTTTTATTAAAACTAAATTATAAATAATTTTTAGTTTGTTTGTATTGTTTTTTATGGTGTTGGTTTAATTATGTATTGAGTTTTTTAATTAGATTTTTTTTATTATTTATAAAATATTGTATATTTTGTAAATATTGTATGTGATTATGTATCCTGCATGTGTTGTGTCCTTGTAATATTATTATCATTATTTGTTTTTATTTATTTGTGTCCTTATCCATTATCAGAAAAATATTCTTCCTGGGAATATAAGAGCGAGGATTTAAGAAAAACGTAGCCTATTTTTAGGGGTTGATTTAATTAAAAATCTTCCCACTGTGGATTTTTAAAATTAATTTTAGAATCTTTTTTAATGGAATTTACTAAGCATGGATTAAAAAAAATATTTTTCTGATCCGTCGTTGATTTTTTTTAAAAATTATTTTTAATCATTTTAATTAGGCGTAGATTTTTTAAAAGTTATTTTTTGTGATTTAAATTAGGCGTATATTTTTTAAAAATTATTTTTCATCATTTTAATTAGGCGTGGATTTTTAAAAATTATTTTTCATCATTTTAATTAGGCGTGGATTTTTAAAAATTATTTTTCATCATTTTAATTAGGCGTGGATTTTTAAAAATTATTTTTCATCATTTTAATTAGGCGTGAATTTTTAAAAATTATTTTTCATCATTTTAATTAGGCGTGGATTTTTAAAAATTATTTTTCATCATTTTAATTAGGCGTGGATTTTTAAAAATTATTTTTCATCATTTTAATTAGGCGTGGATTTTTAAAAATTATTTTTCATCATTTTAATAAGGCGTGGATTTTTAAAAATTATTTTTCATCATTTTAATTAGGCGTGGATTTTTAAAAATTATTTTTCATCATTTTAATTAGGCGTGGATTTTTAAAAATTATTTTTCATCATTTTAATTAGGCGTGGATTTTTAAAAATTATTTTTCATCATTTTAATTAGGCGTGGATTTTTAAAAATTATTTTTCATCATTTTAATTAGGCGTGGATTTTTAAAAATTATTTTTCATCATTTTAATTAGGCGTGGATTTTTAAAAATTATTTTTCATCATTTTAATTAGGCGTGGATTTTTAAAAATTATTTTTCATCATTTTAATTAGGCGTGGATTTTTAAAAATTATTTTTCATCATTTTAATTAATTATTTTTCATCATTTTATTTTTGGGGGTTTGAAAAAGGCCTACAGTTTTTAAAAAATATTTTTGGGGGTTTGAAAAAGGCCTACAGTTTTTAAAAAATATTTTTGGGGATTTGAAAAAGTCCTAGAATTTTTATACCCTTCACCACACTGTGGTACAGGGTATTATGTCTTTGTGCATATGCTTGTAACAGGCTAAAGGAATCGAGATAGACCCATGGTTCCTTTTGAGAATATGCATAGAAGCACTTTCTGAGTCGATTTATGCATAGCCGTCCGTCCATGTTAAATTGTAAACAAAGTACAGGTCGCATTTATGATCCGATTCGGATGAAACTTGGCACAGTTCCCTTATTTGGCCCAAGGACGAACCCTATTGAAATTGTAGAAAATCGGTTCAGATTCAGTTTGGTTGAAATCGGTTCCTATATATAGTTTGTCCGATTTTATGTAAATGATGCTCCGATTGAAACAAAATTTTGCACAGAGTATTGAATTAGGTCTAGATTGATGTATGCCAAGTTTGGTTGAAATCGGTTCAGATTTAGATATAGCTCCCATATATAGTTTCGTCCGATTTTATGTGAATGATACACCAAACTCCCAATATTTGTCCAATTGAAACAAAATTTTGCATAGAGTATTGAATTAGGTCTAGATTTATGTATGCCAAGTTTGGTTGAAATCGGTTCATATATAGTTTCGTCCGATTTTTTGTGAATGATACACGAAACTCCCAATATTTGTCCGATTGGGACAAAATTTTGCACAGAGTACTGATTTAGGTCCAGACTGATGTCTGCGAATTATATATTTTTATTGGTATGGAGTATCCTAACCTAAGGACTATATTATTATTTATTTTTGATTTAAAATTTAATTTGTATGTTTAATTTTTTCGTTGTTTTTGTCCACAAATTATTAATTATATGTTTGTTTGTTTTTGCACCACAACGTTATTGTTCTACCCTCTCCACAGTGTGTCTCCACTCAGCATCATCATCAAAATATCTTCTCCCTACAATCAAGAAAAACCCCGATTCCCATGAGCACAAAACCAAACGCTTATTTTGTTTGTCTAATTTAATTTTCAAATATGTTGCAGTCACTTCCCCCTCCGAATACCCCACACAAAAAAGTAATGAACCAGTTAAATGAAATGTTTTAGACGAATAATTGAATAGAGTGTCAACGCTAACGCGTAATTAAAAATAAACACAAATTTAGCAATATAGCCATGTTTATGATGGGGCTAAATAAATATGTTTGTTTATATTTGTGGCAGACGTGACTAGACATGTTGAGCTGCCATGGCAATTAATTAAATGTTCTCCGATTCGATTTTAAATTTAAATATTTTGGCAGAGACATATAATTCACATTCATTACATTCAATACTGGTTTCATTATTTTTTTTTCGACATAACCTTAAAGTGCAATAATATTGAATGATGTGATTTTTGTCCAACGTTTTTATGTTTTTTTTTTCTGTAATCAATCACCATGTAATACATTAAATATGCGTATGTATATGTAAATACATTTTTTAAAAATTACAAAAAAAAATAAATGCACTCAAAATTAAAAAAATAAATAATTCAAAATCGCACTAACACCAAAAACAAAATAATAACAACAAAATTATTAACACTTATTTGAAATTCAAAATTCTACAAATATTAATAATATATCTTTTTTTTTAATCCATCTTCCTCCAAAATTTACAAATAGGTGCTCGCAAAGCATCCGCTGGTGATGTTAGTGAACGTCGCGCCATGCGTGAACGTCTGAAGTGTAAATCATTCCGTTGGTATTTGGAAAATATCTATCCTGAGAGTTTAATGCCCCTGGACTACTACTATTTGGGTGAGGTATGTATTCAAGGTTTGGATTTTGGATTTAACTTTCCTTTACTTAATCATTGTGTAATTTTTCTTTTAGATTCGCAATGCCGAATTGGAAACCTGTCTGGATACAATGGGCCGTAAATATGGCGAAAAGATTGGCATGAGTTATTGCCATGGTTTGGGTGGCAATCAAGTCTTCGCCTACACGAAACGACATCAAATTATGTCCGATGATTTGTGTTTGGATGCAGCCCAATCACTGGGCCCAGTGAATATGGTGCGCTGTCACAATATGGGTGGCAATCAGGAATGGGTGTATGATTCAGAGGTGGGTGAAAAAAAATAATTTTTTAAAAATATTTTTCATCACTTAACATAGGCGTGGATTTAAAAACAAAATATTGTTTATGATCCTCCAAACAAAGCTCAGTACAGATTGGATTGTCTATAAAAGACAGTTCAATAGGTACAAGAGCGAAAGGCTAAACGTGAGTCTTGGGTCTTGGCTATAGTGAGTCAATACAAGGAGTCAACGAAGCGGCCAGATTTCGCAGAGTACTATCTAAAGATCCAAAATCTATAGGTAGTATTAAGCGAAGTGATGGAACGTGGACAAACTCTGGCAGTGAGACTCTTGATCTACTATCGCCAACCCACTTTCCTGGCTGTAAGGGTGCACAGTGTGCGCATCTGACATGAGTATGGGCGATAAATTGTTTTCAACCCTATAAGTTTCCCGGTCCAGATAGTGTAATACCGGCCATGCTGCAACACGCAGATGAACGAGTATTGACATCTCTGTAGGACATTTTTAGGGCTTGTCTACTTCTATCGTACATACCTAGTCTATGGAAAGAGGTAACCGTGACCTTCATCCAAAATACTGTAGACCGATTAGTCTCTATTCCTTTCTACTCAAGACTTTAGAAAGGTTACTAGACTCAGAAATTAGACACATTATTGACCAACGTAAACTGAACAACTCCCAGCATGCATACATCAAAGGCAAACCAGTGGATACCGCCTTACATGAGGTGGTTGGATACATCGAGAAGAATATGGAGTCATCTGACTACACTTTGGCAACATTCCTCGACATTGAGGGAGCTTTTAACAATGTGAAGCTAGAAGCCATCCATTCTGCTCTCGTAAGCACAGGTATCCCCTCACTCCTAACGGAATGGATTGATAGAATGCTGGAAAGCAGAATTATCAACTCATCCTTAGGAGAGAGTTCCGTGAGGAAATCTGTCAACAGAGGCACACCACTGGGAGGAGTACTATCTCCCCTCCTGTGGCTTCTGGTGATAAATGAAATACTACTGAAGTTCAATAATCTTAGGATAAAGGTTGTAGCCTATGCCGATGACGTAGTCCTGACGATTGGGGGTAAGTTTCTAATGACAATTGCAGATATTCTGGAGGGTGCCCTTTCAAACCTGTCTAACTTGGCATACGCCAAAGGTCTTGATGTAAACCCCACTAAGACAGAATTGGTGCTCTTCACTAGGAAACGTAAGATTCCTAGTTTCCGCCTGCCGTCACTGGGAGGAGTGACTCTAACCCTTTCTGAAGAAACAAAATACCTTGGCACTATCCTTGACCGAAAACTAACGTGGAATAGGAATGTTGAGGAACGCTCTAAGAAAGGGCTGCTGGTACTCTACTCAAGCAAGAACTTCATAGGTAAGAGCTGGGGATTAAGACCCGGGATCATACACTGGCTGTATGTGACGATCGTTCTCCCCATTCTTACATATGGTTGCCTTATTTTGTGACAGGGAGTCAAAAAAAGATGCTGCTGACAAAATTAAGTTTAGTACAGCCATCGGCTTCAATTCTGATCACCGAAGCGCTAAGAAGTACACCACAGGCAGTCTTGAATGCAATCCTGAATCTCCAACCACTGGGCATTCTGATTAAATTCCAGGAGGTCAGGTGTGCCCTGAGGCTCCGGGAAACGGATGCCTGGAAGTACATATGGTTGCCTTATTTGATGGCAGGGAGTCAACAAAAAGATGCTGCTGACAAAATTAAGTTTAGTACAGCGATCGACTTCAATTCTGATCACCGGAGCGCTAAGAAGTACACCACAGGCAGCCTTGAATGCAATCCTGAATCTCCAACCACTGGACATTCTGATTAATTTCCAGGCGGTCAGGTGTGCCCTGAGGCTCCGGGAAACGGATGCCTGGAAATCGCTGAACTATGATCGCTAGTATCCTAAACATAACGAAATAGTCATATTAGTGACTATTTTCCCTCTCACAGAGACTTTAATGACATCAAAGTAGAGTTTCCTAGTAGGGAATCCTCTTCTAGTGGTTCCTTACCACTGCCAGGTCTGTCATTCTTTACAGACAGGTCAAAGATGGAGGAAGGCACTGGTGCAGGCATTTAATTAACAATATTTGTAGTGTTTTTCAAGCAGAAATCCTTGCAATCACGAAAGCGGCCGAGAAAAATCACTTACTGCCGATATTACGGGACTGGTGACTATATATGTCGATAGTCAGGCGGCCTTTAAAGCGGTGAAGTCGTGTACTATAAACTCAAAAGCAGTTCATGATTGCAAGTCCGCTCTGAATGATATACCACAGATAGTTAGCTTATCTTGGGTTCCAGTACATAGTGACATTGAAGGGAATGAGATAGACGACGAGCTTGCTCGAGGGGGCTCACAGGTGTCCAATCTTCCATTGACTATTTCATTGGAAAAAATCGCTTGTTCTACTGCGAGGTAGTCGGCAACAGATGGTTGAGAGAACCTGCTTGCAGAATTTCGAAATCTATCTGGCCTGAACGTCTTCGCAAAAGGACGTCTTCGCAGCCGACACACAATAAGAGAGACAGAGAGATCAAAATAATTGTGGGGATCATAACAGGTCACTGCAAGATTAGATCTCTCACTTCGAAGTGGGACTCCAGCGGAGAGGACGAAGAATAACTAGAAACAATTGAATGTGTCCTCTGAAAATGACCATCGCTGATTGGCAGAAGACATAAACATGATAACAATGGACATTAGTCTCCGAGTGGACGGTTGTTTACTAACAACCATACATCCCTAACCTAACCTAGGCGTGGATTTTTTAAAAAAAATTTCATGATTTATTTTTATTTTATTAATTTATTTAAATATTTTTTGTATTCCAGGACAAATCAATACGACACACAAATACCGGCAATTGTCTACAACGGCCATCAAGAGAAGATCCCACAACACCGTTACTGCGTCCCTGCAACTATTCACGGGGGCAACAGTGGCTGATGGAGTCGAAATTCAAATGGCAAGCTCATTAGTTGTAAACCTAGTTGTTTGTTGGCTTATGTTTTATTTTTTTATTAATTGTGTTTTAGTTAGTACATTCAATTATATATAAATATAATGAAAAAAAACTATTTTTAAATTGTAACTGATAATCATCTTTTTTATTTTTTTAATTTCATTTTATTTAATTTAAATTTAATAAATTAAGATACTTGACTTTTGGCATATTTATTTAAGATTATATTGTTTATATAAAGAATTTGTTTTAATTTTTATTACAACTGAAACTAAAAAACAAGTAAACAACCATCATTCAAGAAATAAACATATCCTAATTTAAAAAAAAAAACTATATAAATATAAAAAAAGAAAATCATAGATTTTGTATCATTTTTTTTATCATTTAAGCTTTATTTGTAGAAAAATTTAGTTATATATTATAAAAACGAAAAGAAATTCCCCTCCCAAATTAATAATAAATAAACAAAAAAAATATATCACAATTTTTTATACTTGTATTGTATTTATATATAAAAAAAAAAAAACTAAACAAAAACCAACCACGTAAATATGAAACACAAATAAGTCATTGACATTCTGATTTTTAAGCATTCTCTTTTTACATTTATAAATAATAATTATTATAATAATTAAATAATAGTATATACATAACAAAAAACTTACATACATACAACAACATACTAACTGTTAAGATTACAGCATACTTTACTACATATACAAAACAACTACATACAAAATATAAAACAAATGTGTCTTCCCTTGTATTAATTTATGTTTTAATTTATACAAACAGAATGAAAAACAAAACAAAACACAAGAAATTTAGCAAAAAATAAACAGAAAAGAAAACACAACTGAGAACTAAGTGAAAAAAAAAAAAAAACAAATCAATTTAAACTATGAAACTCATCTTTATTTCTTTTTTAGACTCTATACGTATACATACGATATTTTTAAATGAAATAAACCTTTGTATAAATCTTATTATTATTAACAATTTAAATATAAATAATTATAAAGTAACATAGAAAAAATAATAATAAAATAAATAAATATTTTTTTCCTAAAGACAAAAAATAATAAAATAAGAATGATACAAAAAAAATAAGTAAATTAGTTTTTTTTTCAGGGGCTAGGGATTAAAAAAAAATTCTGGGATTAAGAGAGGCGTGGATTTTTTAAAAACTATTTTTTTTTCTGAGGCTAAATGGAGCGTGGATTTATTTTATTTTTATTTTTTATTTATTTTTATTTATTCATTTATGTAATACAAGGCCTATAAGACCATATTTAATATTACGTAGTTAACAACAAACCCGAGCTTATAAAAACTAATATTCATTATAAAATACTAAAATTTAAATTTTTAATTATTCTAATTATTCTTGGCTCCCCAGCCATAAAATACAAACAATAACAAGAAAAGAGATGAGATTATGTCCAGTAAACCAGTAGTAAAAAGAAGAATAATAAATTTCAAAACCACCAATCATTGCAGTAAACCAAAATATAGATGAAGTTTTCTTTTAAACACATTATTAGAATGGGAGAATATTCTTAGATCATATGGCAATAAATTCCAACATTTTTTACCCTAACTACAAATGATCTTGCATAAATGGATTTATAAATTCTTGGTATCACCACTTGAGGGTTTCTCGAAGAATGTGAAAAAGAAAACGTGCTGGTTAATGGTTTAGGCTCGCCAGTTTTTATTATATTATAAAATGTCAGTATATTTCGATAAGAAATGAAATTAAAAAAAGAACAACCTAAAAAGCGTTTTACATATATACATAAAAACAATTTTTTCTGAGGCTAAATGGGGCGTGGATTTATTAAAAAGAATTTTTTTCTGAGGCTAAAAGAGGCGTAGATTTATTAAAAAAAAAAATTTCTGAAGCTAAAAGAGGCGTGGATTAGTTTTTTCTGGGCCTAAAAGAGGAGTGGAGGTTTTTCTGAGGCTAAAAGAGGCGTGGATTTATTAAAAATATTTTTTTTTTGTGGCGCGGATTGATTAAAAAGAATTTTTTTCTGATGCTTAAAGAGGAGGCGTGGATTTATTAAAAAGAATTTTTTTCTGAGGCTAAAAGAGGAGACGTGCATTTCTTAAAAATATTTTTTTTTTTCTGAGGCTAAAAGAGGAGGCGTGGATTTATTAAAAATAATTTTTTTTTCTGAGGCTAAAAGAGGAGGCGTGCATTTATAAAAAATAATTTTTTTCTGAGGCTAAAAAAGGCGTGGGTTTATTAAAAATAATTTTTTTTCTGAGGCTAAAAGAGGAGGCGTGGATTTATTAAAAAGAATTTTTTCTGAGGCTAAAAGAGGGGGCGTGGATTTATTAAAAATAATTTTTTCTGAGGCTAAAAGAGGGGGCGTGGATTTATTAAAAATATTTTTTTCTGAGGCTAAAAGAGGGGGCGTGGATTTATTAAAAATAATTTTTTTCTGAGGCTAAAAGAGGGGGCGTGGATTTATTAAAAATAATTTTTTTCTGAGGCTAAAAGAGGGGGCGTGGATTTATTAAAAATATTTTTTTCTGGGGCTAAAAGAGGGGGCGTGGATTTATTAAAAATATTTTTTTTCTGAGGCTAAAAGAGGGGGCGTGGATTTATTAAAAATAATTTTTTTCTGAGGCTAAAAGAGGGGGCGTGGATTTATTAAAAAAGAATTTTTTTCTGAGGCTAAAAGAGGGGGCGTGGATTTATTAAAAATAATTAGAAAAAAATTGCCCTTTTTGTCAAAACCATTTTCGTGTTGTTTTTCATTTTCAGGTAACAGGCGCCCAGCACCGGACAGTAAGTATATTTCGGATGATGGTGGAATTCAAATGCAAATAACTCAGCAAATACTCAACCGATTTTTATAATTTTTGCACCAATGGTTCGAGGGAATTCTATAGTTTTATACCATATTGACATTAAATAAATAAACCCATGTTATATAGGAGAAAAAGAGCATTATGTAAAAGTTCGAAGATATCTAAAATTTTCGAAAAATTTTTGCAAATCTAAACAAAATGGACTCTGCGTTTATTCGATTTACACGAAATTTGGCATAACGTATTGTATTGAGTCCTTGAATGACCCGCAAAAGGTCAAAATTTTCAATATTTATGTATCCAATATCAGGCGAATGGAATGTCCGATTTGAACCATACTTTGCACAACCTATTATCTTTTGCAAGACTAGATGAAGTCCGAAGATGGGACCCATAGGTCGGCTGCTTCTGGTACCTCCCACACAAAGGGTCAAAATTTGCAATATTTATAAATCCAATATTTGGCGAATGGAATATCCGATTTGAACCAAACTTTGCACAACCTATTATCTTTTGCAAGACTAGATGAAGTCCGAAGATGGGACCCATAGGTCGGCTGCTTCTGGTACCTCCCACACAAAGGATCAAAATTTGCAATATTTATATATCCAATATTAGGCGAATGGAATGTCCGATTTGAACCAAACGGTTCAAAAGTAGCACAAGCTACTGTCTTTACCAAGCCTAGATCATGTCTGAAGATGGAACCCATTGATCTCCTCCTCCCCCACCTCCTGGTATCTCCCCCACAAAGGGTCAAATTTTTCAATATTTATAAATCCAATATGAGGCGAATGGAATGTTCGATCTGATAAAACTTTTCAAATTGTAATATTTTCCCAAACTTAGATAATGTCTGAAGATGGGACTCTTCGGCCCACTCCTCCTGGTACCTCCACCACAAAGTTTCAAAATTTTTTAATTTAATATCAAACAAATGAAATGTCCTCTTTGACCCAAACTTTGCACATCGTAATAATTTTATCAAACCTTGATCACTTTAAGACCTTCAAAATATTGAAGACCTGACCGAAATGTAATGTATCCATGGTTGAACGGAAGGAATATGTTTTTATCAAAGATTTGACCATCTGTGGAGGGTTACCAGAAAAGCTGATTTTTTTAAATAGGTTTTAGGTTTTTGAATTTATTTAAAAATGTTTTTCAGGGGCTAGAAGAGGCATGGATTTATTTAAAATATTGCTGGGGCATGAAGAGGTGTGGATTTATTTAACATATTTCTGGGGCTTGAAGAGGCGTGGATTTATTCAAAATAGTTTTTTCAGGAGCTAGGAGAGGCGTAGATTTATTCAAAATAGTATTCCAGGGGCTAGAAGAGGCGTGGATTTATTCAAAATAGTTTTTTCAGGAGCTAGGAGAGGCGTAGATTTATTCAAAATAGTATTCCAGGGGCGTGGATTAATTAAAAATAAATTTTCAGGGGCTAAAAGAGGCGTGGATTAATTAAAAATAAATTTTCAGGGGCTAAAAGAGGCGTGCATTAAAATAAATTTTCAGGGGCTAGAAGAGGCGTGGATTAAAATAAATTTTCAGGGGCTAGAAGAGGTGTGGATTAAAATACATTTTCAGGGACTAGAAAAGGCGTTGATTAATGAAATAAAATTTTCAGGGGCTAGAAAGTCGTGGATTAAAATAAATTTTCAGGGGCTAGAAGAGGTGTAGATTAAAATACATTTTCAGGGACTAGAAAAGGCGTGGATTAATAAAATGAAAATTTCAGGGGATAGAAGAGATGTGGATTAAAATACATTTCAAGGGACTAGAAAAGGCGTGGATTAATAAAATGAAATTTTCAGGGGTTAGAAGAGGCGTGGATAAAATAAATTTTCAGGGGCTAGAAAAGGCGTGGAATTAAAAATAAGTTTTCAGGGTCTCAAGGACTACCTAAACTAAAAAATAATCGTAATCAGGGTCCCAAAGATTACGTATGATAATAATTTCAAAACGATCTGCAATTAGAGGTATGCCCTGAGTCTTAAGGATATTTAATAAAAACAAATAGTTGTATTTTTGGAGCCTTTGGGATCTCACATCTCAGACGGTATTGATTTCCGCCCAAAAATGATGTTGTTGTTATAACATCCCTTCTGTTTTTACACAATGGGCAGCGGAGACTGACATTGGCCCAACAACTCTCGCAGCGTTTCGAATCGTAGATTGTTCTGCCGTGGAAATGCCAAAATATTTGTGGTTGTTGTTATCAGAATCAAAAGGGCTACTCAAAATTTTAACATTTTCTGGGGTGCACATAAACGTATTATTTTCTGGGGTGAATGCCATCGGTTCTTCCACGTAGGTTATCTAAAACTATAATATCGTATTATTATTCTGTTAATTTGGGCCTATCATGTTTTTCCTATACAAACTCAACTTGTTTTCGTTTAAAACTTTTTAATATATCGTCCTTACAGCCTTACCTAAAATTCATGGTATAATAATAGAAGGTAACAGCAAGTGTTGTTGTACAAAAAACGATACAACAACCACATGGAAATTTTTCATCACAAAAGTAGAACACATGTATTTATATGAATTTTACCGAAATACGTCGACATACGAATTTTCAAAGTTGAAAAAATTCAACTATGACAGAACAGTAAATAGAAACAAAATATACAAAAATAAAATATCTTATTAGTTATCTATAACCTTTTTTTAATCAGACTCATTACCAAGAGTTCGGCATTCACACATCCCAACTACAACTTATTTTCGTCATATGAGAATTTTCAAAACCTTTTGTCTTCTATTGATTCTTTAATACATTAGTACCCTGATTATCTCTGATTCTTATACGAAAATTTTGAAGGTAAACGTTCAAGGTATCTCATCGACCACCACTAAGTATTTTTTTTTATCACTGATCATATCTGAATACCATCGGTACGTCGTCTTTCAACATAGGGTATCTAAAAAAATAATATCTTATTATTATTTTATAAATTTGGACCTATCACGTTTTTTCTATACAAACTCAGTACCGAGAGTTCCACATTTCACTTCCCAACTACTACTTGTTTTCATAATTTTGTCCTTATATTAATTCTGTCTCCAATACATGATTGTTTCTTGATTAGCTGCCGATATAAATTTGAATATACTGGAATTTAAATTTTAACATTTTCTGAGGGCATTAACTTGATTTTTGATGGGGTGAATACCATAGGTTTATCGCCTTTCATCACAAGGTATACATTAACTAAAACAATAATAAATTTTCTTATTATTAATCTATAATTTTTGACCTAACATATTTTTTCTATACAAACTCATTATCAAGAGTTCGACATTCACTTCCCAACTACACAACTACTGATGTTACAATACATTATTGTTTCCTGATTAGCAGCTGATAGATATTTGAAAATTCTAGGGCATGCATCCGAAACGAGTATCTCATATCAGAATTTTGAATCGACCACCACCACCAAATAATTGGTCATCACTGATCATTTCTGAATAAAACTGCATTTTCTTTCATTCGTGCTTATTCCATATTCAGCGACTTCTCCACTCGAATATTTCCATTGTATCCACACAATAATAACACTTGATTGTTGTTTTGTAAAAAACAGATTTTTTGTTGTTGTTTGTTTTTTTTTATTCACACACTTTTATTTTGGCTGCATTCCTAATGAAACAAATGCATCCAAAAAAGATAACACAGATCGTGGCTAAACTGCACACAGAAGAATAAAAATTAGACAAAAACTAATTTTTGTTATTTTTTGTAGTGTAGTGTAAAAACAAAAGAAACACCAAACCGAGATCAACCCAGTTTATTGTTCCTTGGTTTCACGGAGACGACGGACAGCAGAGCGTACGGAAGCAGCAGCGGTGGTAGAGTAAACCCAGGCACCACCGGCAACAACACGCTTGCAGCGTTTGCAGGACCAGATGCCGACGCAAGCACGCTTCATGGAATCCTAGAACAAGGAGAGGAGAGAGACACCCAATTAAAATACAATTCAAGAAAATGGAAATAAAGAAGCTTTTTCGGAACTTACCTTGCCGCAGAACGAGCAGGTATATTTGCTGTGCTGGGTGATTTCCATTTTCTTGACCATTTTACGTAGGGAAGCACCATAACGGGTACCATATTTACCTACGATTCCAACCTTCTTGGTGCGTTTGGCCTATAACAGAGATACCATAAAATGCGAATTAGTTTAATTTCTTAAGACACAATTCAATTTTATTTCACAATTTATATTTCATTTATTCCACTGTTGTTGATTTTCACAATTCCCTATTTTATTCGACAAAAATTGTCCATTGTTTGGAAATGATCTTTAATTTTAATTTGTCACATAGTTCTTTAACAATTTCTCACATTTTATTTCGTTTTATTTTCATGATTTTCATTATTTTTTAAGATTTTTTTATTTCGTACCATTTTTTTAGTTGTTGATCTGTCAAAAATTCAACCGGAAAGAAAAGGTTGAGCGTGTGAAGTTGGTTGTGTTTCATTGCGCTTGTCAGTTGCAGTGCATGCTATTTGTCGACAGATGGCGCATGTGATCACTTTTAGTCAATGAGTAATTAGTAATCATGTTTAAAGGGGGTATTTTATGATTGTAGATGTTATAAAATTCACATAGAAAAATAGTCAACTAGTTAATATTTTTACAAAATATTAGATTTTTATTGGAAATTGGCATACAATCTGGAAAGGAAATAGAAAACATACGCATAAGGCGTGGAGTTTTAGAGGATATTTTGAGATTAAATTTAAAGGGATGAACATTTAAGGGATATTTTGAGAAGAAATCGTACCGCTCTCAATGGGTCGGAAAGTACAACATACCTTGTAATACCCAGTATACCGTGGATTTTAAAAATCCACGCTTTTTTTGGACCTTAAAAATCCAAGCCTGTTTGTACCTCGGAAAAACTATTATTTTAAAAATCCACACCGTTTGAACCTTGGACGGCGATATTCACCGTCAACGCAGATCAGCCAATAGATCTTTAGGAGAAATTTTCTCTCAAACACTCCAAGAGCTGCCACATCTGCTTGCGCAAGTACCCATGCTTCATATCCATAGAACAGCTTCTTGTAGAATGTGAATTTGGTCTGGCGGGAGGTGGCCTTGGTTTTTTGTTTTTTGCTCAGACCATTTTCCGACGGTGGGACAAAAAATATTTTCCCTTCCGATTTTTGCATTAAATCTCCTAGCTGAATTTTAATGACATGGCCAGGGCAGCGGTCATTTGCTGTTTCTAGGTGCTCGTAAACAATGTCTGTGGTCCGTTCATCTTTGTCTTCCGTCTGAGCATGAACGCAAATAAGACTGATGTAGAAGAACTTCGCTTTTATACTGATTATAGGAATTCGCTCATCTGGAGACGAGATCTTTTACTCTCCTATTTCATGGCAGCTATAATACAGGGCGTAATCGTTTGAGGCGAAAACTGCGCCATGTTGTTTACAACGTGCGCACATTCCAAGTGCAGTTTCGCAGATCGTGGTCCTTTATACGTTTGCCGAGGTCGTAGTTGCTTTTTTATAGTATGTTCGCCTTTCCGAGTGTGGGCAACTAACCCAACGCCTCAACCCATTTTTTTGTTATGGGCAATCTCGCGACACATATAAGCTCATTATTTCACTGGATGATAAAAATATTTATCCAGGTGACACCGCGGGGAGGTCAGTGTCAACAATTGAGTTGAAAGTGGGACCAAGGTAAGCCTGGGCTTCGTCATATTAAAGCCAATCAGGGCCGTTGCTTGGTATCTTTCAGCCCCTACGTCACAATCCACGCTTGTTTGGGCCTTTCAAAAATATAATTTTAAACATCTAATTCTGTTTGGAAAAAAATAATTTAAAAAATCCACGTTTGTTTGTACCTTGAAATATATAATTTTAAATACCTACGCATACTTGAACCTCATATAATATAATTTTTTAAAAACCTACGTATGATTAAACGTGGATTTCTTTTTTTCATTCACACTTTATTTATTCAATTCTCCAAAATATTCTTTTAAAAAACCGCGCTTGTTGGGAACTTGAAAAATATTATTTTAAAAATCTACATTACCTAAAAATCCACTCTCTTAATCTTCTTATATATTATATCATCTCTAAAATATTCCTAAAAAATAACATTTGATTTCCAAAATATATTCTTTTACAAATCTAGGTCGTCTTGTTCGATCGACCAAAAAATGTTCATTCAAAAATCCATCAAGAGATTTGGCACAATTTGTTAATTATAAACAACATGAAATTTCATTCATTTTTCGCTTTTTAGTTATATGTTCAAAATGCCAACAACAAGTTGTTGTGTTTTATATTTGACAGAAGAAGCCACAACCTACAGAGCAGCTTTTTGTTATTCACATGCAAGACCTGTATGTTTTCAAACACACCTATTTTCTAGTTATCAACCATTGCAACCGCAACGAATTAAATTACTGCTTATCACCACGTATTATTAAATGTGAACCCACCCGCCATCTAAACCACACACAAAACATCTAATCTGGTGTGACCTATATTCTTTTTGACAATGAACAGCTGTTGTCACACAAATAAAAAAACAATTCTTAGCTACACCACTACACACATACAAATTATCATTTGTTTGTTGGCTGGCTGGCATAGAGTTATTGACATTTTAATACGTATTTTTTGTTGTTAATGTTTTTGTTTTGTTTTTATCGGAACTAGGCAAAGGCGTATTGTTAGCGACGACGACGACAACAACAACGACTTCATCATCGACACCACAACCAGAAGCTGAAGAAAAGTCAAACCACAACAATTTTCATCATCATCATCGCCGTAGTCGTCGTTGTGGAAAGAGTTAGCAAACAAAGAAGTGAAGCAGTGACAGCAGTTATAAACATTTCTATTATTTAAATAATTATTTTTGGCAACTGATAAACAAAAAGTGAGAACAAAAACAACAACAATACGAGACGACACCAAGCATAATGTTTAGGGCGGCTTTGGTAAATCTATAATAAAAGCGATTGGCAAAACAACTTTTACGTGCAAAAAAGTCACACAGGTTGTGGAAGAAGGAAGGAAGACAGCCAGGCAGGCAGGAAGAAAGGAAGTGAGGTACAACAAAGTTCATTCGTGTTTTTTAGATTAAACCATTTTGGAATTTTTATTTGTGAAGAGGAGCATACTATTTCATTGAAAATTAATCCTGAGCTAAGACTAAAATACCAAGGGGTCAGTATAATTTTTGATTTGTTTTTTTTTTTATAATTAAATTAGATTGTTTTTCTTCGTTACAAAAACAATACGGCAGGTCCAAAAATATTTTTCACAAATACACACACCATCCCGAGTAGCCTGCCTGCTTGATTGGTGTTAGGTAGCAAATCTACATTTTGTTTTTGTTAAACATATGTTAATTTTTTGTTGTTGTTTTTGTATTCTTCCAGAGCACCATGTGTGAATGGCGTTGCAATGCCCTGGTCAAAGACAACAACAAATATAATCCAGACACCTTGGATTTAAACACCGATGAGGAGGCAGCTCGATATTGGTTTCCCTGTTTCCAGGATATGATTAAGAAATTCGCACGTCAAGCGGAAAATTCACAAAAATCCCACGACGACACAGCCACCGAAAGGGCCCAGCAGTTCCGCGAAACGTATTTACGAAAACTGGAAGAATATCGCTGCCAAACCAAAGAAAATGCCGAAAATAATAAAACCCTTGGTATCCGGGAGCTGCTGGAGTTAATTGATAAACATTTAAGACTCTACGGGTTCCCAGATCCTTGGCTGGAACAAAAGAAGACCGAAAATACAGCTGCCTTAGAATTGTTTGCGGAGCGTATAGGCGAAATAGATGCCATAGCAGATTCCCGCCAACGGTGGACGGAATTGGTGAAGGGTGTATTGGCGGGGAATATGTTTGATTGGGGAGCCCAAGCTGTAACAAATATCATATTAAATGACAAAACGTTTGGTTTGCATGCAGCTCTGGAACGTATCCAGAAGAGGCCATGGCTAATGGATGATTTGGACAAATGGCTGGAGCGGCTGCATAATGGTGGGGCGATACACAAATGTGCTGCCGTCTTTGTTGACAACTGTGGTGTTGATGTGGTCCTGGGCATTTTGCCCTTTGCCCGAGAACTCTTAAAGAGAGGAACACGTGTCATCCTCTGTGCAAATAATGAACCCTCTTTGAATGATGTTACCATATCCGAGTTATCCACGATATTGGATAGCTGTAGTTGCCATTGTCCTACTATTAAAGAAGCACGCAGCAGTAAACTTCTGACCATACAGGGAACGGGACAAAAAGGCCCCTGCCTGGATATGCGCACCCTGCCACAGGATTTGTGTAATGCCTTAAATGAGACTGATCTTCTTGTCATTGAGGGTATGGGACGGGCCCTACACACTAATCTATATGCAAGTTTTAATTGTGACACCCTGAAATTGGCTGTGGTAAAGAATAAATGGTTGGCCCAACGTTTGGGTGGTGATACCTTTTCGGTCATATGTCGTTATGAACCACTGCTGCCACTGAGCTGAGTGCGGTGGATTTATATTATTTTTTGTCTCACGAAATTATCGGTTGTATCATTACATATATACCTATATTGGGCTGAAATTGTGTTGTTCTGTAGTATGTAGGGCGTTTTCTTATATTCTCTTAACATTTTTTGTTATTTTTTTAGTTACTAATTTCTTTTTTGTTAATTGTTTTTTTAATACTTTGATTTGGACATTATTTTTTGCTAAGAACAACATAAATTTAGAGTTTACGATTTAAGAGGATTACCTTAACAAACTTAACAAATATTGAATTATTTTGTATTATTTATATTTGTTTTAGAATTTTCGTTCTCGATTGATTTTCTTTTTTTTCACGCAAACACAAAAACACACACGATTACGTTATGAAAATCATGCAATAAGGAATAATAAACAAACAAAAAAGTATTTAAATGCAAATAAATGACTTATTTTTTGAAATGCAATGGACAAACAAATATCTAAATTGGGTAATGATTATTCTGTTTGAATATTCTTCGACTTTAGCATTCGTATGACCTTCTAAAAAATGAACTATTCGATGACGTAGTCGTCTATGCTAAAACTTGTTCTATTTTTCTTTTTGTATCCCATGCAAAAAAATATACCAGAATTGAAATTTCAAAGAAACAACGTGTTCTTCAATTTCGTACATACACATAGGCGCCAATAATGAAATTGGTTTTTGAAAGTAAAACTAGTTTTGAATTGCTAATTTTATGTTAATTATTAAAACGAAAAAAAAATATGATATGATATATTTTTATTAGTTTGCAAATAAAACTATACCAAAATGTATTGAGTTTTTGTTTTTCGAAGTAAATTTAGAAATGCATTCATAGAATTAAAGATAACGACTTTTGGGATTCAGAGACACAACAATGCAAATTACATTTCTCGCCTTTGTTTATATATTTATAAACTTCCCCAATCTTATTATAAACAACAAAAAAATAAACAATTATAACGTCTTATATGATTGATCTACATTCTATTATCTAGAGGTGTGTTGTAGTATTATCAACCATGTTCGTTTTTTCACTTCCCCATATAAAAGGTCGTTCGTATCTCTTATCTCAATCATTGTTGTTGTTGTTGTCGACATTTACTACTTCTTTACAACAAATAACTACCATAAATTCCATTTGCATGTTTACCGTTAATTAATATGCAAGTACGTTTATAATGTGTTAAAACAAATGTGTGGGTATGTGTCGGATCCGATATAATACTACTGTTATAATTATACTGTACTAATCTATCACAAAGATTAACAATCATTTCACAAAAGAAACAAAAACGAGCAGAATAAAGAAATACTACTACATTGGGATGAGGTGTTTTGAATATTTCAAAAAATGTTTGCAAAATTCGATAGCTAATTAGCTTAAGTTGTCCTAGGGAACATAGGATTTTAATGGAACTCATAGTCTATTAATAAGGTCTTAAAGTCTATTAAAAAGGTCATACAGGAAAATCAGCTGTCTCTCAAATTTGCTGTCAAAATCCATAATTTTGAATTTACTTCCATTATATAAACGTAAACAACATTAGACTTGAGAAAAAACTATAATTTTTAAATCCAAATTTTTAGGAAAATATATTTTTGGGAAAATATTTAAAACAACAAACTGGGATTCAGCCTGACTATTTTGCAAAAACAAAAAAAAGGAAAATATTTATTTTTTATTCCGAATCTTTTCCAAGTTGACCGGGCAATCATAGACTGGGTTAACTATTTTAGCTGTAGCATATAGGACATAACAATCAGAGACAAAGTAGGACAGGGAAAACCACATGGAGGGATTTTGCCACCGCTTCTGTGGGTAACTACCATAAATGGTCTCTTAAGGAACTTAACCGATGAAGGATTTGAACCAGTCTGCTATGCAGATGACGTTATAATACTTCTTAGGGGAAAGAATTCTAACTTAATATGCAGGAAATCCGAAACAGTGCTAACAATCGCCTACGATTGAACTAAACCGAGGGACTTAAACAAAAATAGGTCAGTATGAAGAGTCTATCTTCCAAAGCAAATTCTAGACAAGAACCTTAATGGAAAGAACACATAGAGCAAAGGACTGACAATGCCCATAAATACTGACCTTTATGTAAAGGTTTCAGGGGTTTCAGTCCTAAGATGATACACTGGATCTATAAGAGCGTTATTAGACCAATTGTAACTTACGCGTCTGTTGGACAGCAATGGATAAAAAATGTGACGTAAAAGCGTTGCAGAAATCCAATAGACATCCAAATAGCATACCGCAGGAAAACATATTACAGGAAACTACTGAGTCAACAATCAATACCTTTGGTTCAGACCGCATACCTGAAACAAGAGTAGTAACACGGAGCGGAGCTATAATACCAGATAGATAACAATGGAATAGTGGAACACTAGTTCAGATGCAGCCTGGTAACTGTTGCTACACAGATGGCTCTCGAGTAGGAGGAAAAACTGGACTGTGACTTTTTATCGAAGAACCGGGTACCGAAATTTCTCTTCGTCTTACAGATCACAGCACGATCCTACAGGCGGGGGTTCATGCTATAACAAAGTGTCTTAATTGGTTAAGTTCAAACCATGGATAAATTACAATAAATATTATTACGGATAGCAAACAAGCTATAAAGGCAATATCTTCCAAAACTGTACTGGAATTTATAAATACCATTATTGATTACTCACAACAAGAACCTGTACGAATAATATGGGTACCGAGTCACCAAGGAATCATAGGCAACGAGATAGCAAATCAACTAGCTCGGAGTGCTACTGCACTACCCACAATATATGTGAATATCGCCAAAACCTTCAGCAAAACACGCCAAGAAATAAGAACATGGGCGAATGAGACACACATAACCCTTTGGGAAAATGAGGGGACAGGAAAGATCACCAAAATCTTATGGGGTGACCCAAATAAAGACAAAACAAAGCAAATCCTAACGCTGACTGACGGGTATTCTGACGGGACACCTCAGCCTGAAGGCACATCTACTCAGGATTGGATGCGAAGGTAGCAGCATGTGCAGAGCGTGTGGAGAATACAGTGAAACGCTGGAACATTTCCTGTGCCATTGCCCAGCATTAACTTGCCTTCGGAAACAATTCTTGGGAAATAACACACTTCACGGACTAACCGATCTGAGGGGGTGTGCATGGAGAAGACTGAATTAGTTCTCAAATAAAAAAAGGAATTCCTAGATTCATAGTGTGATCAAACCCAAAATGTTTTTTATCTAAACCTTCACTAATTCTAACTTTCTCCGCATTTCTAGAGCGCACAAAAGGCCACAATTGGTTTATATGTATGTCCTACTCATATTGGACATGTGGTGGTATTATCCACCCCTCTTTTCAACCTAACCTATTCTGAATCTTTTAGGATAAATTCAAACTTTTTAGCTCAAACCCTAGATAAAATATTTTTTTAATCCAAGAGAATAAAAATATTGAAATAACCTTTAGGTTATTTACTGTCGAAATAAAGAGTCTGCCAACTTCGTAATTAAGAGATGTGGTCTTATATGATATTAAAAATTCTCGAAATTCTTTTCCGCAATTTTAGAACAAATTTCTGTTCACAGATTTAATGCAATTATCCTAAATAGGATATGCACAATTTTGACATCGCTACATCCTTGCATTCGGGAGATACAGTATATTCTTTCGGAAAAATTAAAGTCCAAGATCAAAATCTTTTGATAAGTGTCGTCCATAATCAAGTCTTGACATATGAAATCCAAATAATATATATCTACTAGCTGCATATTAATTATAAGCTTTAAAACAAAGGGTTAAATATCCTTGAATGATTCTAGAAAAAAATTAATTTAAAAAATCCATGCCTTCAATGGACCTATAAAAATTATTTTAAAAAATCCACCCGTTGAATGGTTCTATAATGGTCTTAGCAAAAATATATTTTTATTAATATGGGCGTTAAAATTCTTTTAAAGTCTATACCCATAAATCTTCCATTGGTAGAGAAAATACGCGATTTTAATATTTAAAAGTATTCTTGAAGTAGACTTGATTTATTTAAAAAGAAATTAAATTTAAAATGTTAAGAAATACAAAAATAGATTTTTTACTTAAAATATAGTGTTTAAAGAAATACATTTTCAGTTTTCATATTGTCACGATTTGTTCTTAAATTTATAAAAAGTTAGTTTTTTATTAAAATCTGAAATTAAAAAATATTATTAGTAAAAATATAACAATTTTTTTTAATAAAAAAAACTTACAACGATCACAATTTCAATCTCTGGCACCAGCAATTTGTGTTAAAATTGTTGGATAGGTTTTCAATATATCGTATTTTTTACCAGGAGCAGCAAACTGTAGAGGCGTATAATTTTCTTTATTGCACTTTATCAAATGATTATTGGACTTCAGATTCGAATAGGGTTGTTTACTTTGAAGTTTGGGATCTTGTTGCTCCTTGGCCAATTGTTTTAATTGCAGAAATTTGGCAATGAAGAAAGACATGATGAAGGCAAATGATGTCGATGATGTTTGTAGGAAGTGTTCAGTGAAAGTGATAAGGTTTGGGTTATGTCCTAGTTTATTTATAGTCGCTTGCAAGATCCTAAATCAGGTAGCGTGAACCGTTATTACCTACAATTAACTACTTCAACATCTGCCGGCATACTTTAATACTTAATTAGGGAAATTTAAAAATAAAACATTGTCCTACCTGCGGATGCAGCAATTTTCTAAGTATCATATTTTAATTCCACTCAAAAAATTCCTTGGTTACAATTTAAAAGGGGTTTCCAATACCGTTAAACTATTACATATTTATAAAAGTGGATTAGATTACAGCTGACTTATAAGTAATTTTGGATTTTCTTGGAATTATTTACATATGTATGTATATTTATGATTAAGCGTTTCAATTTGGTTTTTTCTTGACATCATTTGAATATCATGTTCCCAAAAACAGAAGAGGTCCATCAATAGACGAGGAGAAAAAATTAAATGGAAAACAGTATCAACTTTGTTGACTGAACCGATATAGATAGGAGTCAATTGGTCTACATATATATGAAAACAAATGGTTCGACATTTTTGTGTTAAAGAATCCTTATCGTAATCAAAAAATATGTGCTAATCTTTTGCTGCAATATTGGCTGACAAAAAGGTACTTCTATTTGAAGCAGCAACATAATTAAAAGCCTTCGATGGGAATTGCCGCGCATCTAATCCAATATGAAAGACCATGTTCCGAGATGTCTTCTACTTGATCTTTCAATCGGATTCATAGCTTTCCTCTTCTGCGTGAACCTTCTCTTGACTAGCTATTTGTCCTTTGAGTAGGGGAAACCTCATCCATTCTCACAACATGACCTAACCAACGTAGTCGCTGCAGCTCGATCCATCTGAGTACATCGATGTCCGAGAATATCTGGTACAACTCATAGTTGGTGGTGGTCTTGCTTTTGAGTTGCTTACTCAGACCATAGTAGCATCTGTTGGCCAACACTATTCGCCTCCGGATTTCAAAGCTGATGTTATTAGTTTTGTTTATGGCGGTACCAAGGGATATAAAATCTTTGATTACCTCGAATTTGTAGTTTTCAAGTTTCACAGTTGGTCCGGTCTACAGGACGTTTTGCGCATTGATACCATCAGCTTGGTGTTTTCGCCATTTACTGTCAGTCCCACTTTGTCAGACTCCTCAATTCGTTCAAGAGTGGCTGCTACCGACGCAATGTTTGACCCATTTTGTCGATGTTTTCGGCGTAGGCGAGTACCATGCTGTTTGGAGTACAGAGTCCCATTTCTGTTCACATTTGCATTTCGTATGGCCTTTTCCAGCAGGATATTTTCAACAGGTCACACAACAAACTGTCACTCGTTTCCACGACAGAGGGGTCTACGATCCGAAACGACCCGAGTGTTATTCGGCCAACGTCTGTCATCTCAGCCCATTGTGTAAAAACAATAGAGCTGCTACAACAAAACTGTCACCTTGTCTGAATCCTCGTTCCTCACCACATGTAGCTGGAGTTATGGACACGCCGTTACCGAAGTTATAGTACGTTTACATTGTACGTCATTTTGTTAACTCGGTGGGTTTCAATTGTAAATTCCTTTACATATATGTCATAAAATAGGTTAACCCGGTAAAAAGTTCTAATGTATATGCCGTTTAAATGTCATTTTTTACCAATTGGTCCATATAGAGACTTTAGGACCTTATAAAGTCCATTTGGTCTGTATAGATACCACATATCTTTACAAAAACCAAATGGTTTGTATAGAGACCACCACTCTCATTATATACCCCCATTAAATTAAAATCGTATAGTCTAAAGCCTCGCGATGTTTATCGCTACAAAACGAATTAGAAAGCACTGACAACATCCATTATCGATCTTTAAAACCCTAACCATCTGGCAGCGTTGTTGTGTTTGTTTTTTATGAGTGAAGCAACAACAACGCGTCCGCGGCTCCTGGTAAATAAACAAATCCGAAATGAGTGAATTAATTAAAATTTTCCAAAAATTAAGCGAATATTTTGTACAAGGCCTAGTGTGGGAAGAAATTGAAGATATATTTGAACAATTTCAAAGAAATAAAAACGCCACAGAAGCTCCTGCGCAAAATGAACATCTCCGGAAATTGTTGAACATTCCTTTGGTTCAGCGTTGTGTAGTCGATGAACAAATCGTATCAAATCTTCGAGATTTATGTGTGGCCATACGAACATTACGCGGTGATTCCGTTGGGAGTTATGATAATACATTTGATTGTTGGGATCAAGTTGTGAAGGTGGCACCACGAGATGGTTACCTGGCATTTATATACACCTTGGCTGGTCTAATACAAATCGATCCGAACTCGTCGCAATATATTAAGTTATCTTTGTTGGCGGTAAATGCATATTTTCTTACGCTTACCATACCGGGAGCAAAAGGGTTTCACATCTTCGAAGAAGAGCTAATAAATCACTGTCTGCAAGTATTTGGACTCATAGAACGTCTACAAAATCCAGATGTTATTAGTCGAATGTCTCGCCATGAACCCATCCAAATATGGCTACAATTTTCAACATTTTGTGATGACCTGAAGTTGGTGTTGCGTTATGTCCACTTTAAGGATTATCAAACGGCCCGAAATGGTATCCTAAAGAAGTTAATTGATATTCAGTACGTGAATCATGAACGGGGATATGCAAATATGTGTAAGTATTGTGAATTTATTATTATTAAAAAATATGTACCTATTGATTTTTAATATAATTTTAGAATATGAATAGTCTCGCTCAGAAAAATTCTAAGAACTTTGCAGAGTATCAGACGATAATTTAAGCAATTGAAACCCTTGGTTCCTTTTGAGAATATCTCCGTCCGTTTGTTAATGTTAAATTGTAAACAAAGTACAGGTCGCATTTTATAGTCCGATTCGGATGAAATTTGACACAATTCACTTATTTGGCCCGAAGAATAACCCTATTGAATTTAGAGTGAAGTGGTGAAGGGTATCATATATCAATCAAATTCAATAATGTTTTGCCATTGAAAAAATATATTTTTTAAAATCCACGTTTTTTGGCTCTTGCTGAAATATTTTGTTAGAAAATCCACGCCTGTTTAACTCTTAAAAAAAAATACTTTTCAAAATCCATGGTTTTTTAGCCCTCAAAATATATCTAGGCATTATTGACCCTTGAAAATATATATTATTTTAACACCAATGATTGCTTAGCCATTCAAACAATATACTATTCCAGGAAATACAAATTAAAATACATTTTTTTTTGTAAAAAATCCCAATCATTTATTTTGTAATACCAAAACTTTTAACATTTCTAATGTTTTTTAAGCTATAATAATATTTTTTCGTAAAGTAAGGCCTTTGGCCATAGCATACCCAATTAAATTAAATTCTACCCAAGTTATCATCATTTAACCCATTGCTCTCTTCATAAATATATCTTTAATTTGTGGTAAATTATTAGTCAATTGTAGACCCAAACTTCTGAGCAAGACAACAGGACTAAATGTTGTCGTATACAGTGTATGTAAACCATGTATGCCAACAATAATTGGAACATTCTTCGTTAAAGCTCGTTGTTCGTATTTCGTAAGATATTGCATATCACCCAATTTGGCACCCGAGTATACACCCTCGGCTAATGCCTCAACCAAAAATGAGACATCACTGAAACCAAGATTGACACCCTGCCCTGCCAAGGGGTGGACACGATGTGCAGCATCTCCTATTAAGGCAGCTCCAGGGCGTACATACGACGATGCATGCAAGAATCCCAATGGAAATGTTGCCCTTGATTTGTCCATAACACCAGCTACACGTGGTGGATATTGGCGTAGGGTATTAGTGTTCTGACCCAACATCGAGTTGAGAACATCCAAAGCTTTTACAGCAACATCACTTTTTGGGAATTCTTTGCAAAATGCTTCATTCAAAGCATCCACAAATTGTTCTGGAGACATGCTCAACAACTCTTTTGCATGTGGTACAGTGGTACTCCATACCAGGGAACTTAATTTATCGGTTAGAGGTAGAAGAGCAACAGGTCCTGTGGGTATAAAACGTTGCCATGCCACAGAGTTATCACCGGACTCACTCAATTCTAATGTGGCAACCAAACCCATACGTTTATAATCCATGGAGAATACATCGACATCCATTTCTTTACGCACCAACGAATTGGCACCATCTGCTCCGACCAATAATTCACATGAAAACTTCTCGCCACCTTGTAATGTTACCTCGGAACATGACTTGCCTGTTTTGGAGGGTAACTTCACATCAGCTATTCTCGATAGATTACGTACCATAACATTTGGTGCATTTTCATTCAATTGATTATAAATCGAATCCAACATTAAATCATTTTCCACAATGCAGGCAACATCATCGGCAAAGTGTTCATGTTGGAAATTTATCAAAGCATCACTATTGGCATCCCAAACTTGCATTTGTTTAACCGGCTTAACACGGGCATTTGTCATTCGCTCCCAAATACCAATCGATTCGAATAGGGCAATGGTTTTCTTGTTGATTGCCGATACACGATTGCCATAGGGTTTGCTGACATCGAAACCTTTAAATGGTGGTGCTCCTTCCAACAGGAGTACCTTTTTGTCAGCCAATGTTTTATTTTTTGAGAGAGCAGCAGCCAAAGCGGTACCCACCAGGCCACCTCCACCAATGATTATATCATAATGTTCGGTAGCTGTATGCGAGCTGCTCTGATTCTCATTTAATCGTACAGTTACACTTAGGTTTCTGGTTACCACCGTTTGTATGCGATTTGGTTTAAAATTTCGTAGATTTTTTATTAAAATCATCCTGACTTGTCGATCTGCGGCGGTCTATTTGTTCGTCGTTATGAATATTTGACGTTTAGCATATTTCACAATTTGTTATTCTCTCCCTCTCTTAGAATTTTACTACAAATCTCTCTTTCAGTGTTGGTAAATTCCGTTATTAGAGATGGCAAGTGAAAAAAAATACTACGTAGGGTACACACTTTAGAACAGATGAAAAGATTTTATTATTTTATAATTGCCTATTAAATACTATTAAAATTAAATATTTTAGAAATTTATAGTACGTTTACATTTAACCGGATTTTGTTAACCCAGTGGGTTTCAATTGTCAATTCCTTTGCATATATGTCAAATAAATCCTCATAAAGTAGGTTAACCCGGTAAAAAGTTCTAATGTATGTCTTGATTTAGATTAGGCGAGTTTACTTGCGGCAAGTCTTTGTTTGTAGGAGAGAGGGGCAAGGGGAATAGAAATGAAAAAAAAAATTGCTCGTACCGACAATTTTCTGGCAATTCGTTTTGTGTATTTCGTATTTGTTGACATTTTATATAGATTTAAATGTGAAAAAAAAAACAAATAGAAAAATATTTTGGAAACCGAATTGCCTTGTATAAACGCATGAAGCAAGTTCAAAAGAGAACGACAAGAATTGCCGCAAGTAAACTCGTCTAATCTAAATCAAGACTATATGCCGTTTTAGTTAGAAGAACGTAGTTGGAAAAAAATTGGTCTCGAAGTATTTTAGTTTTTATTACCCTCGAAAAAATCCTTTTAAAATCGGAGCTTGTTTGAAATTCGAAAAAAATATTTGTTCCAAAAGCCGAGCTGAAAAAGATTTCCAGTCGCGTCGGTCATTTGTGTAACTGTTCCAATTTGAAATGCCATGTTTCGAAATCTTGTCATCCACTTCCATCGGATTCGTGGCCTTCCCCTTCTTAGTGAAGAATCAGTTGGTTCACTTTTAAAAAAACTTTTGAGCTGGAGCATCCTAATCCATTCTCACAACATATCCTACCCTATGTCGCAGCGCTATACGTCTGACTATGTCGATTTCCGAGAATAGATGGTACAAATCATGGTTCATTCTTTCGGAGAATTTTTCTCTCAAACACACCAAGAGCTGCCTTATCTGCTTGCACAAGTACCCATGCTTCACATCGAGGCAACAGCACGGGTGGTATCAGTGCCTTGTAGAGTGTGAGTTTGGTCTGGCGAGAGGTGGCCTTTTTTTTAATTGCTTACTCAGACCACACTATTCTTCTCCGGATTTCAAAAATGATGTTATTAGTTTTTTATGACGGTACTGAGGTATATAAAATCGTTCAGCACCTCGATGCTGTAGTTTTCCACCCATTCTCACAACATATCCTACCCAATGTCGCAGCGCTATACGTCTGACTATGTCGATTTCCGAGAATAGATGGTACAAATCATGCTTCATTCTTTCGGAGAATTTTTCTCTCAAACACACCAAGAGCTGCCTTATCTGCTTGCACAAGTACCCATGCTTCACATCGAGACAACAGCAGGGGTGGTATCAGTGCCTTGTAGAGAGTGAGTTTGGTCTGGCGAGAGGTGGCCTTTTTTTAATTGCTTACCCAGACCACACTATTCTTCTCCGGATTTCAAAAATGATGTTATTAGTTTTTTATGGCGGTACTGAGGTATATAAAATCGTTCACCACCTTGAAGCTGTAGTTTTCTAGTTCCATAGTTGGTCCGAGTCCACTGGACGTCTTGCGCTTTGATACCATCAGCTTGGTCTTCTCGTCATTTACTGCCAGTCCCAATTTGGCAGACTCCTTCTCATTTTGTTCAAAAGTGTTACCGCTCGCAATGTTCGACCCCTTATCTCGATGTCATCGGCGTCGGCGAGTGCCATTTCTGTTCACATTTGTATGTCCTATGATGTTCTCCAGCAGGATGTTAAAAATGTCACCTTGTCTGTATCCTCGTTCGGTATTGAACGCCTCTCAGAGGTCCTTTCTCCATTAACTGTGCCCCTTAAAGTTATCCTGCATAGCCTATCGAATGCGGATTCATAGTCGACGAACAGGTGGACAAAAGGTCACACGACAAACTGCCACCTTGTCTGAATCCTCGTTCGGTATTGAACGCCTCCCATAGGTCCTTTCCCATTTTAGTTCGAAAGTCTTAAACACTAAATGAATGCTTGCGGCTATCACCACATGATCAATATATTATGTCTTGTCACATTACACAGAACGCCTCAAAGTTCCGATAAAGATGACATATGGGTGGTTTGATTGAGTCATCAATTGTTAGACCTGTAGATTGAGATCCTCGTCTAGCCAATTCGTCTGCTCTTTCATTACCCATGATGTCACGGTGTCCTGGTACCCAACCCAGCCGATAGCTATAAATAAGTTCTTCCAAAGCTGTTCTACATTTAAGGACGGCCTCAGATTTGATGCAACAGGATTTGATGGCATTAAGAACCGCTTGACTATCTACAAAGATAGTCACCGGCTAAACGATTTCTGCATCCAGACTTTTTATCAATTCCGCTGCCTTCCAAATCGCAATGATTTCAGTTTGGAAAACACTACAGCCTTCCCAGATGACCATCTAGAGGAGGGTTACTTCGGTTCCAGTCGTCTCTACTAGGAATAACGACATCTACATCGTCAAATCTCAGGACTGGTGCTATGTAGAGGCTTAGTTTTACGCGTTGGTCCAATGTCATACCTGGTTCGTCTAAGATACAACCATGCCCAAAGCTACAACTTCGCCAAAGATTTTTTTCATGCAGCCTTAGGGCACTACGTGCGGCCTGACACTTAATGCTGAGGCCCAGAGGCCTTAAGTTCAGCATTGCGTTCAGAGCTGCTTGTGGCGTGCTCCTCATGTTTCTTCATGGAGTCTGAATTTTCCGACGATGGGCCCAAAATTATGTTCCTTTCCGATTTTTGCATTAAAATCTCTTAGCAGAATTTTAACACCATGGTCAGGGCAGCTTTCATATGCTGTTTCTAGACCAAATATGACTATGGTCTGTTCATCTTTTTTTCGTTGCTTTTTCATAGTAGGAGGGGTTTCCGAGTATTGGCAACTACCCGATGTCTCAACCCATTTTTCTATAGTTCTTATGGGTGGACTCACGGCATATAGTTGCTCACTATTTCAACGGATGATGAGAGTGACACCGCGGGGGGTCAGAATCCACAATTGAAATGAAAGAGGGACCAAGATACATCTTCTACTTTATTAAAAAAAAATACAATAAATATTTGAGAGAAGTATATAAGAATTGTGGTAAAAACCGCCCATAGTAAATTTTTCAAATGACCCCCACCAGAACTGACAAAAAAATGTACAACATATGTGTTTTGTTTTTGTACCACTCTATCAGCATTTCTCATCCCTAACTAACTTCCAACGATAACACTTGTTATCGGTTTGTGTGTGTGTGTGTGTGTAAGTGAACAAAACAACAACATAAACAAAGGAACGAAAGAAAAAACACTCTTGTGGCAACATTGTTTCATCGAAATCATCAAAAGGAAAACAAAAATATCCAAAGAACGTAATTACGAAGAGAACGAAGAGCTAGCGAAGACGACATCTTTTCCATTTTGTAATTAAATTTTGAATTTTCAACCAAAATGTCGGAAATCAAGTCCATGGAACATGCCACCTTGAAGGTTCCCTACGAAGTGATTAACAAAAAATTTCGTGTTGCTCAAAAATCGGTCGACAGGGAGGTTGATCAAATTCAGAACTACTCCAAGGAAGTTGAAAAGGCTTTAATGCATCGTCCCGTAATCTCCGACGTCAGCAAACTGGTGGGCAATGTCGTACAACGTCTTCAGGTACTCAAACGCAAATCGGACGAGGCCATTGGCGATGAGCTGAATGCCAGTTTCATTTGCAAACGAAAATTGGAACATTTAAAAGAAATTGTTCAACGCGACAGCAATACCAGTGAAGAGGTGTGGCAGGCATCTATTGACCAATGGAAACGCGTACGTATGGATCGTATGGTTATTGAGCACTTGCTGCGTATGGGCTACTATGAGACGGCCGAACGTCTGGCAAATTATTCCGACATTCGCCATTTGACAAATTTAGATATTTTCCATACCTCAAGGGAGGTCGAAGAAGATTTGGCTGCTCACAAGACAACAAAATGTATTCTCTGGTGCTTGGACAACAAATCGAAATTGAGGAAAATTAATTCGAACATTGAATTTGATTTACGTGTACAAGAATTTGTTGAACTGATACGTAAAAATCAGCGCACCGAAGCTGTAGTTCATGCCCGTAAATATTTTCCAGCATTTGAAAAGACTCAGATCAAGGAGATTTGTGAATGTATGGCCTTGTTGGCCTATCAACCAGATACCACAATTGAACCCTATCGCAGTCTGTTCGACATCAATCGTTGGAACAATCTCGTTCTCAAATTTCGTAATGAAAACTATAGACTATTTCAGCTATCCTCACAATCCTTGCTCAGTATTGCCGTACAGGCTGGCCTGTCATCGTTGAAAACTCCCCACTGCTACTCGTTCAATTGCAAGAATCTAAATTGTCCCGTTTGTCAAGAAGATTTTAATCGCATTGCCAAGACCTTGCCCTATTCGCATTGTGTACAGAGTCGTTTAATTTGTCGCATCACTGGTCTGCCATTGAATGAACACAATTTGCCGATGATGTTGCCGAATGGCCAAATCTTTGGCCAGTTAGCTATACCCGAAATAACCAAAGAGAATGGAACCGTTTTGTGTCCGATAACGAATACGAAATTTACTAATCCTAAAATTGAAAAAGTTTTCGTCATGTAAATTTTTTTGTTTAGTAGAATTTGAGATTTTATTATTTTTTGAAAAACCTATCTTAATTGATAAAATTGCCATCAATTTTGTTCGAACAACACATATATTTATATATAGTATATTACTAACATACACACAAACACACCCTTAGAATGTAATGCGAACCTAAACTCTACTAATATCTTACTTCATGATGAATTAATAATAAGAATAAGAACATAAGAATTTAATTTTATTTTGAAATAAAGAGAAATATAGACAAAATTGTGGATTTTTTTTGGGGACCATAACAGGCCTGAGATTTTAAAGAAGACTTTTTTGGGGACCATCTCATGCGTGGGTTTTTAAAGAAGAATTTTAGAGACCATCACTGTCCTGGCATTTTTAAAGAACATGTTTTTGGTTACCATCACAGGCCTGGGATTTTTAAAGAAGACGTTTTGGGAACCATCACAAGCTTGGATTTTTAAAGAAGACTTTTTGGCGACCATCACTGGCTTGGGATTTTTAAAGAATATTTTTTGAGGACCATCACTGTCCTGGCATTTTTAAAGAACATGTTTTTGGGAATTTCATCACAGGCCTTATATTATGATTTTTAAAATTAAGACTTTTTGGGAACCATCACAAGCTTGGATTTTTAAAGAAGACTTTTTTGGGGACCATCACAGGCCTGGTATTTTTAAAGAAGACTTTTTTAGAGACCAACACAGGCGTGGATTTTTAACACTAGATTGCCGAAGGCAGTCATTTTGACCGCTTTTCAATTTCAAGTACAAAAACAATTGTGTATATTATGACCCAGCTTTTTAAAATTTGGTGACTTTTTGTACCACATAGAACTACTTTTATTAATCATAGTAGCTGCTTCCTCCCCTCTTCCATTCCCCGTATTCACATGTGCTATACCTATATTGCCTAAAAGCGGTCATTTTGACCTTTTGTGAAATATTAAATAATCAAACTACTTTTATTATTGTATAAAGTAAATTTCTTATATGACCAGATCAGTACAACAACATCGAAACCCGTTTGCTACTCTAGTAACACAAACGAACATACAAATCGGGAAAAATAAATTTTATTCGATTCGATTTCACTCTTCGATTTCACTCTTAGAGTAAAGACTTCCTCTTTTTGGAACATTTCGTCCGCGCTCTTATTTTTCAAAAGGGGAAACTCGAGAGCCCTACCACCGAAATCAAATAATAACAACGTTTTGTATGATTGTAAATAATGTAAAAAATATTAAAAAATTAGTTTAAAAATTTTTCTTTACAAAATAAAAATTCTTTCAGAATGAGGTCAGTTTGACCGATTTTAGGCAATATAGGTATATACAAAATTCCCGTCTTTCTAGTGTTAAAGAAGACTTTTAGAGACTATCACTGTCCTGGCATTTTTAAAGAACATTCTTTTGGGGACCATCACAGGCCTGGGATTTTTAAAGAAGACTTTTTTGGGGACCATCACAGGCCTGGTTTTTTAAAGAATACATTTTTGAGGACCATCACAGGCCTGGGATTTTTAAAGAAGACATTTTTGGGGACCATCACAAGCCTGGGTTTTTAATGAAGACATTTTTGAGGACCATCACAGGCCTGGGATTTTCAAAGAAGACTTTTTTGGGGACCATCACAGGCCTGGATTTTTAAAGAATACTTTTTTGGGGACCATCACAGGCCTGGATTTTTAAAGAATACTTTTTGGGGACCATCACAGGCCCGGGATTTTTAAAGAAGTCTTTTTTGGGGTCTATCACAGCCCAGGGATTTTTAAAGAAGACATTTTTGGGGACCATCACAGACCTGGGTTTTTAAATAAGACATTTTTGAGGACCATCACAGGCCTGGGATTTTCAAAGAAGACTTTTTTGGGGACCATCACAGGCTTGGATTTTTAAAGAATACTTTTTTGGGGACCATCACAGGCCTGGATTTTTAAAGAATACTTTTTTGGGGACCATCACAGGCCCGGGATTTTTAAAGAAGACTTTTTAGGGACCTTCACAGGCCTGGGATTTTTAAAGACGTCTTTTTTGGGGTCTATCACAGGCGTGAGATTTTAAAAGAGAAGTTTTTGGGGACCATCACAGGCGTGGATTTTTTGCATCCTAAATACAAAATTAAATTCCGATATAGAATACACTATTGTTTTTGCCATCTAAAATGTCTTTCTTTTTGTTTCAGATGCCGCAAATTTACACATGAAATGTTTCGAGATCTACGAGGAAATGATAAATGCCCATAATGGAGATCCCGAACAAACTCTGCTGAAACTTATGAACCTTACCGTATTCCTACATACATATTCATCAAAACCGAAATCCAATCAATCCACCGCCAATAATATAAATAGCGATTGTGAACACATATCCGATTGGTTTATAAAATCGATATCCAAATACCCCAGACTACTGGTTAAAGTATTAAAATTCTATATTGAATGTATTATTACAAATCCCGTGCGCACCTGGAAAACTGAACAAATACAAAAGGCTCTCGAATATGCAGCGAAATATGATGCTGCTCTTTTTACAAAATGCAACGAATCATGTGTTGAGTTCCTGTGCGATGCCGTCTATGCTGATGAAGTGATGATACGATCACGTGCCATTGATTTAATGTCGAAAATATTACAAATGGAATCTCAGGTGGATTGGCAAATGTTTCGTCACGAAGTATCCGATATACCACGAGAAATATATCTTATAAAGGAGTTAATAGACAGTTTGCAAGATCAAAATAATAATATAAAATTGAAATCGGTACAGGCTCTACACACAGCCTTGATTAAGGGATCTCCGAATGCAAGGAAAATTCTTACAGAATGTTTAAAATACACCGAGTTTTGTGATATGAGTGTGGTGCTGCCCGACGAACCACGTGTGGGAAAAAATGAAATACGTTTTGAAAAACCCCATGCCCAGGAGGCCAAATATTCATTTCAAGGTCATGCCGTATTACAATTATCAATCTTAAATTTACCCTCCTATGTGTATGCACATTTGTTTCAAAGCCCCCTATCGTATATAAGACGGGCAGGAATAATGTTAATGGAACAATTGGTTAAATTAAATCCTTTAATTATTTTCAATACCAATTTTGTGGAGGTAGGAACAAATTTGAATTTGTTATAATGATATTTAATAATGTAATTTTCATAATTTTCAGGAAACATCACGTTTGGTGGTGGAACCAACAGCATTGGTACGCAAACAAACGTTACTTTCTATAGATTCCATATTGGAATGTTATCCCAATTGTTATCCAGTTATATGGGTATGGTGTAAAGTTATTACACCAATGCTGCTGGATGGTGATACAAAAAATATTGAAGTTGCAATGGAGGTTAGTTTGGAAAACATGAATTTAATTTTTTTTTAAATTTGTATTATTATTATTATTTTTTGCCTTTGCAGTGTTTCCGTTGCAGAGTTTTGTCTAATCTCAAAAGTATCGAACAAACAAATAAAGCCGAACATTTTATGCCATGGGTGATTATACGCACCCTATTATCTACACAATCGCGATTCTATTTGCAAAATTGTTTTCATTTGGCATTGCAGCAGAAGATGATAAGGTATGTTGGGGAGTAATAAAATTCAGTATTATAATTATACCCTCAGTCTTATAAAAAATATAAAAATATTTTTTAGGCGTGGATTTTTTACAATACTTTTTTAGAGACTATAGCGGGCGTGGGTTTATGTGGATTTTTTACAATACTTTTTTAGAGACTATAACGGGCGTGGGTTTATGTGGATTTTTTAAAATACTTCTTTTCACAGACTATAACGGGCGTAAATTTTTTAAAATACTTATTTTCAGAGACTATAACGGGCGTAATTTTTTTAAAATACTTATTTTCAGAGAATATAAACGAGATGAAGAGTGTCTCATGAATAAAGACACCCTTCATCTCGTTTAAAAATACACCTTCAGCCTCATCTTGCCTTGTCAGTTGCTTCTCCTCTGCTGCTATGGATGGGGGGTGGTCTCCAATTATGGTATTCACGCGATATTGCTCTACTGCCTGAGCGACTGCGTCCGTGTGAATACCATTCAGACTTGCTTGGTAGGCTTCTTGATCTAGGGGTTCACGCTTCTACCATTGGACCTCTCTCTCTCTCTAGATCATGAAGATCTTTCCTGACGTGCCTGGGCGGGGGCGTCCTGGCCAAAAGACTATGGCAGGGATGTTCCCCACGATAGCACCCATGCAAGTACTGCATCGACAACATATAATTGCGCCGATGGACGCGTAAGATATTCGTCTCCTCATGAAGATGGTCCACAGGAGTCATGAGGAGACACCCTGTTCTCAGGGCAGCATTCTGGCAGGTCTGGATATTCTTCCACTGCGTATCACTAACATTCGCGAACCATACTGGCGCCGCATAGCTTACCACTGACCGGCCTTTTGCTTTATAAGATGTCAACAAGGTTTCTTTGTCAGCGCCCCAAGTGCAGCGGGCTAGCGACTTGAGGACCTTATTCCTACTTCTCAGCTTATCGCATAAAGCAGTGGCTTCCGCAGATGAGTTGAAAATTCTGTCGAACGTTACTCCCACTAGAGTCTAGTTCAAGCGAGATAGGTCTGTACTGGACAAAATTGTGTAATAAGAATGCAAGTCCCCCACCTCTGCTTCTGGTACGGTCCTTCCGCACAACGTTGTGACCATCGCAACGCGTCAAGCTACAGTTCTCGGTTAGTTCTCCTCCTTCGACTCATAAACTCTACAATTTCGCGCAGCATGAAGCAACGTAACTCCTTTCGCAGTACACCTGGATCATGTTCAGTCCAGATCAACCTCGAAAATGCACCCATTCTCCACATCCATTGCATCTCACCGAGATTAATCTATGCTGGATGCGGTTTCTGCAAACACTACAGAACCAAGGTCCGGGATTTAATTTCAATCCCGGCACGGACCAGGCGGAGCAGGCATTCCGGGATATAATGCCGCTCCCATGACAAAAATGACGCACACGTACATATAGTTGTTGAGGTGGAAGTCTCTGGTCGGAGTCCATCTCCGAGTCAATCCGGTACATAGAACCAGCCGCCGTGGGATTGGGGATAAAGACTCCCTTCAGCTTAACTATAAAAACTTCTTCAGCTCTTCTATAAAGGCTCCCTTCAGATCGTCTATGAAGACACTCTTTTAGCTGGGCTATAAAGATTATCATTTAGATGGGCTATAAAGACTCCCTTCAACTCGTCTATAAAATCTCCCCCTTCGGCTCGTCTATAATGTTTTATTTTAGCTACTATTTCACTTTGTTATTATTTTTAAGGCAAACTAAATTTCAATTCCTTCCATTTCAGTCCCCAAATGGTCGACATCGTTGAATCACATTTGCTAACCTCAAATTCAACGGAAGCCTGGATTGTGCTAAATTTCATTGCAAGTAAAATGAAAAGCCGTGAACCCGATGCTTTATTACATCACTTTATCTCACTACAATCTGTAAGATAAATATTTATTTTCGTATCTATAGATATGTATAAACTAAATCCATACTCATTCCTCCCTTCCAGTGGAATAAAGAACAAAACATGTTAATAGCCTTGGAGGTGTTGGCCAGTTGCATTAAAGATTTTTCACACACAGCATTGAATCACGCCTTCAATCATATATTAACACAAATCAAATCTGGGCAATTGTTACCAACCATAATTGGTAAAGCCTTCGATTTTTTGGTACTCATCGATAATCGTTCGAATGCAACGGGGAAGAATAAAAATACCACCTTAGAAAAAGCCTCCAACAATCAATGGATTTTAGATTTACATGGACATTTAGAAAATGAAATTATAAATGGTATACAATACTTCCCCGATAATCGTGATACATTTATGTCTCAACTATTTGCCTATTCTGAGGTGAATATACAAACCAGACTGCGGCCCAATTCAACAATAATCCTATTCCTGCACAAATACATGAGTGAATGCATTAAAATGCGTGAAAATGAAATGGATTTAGATAATGCCAGAATATTCAATTGTATTATACAAATCGCCGGACGTCTTTCGTTAAGAGATGGTTGTGTGGCCACAACAACATGTGCCCTTTATGCCAATATTCTGGCTATAAACGATCAACCGCCCATAGTTAACACGATAATTGTTTCTCTAACGGATTTATGCAAAAAACATACACAGATTGTTGAACGTATTGTGGATAGAGTTTTGCGTAAATTAAAATCGCCATATGACGTCAATCGTTTGGAGACATTTAAGTGCTTTGAAAAGTTGGTGCTACAAGATCAAATAAAACTAAGAGGTTCCATATTATTGGCTTTGCTAGCTGCCCTCTTGGATGAATGCGAGGATTTGTCCAAGAGGGCTTCGGATTTCTTTGCTGAATTTCTATCGAAGAAAAATTCTACGCTATTTCAAAAATGTCTTATCGAATGTCCTTTTGTTTTTAATGAATATAAGGTGAATATTTTATATATAGATTTATTTATTTAAATTTTATTATTTATTCTCTTTGTTTGATTTTCTCTAGAACTTTGATGGCTTGGACAGTTTTTCTGAGGCATTTATAAAATCCCCTCTAAAAGGAGAAGCACATCGTAAAAGACGCCAGATGCTCTACAAACATTTAATGGAGGATATGGATGACATCAATATGATATTATATTTTGGACAATTGAAGTTAATAGCAGGTAATATTTATAGTTATATATTCAAAGCAAACATGGTGATTATAGGAATTCGATATTATTCTCCGCAGACAATTTAAAAGGACTCCTTTTAGCTTCTCCATAAACAAAGCTTATATTCAGCTCTTCTACAAGCATTCAGATCGTTAACAAAGACTGGATTCAGCACGCCTATTGAAAATCCTTTCCAGTCGTCCAAAAAACCTCCCTTCACCTTATCTATAAAGACGCCCTTCAACTCGTACATAAATACTCCCTTTATAAGGACTTAAAAACCCCTGGTCTTTGTTAAGTCTTCCAAAAAATATTTTTAAAAATTAAAAAAAAAATCCACTATAAAAACTCGCTCGTCTATAAAGATACACTTCAACTCGTCTATAAAGATACACTTCAACTCGTCTATAAAGACTCGCTTCAGCTCGCCTATAAAGACTCTCGCTCCAGCTCGCCTATAAAGACTCTCGTTTCAGCTCTCCTATAAAGACTCTCGCTTCAGCTCGCTTATATAGACTCTCTCTTCAGCTCGCCTGTAAAGACTCTCGCTTCAGCTCGCCTATAAAGACTCTCGCTTCAGCTCGCCTATAAAGACTCTCGCTTCAGCTCGCCTATAACGACTCTCGCTTCAGCTCGCCTATAAAGATTCTCGCTTCAGCTCGCCTATAAAGACTCTCGCTTCAGCTCGTCTATAAAGACTCTCGCTTCATCTCGCCTATAAAGACTCTCGCTTCAGCTCGCCTATAAAGACTCTCGCTTCTGCTCGTTTATAAAGATTCGCTTCAGCACGCCTAGAAAGACTCGCTTCTGCTCGCATACAAATTCCCTTCAGCCAATTTCCATTGAATTTTATCACTTTTTTAGTAATCTAATTAATATTCTCTTATAATTATAATTCTCTTCTTCTTCCCTTTCCAGAAAAATCCAAATCGGATCCCTTAATAAAAGAACCCGAAGGTATAGCTCTGGTCAAAGATGTCCTTTATATTTTGAAAAAGGTATGCCAATTAACGAAAGAACAAAAACAAACGTCGGAAAATGATGGTGAAAAGAAGGAAGAAGATGAAGTGTTGGCAGAAATAAATGATTTGAATGATACGAATAATCAAGAAACTAAAAACAATGCAAATAATGCAGCAAATAAAAACATCCCTGGCAATGGTCCTGGCAGGGGTAGGCGGAAAAGGGAATTTACAATGCCCGAAGCTGTAAGTATTAATTTCAAACAATCTTAAATTTTATTTAATATCCTTTTTTAACTCTCTCTCTCTCTCTCTCTCTTTCAGATGACTCTCCTTGAAAAATCTTTAATTTTTATACCGACAATCTATCAAAATATCCATGCCCACGATACATCAATACAAGAGTCATTTGATGATTTATGTAAGGCATTATATAAAAGATTTCCAAATTTAGTTGATTATGCTCAACCTGCCGAATTTTGGAATAAATATCGTAAATCGAAAGTGATAACAGCAAAGAAAAGTGCGAAACGTAAAACACCCAAAAAGAAGAAAAAACGAAAATCCGCCGCTAATCGTGATTCAGAAAGTGAGGGTAGTGCCGAAGAAGTGGATAATGATTCGGAAAATGAAGTAGATGCGGAATCAACAAAATCCAATGATAACAGCGATACAGATGATGAAATTCTAACGGTGAAAAGAACAAAAATAATGGAAAAACAAATTGCAAATAATAAAACATATTCTCAATTATCCATGGACTATATATTTAAGCCGAACATATAAGCGGAATTCAAATAACGCCTTTGTAAATATAATAAGAAAAAACAAAATATACTCAAAGTGATATCAATGTGAAAAGAAATGTTGCAGTTTTTATTTTAAAAGTGAATCAGATAATCCGAAGCATCGTCTAATCAATAGCAGCTGTACCAGTCTACGTTCTTCTCCCAGGTGAGCAATTGTATTTTTATTTTTTTATTTATTTGTTACAATCCACAGAGTCCTGACCCCATTTCCAGCCAAACAAATATTATTTTTATAATATTTTTTGTTTTTATTTTTAATTAATAAAACACTAATATAAATATTTGGTATCACTAAAATTAAGTACGTATATTTCGAGGCGATTTCAAAATCCCTCCTCAACCCTTAAACCCCTTCTAAACCTTCAACACTTTGCATTAACTGTTCCATTGCCTGTTTGGCCACCAGTCCCAAAACACCCTCATGTGATTGTTGATCTTCATGCTGTAATGTTTCCACACATTCCTTCAGCACCGCTATGGCCTCCTCCAGTTTCTCTTTCAATTTATCACCACCCAAAACACCGGCTATAAAACCACTTTTTGCCAACAATACAATCGGTACATGTAGCTCATAGAGAATTGTTGCTTTTGTTCTACTCAAACCCGGTTCAAATACATTTAATACCCTCAATACTTGACGACAAATTTCTTCTTTACGTTCCAGCAGAACATCGGGCAGCTCAACCATTTCATAACCCTGTACTCGGCCATACATTTCAATGAGATTTTGTTTAAGCGATATTTGTATATTATGCAGGGGATGTAGAACGACACGATATTTCTTTAATAGTTTTTCTGTTTCTTGGAGACGTTCTCCGGACATGGGCATAGCTTGAACATCGGCAACTTCGGCTTGTATTACGGTGAGAGCTTTTTGCACGGCATCATTTGAGGTTTTAAATTCACACAAGGTACATTTCCATTCGGTGCGGGTATCTATAAATAAAATAAAACATAAATGGGTCTATCAAAATATCTATTCATTAAAAATATAATTCTGTCTGGGTCCTTGAACATTTTTCTTTAAAGGGTCTGTCTGGATCCTTCAGCTCGCCTATAAAGACTCGCTTCAGCTGGCCTATAAAGACTCGCTTCAGCTCGCCTATAAAGACTCGCTACAGCTCGCCTATAAAGACTCGCTTCAGCTGGCCTATAAATACTCGCTTCAGCTCGCCTATAAAGACTCGCTTCAGCTCGCCTATAAAGACTCGCTTCAGCTCGCCTATAAAGACTCGCTTCAGCTCGCCTATAAAGACTCGCTTCAGCTCGCCCATAAAGACTCGCTTCAGCTCGCCTATAAAGACTCGCTTCAGCTCGCCTATAAAGACTCGCTTCAGCTCGCCTATAAAGACTCGCTTCAGCTCGCCTATAAAGACTCGCTTCAGCTCGCCTATAAAGACTCGCTTCAGCTCGCCTATAAAGACTCGCTTCAGCTCGCCTATAAAGACTCGCTTCAGCTCGCCTATAAAGACTCGCTTCAGCTCGCCTATAAAGACTCGCTTCAGCTCGCCTATAAAGACTCGCTTCAGCTCGCCTATAGAGACTCGCTTCAGCTCGCCTATAGAGACTCGCTTCAGCTCGCCTATAGAGACTCGCTTCAGCTCGCCTATAGAGACTCGCTTCAGCTCGCCTATAGAGACTCGCTTCAGCTCGCCTATAGAGACTCGCTTCAGCTCGCCTATAGAGACTCGCTTCAGCTCGCCTATAGAGACTCGCTTCAGCTCGCCTATAGAGACTCGCTTCAGCTCGCCTATAGAGACTCGCTTCAGCTCGCCTATAGAGACTCGCTTCAGCTCGCCTATAGAGACTCGCTTCAGCTCGCCTATAGAGACTCGCTTCAGCTCGCCTATAGAGACTCGCTTCAGCTCGCCTATAGAGACTCGCTTCAGCTCGCCTATAGAGACTCGCTTCAGCTCGCCTATAGAGACTCGCTTCAGCTCGCCTATAGAGACTCGCTTCAGCTCGCCTATAGAGACTCGCTTCAGCTCGCCTATAGAGACTCGCTTCAGCTCGCCTATAGAGACTCGCTTCAGCTCGCCTATAGAGACTCGCTTCAGCTCGCCTATAGAGACTCGCTTCAGCTCGCCTATAGAGACTCGCTTCAGCTCGCCTATAGAGACTCGCTTCAGCTCGCCTATAGAGACTCGCTTCAGCTCGCCTATAGAGACTCGCTTCAGCTCGCCTATAGAGACTCGCTTCAGCTCGCCTATAGAGACTCGCTTCAGCTCGCCTATAGAGACTCGCTTCAGCTCGCCTATAGAGACTCGCTTCAGCTCGCCTATAGAGACTCGCTTCAGCTCGCCTATAGAGACTCGCTTCAGCTCGCCTATAGAGACTCGCTTCAGCTCGCCTATAGAGACTCGCTTCAGCTCGCCTATAGAGACTCGCTTCAGCTCGCCTATAGAGACTCGCTTCAGCTCGCCTATAAAGACTCGCTTCAGCTCGCCTATAAAGACTCGCTTCAGCTCGCCTATAAAGACTCGCTTCAGCTCGCCTATATAAAGACTCGCTTCAGCTCGCCTATATAAAGACTCGCTTCAGCTCGCCTATAAAGACTCGCTTCAGCTCGCCTATAAAGACTCGCTTCAGCTCGCCTATAAAGACTCGCTTCAGCTCGCCTATAAAGACTCGCTTCAGCTCGCCTATAAAGACTCGCTTCAGCTCGCCTATAAAGACTCGCTTCAGCTCGCCTATAAAGACTCGCTTCAGCTCGCCTATAGAGACTCGCTTCAACTCGCTCTTTGAAAAATATTCTCAAAAATAATCTTGGCCTGTCTGGGTCATTAAAATTTGTTCTTTAAAAAATACACGCCTGTCCCACACCCTGAAAAAATCGTTAAAAATCTAGGCTTAAATGGGTCCTTGAAAAAGATATTTTAAAAAATCTTGGCCTGTCCAATTTCTTGAAAAAAATTCCTTAAAAAGACAATAATTATCTTGGTCCCCTAAAAATTCGTATAACTTAAATTTCTTATATCATCCGTCCACTTACCCAAAGGATCGCGACACAACAGCCAGCCATCTTCACATTTACTGCATTTGAAAGTACTGAAATTGGTACCCAGTTCCGTGGGATCTTTACAGCGTTTACAATCACATGTAAAGTATTTGCCAGCCTTCAAGTGTTCCTGCCTCTGGGCAGTACCATTCAATGTATAACTATATGAATGTTGCAATTGTTGTCCCGGTTCCAAATCCACCATGGCACGTAAACGTATTCTATAAACGATTTTTTTTTTCTTTAAGTACTTATTTTTTAAATTCCATTTTTCCCCCCAACTTACCTATAATCTTCACTCGGATAAATACTGCGCATTGTATTCGGCACACAATTGTGTGATAGTATTCCCGTTATTGGATATAACGCTCGAAATGTGTGACCCTGTAATGTACGACCCTCAAATGCATTCACCTCCAGTATTCCCACGACTTGCATTATTAGATCTTCCGAAAAGCGTTCAGCCAATTTACACGGGCCCCGTAGATATTGGGCAATATTCACCAAATCGGCATGCCATATTTCGGTATTGGCACGTCGCTCCTTGTCATGATATTCCATAGGAGCTACCTCCTTTTCCCAGCGTTCGGGATATGCCTCCTTGGCCAAAAGGACTCTGAAAGTGAGAAAAAAATATTTTTTTCAATATATATTAGGAATTTTTATAGACGAGCTAAAGGGAGTCTTTACAGTAATCATGGATGTTTTAAGAAAATTTTTTTAATGTTAATCTTAACAATTCTCTTGGATTTTTTTAAACATTAAATAAAAATTAAAAAAAAAATAATTAAAACCACTGTGCCACAATTTTTAGGAAACCACAAAAACAACGATTTTAAAATCTATTCTTATTAGATTTTAGTAGAAACCCTTGATTTCTAATATTTCTGCCTTGTGCCAAAAATTATTCGCTTGCACGAACATGATACATACGTACGCACATATGCTTTTTAAAAACATTTAACTAAAATGTTTTGTTTTACGTACATACATACGTATGTATGAGGTAATATTAAACGAAATATTTGGTAGACAGCAACAAGAACAAAAAATCAATTATCACCAACAATTGTATGCAGATTTGTTGGTTTGGTGTATCCTAGGCACTTAATGGGGTCTTCTACGAAAAACAGATGACAACAGACAACCAAACCTATTAAACACAATTGTCTGGTATGGCATTTTAAAAAAAAAGGAAAAAAATCAAAAAAAAAAAAAACAAACAAAAACTAAAGCAATAATAATTTTCTTGTGCGTCGATTGGAATGTCCACCTGCTGCTGGCCTGCAGTCGTCCATCGGAATATTGTTAACACCTTATTAATTGCATGTTGTTATATGTGATTTTTATAAAACATTATTAGGTGCAGGGGTGACGTTCTGAGTTAAAAAAAATATATTTTTTTCCAAATAAGTCATGGAACGAGGACTGTAGAATGCTACATTCTTTTTAAATTGGAAATAAACAAAATATGAAAAAAATAATTTGGGTTGCGTTCAGGGTTCAGTTAATATATATAAAATAAATTAATTGGAAAATTTACCATGAAGTTTAATTAGTCATTAAATTAATATAATTTAATTGGAAATTTCACCCCAAAAAACTTTGATTTCTTTGTTCATTTTTGCCGAAATAATGTTTCTATCACACCTCTGCATATTCATTAATAAATACATACGAACATACATACTCAAATTTATTGAAATGTATGTCATTTTTTATGGAATTTGTTTCGTATTTTATAGCCGTGATGGCGTCAACTGTCAACGAAAATGTATATTTTTTAATAGATTTTCACCCGAAATATATATTTTTGCAGATTTCGAAAACAAAAAACAATTTAATAAGTCATTAAATTGATATAATTTAATTGGAAATTTCACCCCGAAAAACATCTTTGATGATTTCTTTGTTCATTTTTGTCGAAATAATGTTTATATCGCACCTCTGCATATTTATTTATAAATACATACGTACATACATATGTTTTTTTCCAAAAAACAATAAAAATATCACGATATTCAAATTTATTGAAATGTATGTCATTTTTTATGGATTTGATTAGGATGAAATTTGGCAAATGTCACTTATTTGGTCCAAGGACGAACCCTATTGAAATTGGAGAAAATCAGTTCAGATTTAGATATATCTCCCAATATTGGTCCGATTGAGACAAAATTTTGCACAGAGTACTGAATTAGGTCAGGATTAATATATGTTATGTTTTGTTGAAATCGGTTCAGATTTAGATATTTCAGATGTCGAAACATTGCACAACATAATATTTTTACCATAATTAGATTATATCCGAAGACGGAGCCCATCAGTCTACTCCTTCTGGCACCACCACCCTTCAAAGGATAAACTTTTTTGAAAATTTCTTGATCCAAAATCGAGCGAAAGGAATGTTCGATTTGATCCAAAATTTGCAAATTGTAATACTTTTGCTAAATCTAGATAAAGTCTAAAGATGGAAACCATCGGTCCACTCCTTCTGGTACCTCCCCTACACTTTGCAATTGTAATACTTTTCACAAACCTAGGGCATGTCCGAAGGTATGAGCCGTTGGCCCACTCCTTGTGGTACCTCCCCCAAAAGTGTCAAAATTTTGTTATTTCCAAGTGAATGCAATGTCCGATATGATCCGAACTTTAAAAATTATAATTCTTTTTCAAATCTTCATGATAAACAAATTGCGGTGCACAAATGGGGCAAAATTGAACGTTTGTTAACACAATATCAAGCGAATGGAATGCCCGATTTCATCCCGGCATTGCACCATTTGTTTTGAAGTGCTTCTTCCAAAACAAATGTCGTTGGATTTGGCTCGTTTTTGTGATAATTCAATATCCAATGGTTGGAATGTCAGATTTCAGATTCAAACATAGCAATTGTAATACTTTCCACCAACTTCTGTGGCGCTGGTGGTGTATGGGAAGCCAATGTTTTCCCCTTAGCAACTGATCATCATGGCGCCCAACGTGAGGCCCGAATCCGCATACAGAGTTTGATATATTTTCATTTAAACACGGCTAAGTCGTTCGGTACAAAAATTGAAATGGTAATCTTCGGTTCGAGTCACACGTTGGGCGCCATCCTGATAACTGGAACTCTAAAAAGCACACCACAAGCAGCCTCGATTGCTCTTCCACTACATTATATATTCATCATGGCGCCCAACGTGAGGCCCGAACCCGCATACAGGGTTCGATCTTTATACACGGCTAAGTCGTTCGGAACAAAAATTGAAATGGTAATCTTATGTTCGTGTGGTTCGAGTCTCACGTTGGGCGCCATATTGTCATGTTACCATCAAATGGGACGATGGCTTTACTGACTACTGTAAACACTGTTAGGATGAAGAGTATCTTCTATGACGCTGTCCAGTTTTGTCCTGTATGCCGTTTCGAGATCCATCATGGCGCCCAACATGAGGCCCGAACCCACAGGACATTGAGTCACCGGTTACTAGATTTGTAGATTGCGATACTCGTCTAGCTAATTCGTCTATTTTTTGCGCTGATTAACAATATCCGATAATTACTGGAAATAAGCTGACTAGTTCGAATAAAAAATCAACATATAAATGGTTTCCCTAAAAAACCGCAAAAAATCCACAAAAAAAATATATATATTTATGAAGAGTACGCGAAAAAAATTAAATACTATATATCGAAACTACCTTAACGTTGTTATACAATCCAATTGCGGACACCATCCTTTCGAACTACACACACCATTATAGAATTTCACTTTTCCATTTATAAATATCCCACACTCGAATTTTTTATGATATTTGATATTTTCTTTGGATTCTTGACACTCGCCGCACAACGGCCAACCACAATCGGGACAACGACAATCACTCGCATTTGTAGTTTTTAATAGAATCTCATTGTCTCTACTAGTATTGTTGTTATTTTCACTATTTGTAGCTGAGGTATTTTGTAGGGGACGAAAACATTCCAAACACAAAACTGGACCATTACATTTGGGTCCCAGTGCAAATGGCAGCTCTTCAATGAGAATATCTTTGGATTTACTTTCCAGTGGACCGTTCACTAAATACCGTCCCAATATTGAATTGTGCTTTACATCGGTACGATTGATTGTGACCGGCTGATGCTGCTGCTGATGTTCTTGTCCGGTGAGTGTCATCTCGAAAACTAAAGCTACCTACCACCCATCATCATTGCAGGTCAACATATATTATTTAGTCCGTGCAACGGTAAGTAATGTTCGCCTTGTCATGTGCTTTTGTGGGCAAAATAAATGTGAAAAAGATGCCGAAAAACAAAACAAAATATTGGGCATTTTTGAAAATTTCCCAGTCTTTTATTTTCATTTTTTGTATTTTGCGTATTGTGTTTGTATGGGTGTGTTTTTTCTCTGTAGCTTTTTGATGCATCAAAAGATATTTCTTTCACAAAGATCTCATGTTTTCGCAAAAATTTGATTTTCTTTTTGAAAATGTTCGCCGGCCTCCCCCTCTCCTCCTATGTCTGTCTGCTTTTCCGTGTGTGTTTTGTGTCCATTACCCATTTGATTTAATAGCATCGCCACACATCATCATAGTCTCCATCACTTGATTATAACAAATTACCAATCAAATTGATAAATTTATGATCGATTCGCGTGAATTAGTTTCGTATCCGGTAAGAAAATTGAAAATTATTTGATTTTTTATTGTAAATCAATTTGTAGTGGAGTCGATAACTTTAATATCCTAATTTAATATCCCTCGGATCATGGTAACAATTCATAAAAAATTAGGTTTTTTATTTTATATCGAAGAAGGCGCTGGACTTCAGGCGTAGCTTGTTGTCAATTTACAAGGGGATATCAGAGTCAAACTTAATTTTGGACGTCGTTCTTTTTCGGTGTGCCCAATTTGCATTGGAAATTAAAGAAAAACTATAAAGAAACTATCAATAGGGTTCATCCATGGGCCACATGAATGCCAAATTTCGTCTTTTTCGGACAAGAATTGCGTCCAATATCAGGATCATGGGTTCGGGCCCAATGTTGGGCGCCACGATGGATGTATACAGAGCTGTTCATTTATGTTGATATTGTTATTGTTCAACATGGTACTCGCAATATCTGGGTCGTAGGTTCGGGCCCCATGTTGGGCGCCATGATGGTACATGACAGCCACAGCCGTTGGTACATGACAATTTGGCGACCAACATGCGCCCCAAACCCACGACCCAGATATTGCTAGTAACATGTTGAAAAATAATAATATCAACATAATTGAAAAATGTTGTATACATCCATCGTGGCGCCCAACATGGGGTCCGAACCCACGATCCAGATATTGGGTTGAACCGATTTTCACCAATTCAAATAGGGCTCACCCTTGGGCCAAATAAATGTACTATGTCAAATTTTATATAATTCGTACAATAATTGCGTCCTATATATTGTTTTCAAAAATTACCTGGATGTGTAAATATATGCGCGGACTGACGGACACGTATCACAATGTACATTGTTGAATTATGTTATTATTGTTTTTGCACAACATGGTATCTGGGTCGTGGGTTCGGACCCAATGTTGGGCGCCACGAAGGATGTATACAAAATTGTTCAATTATGTTATTATTATTATTCTTATTGTAGAAAATACTCCCAATCTGAGGGTTTTGGGTTCGGGCCCCATGTTGTGCGCCATCGTGGCTCTATAATGTAGTGGTACCTAGATCAGGTGCTAAATGCATGATAGTTCCATCCCATACACAATAACGCCACAGCCGATGGTACATGACAATTTGGCGCCCAACGTGGGCCCCAAATCCGCGACCCTGGAATTACAAGTCTCATAGTGTACCGACAGAGTTGGCCGTATTTGAAACAAGTAAACAACTCAGTCTATGTTACCGATAGACATATACCTCCAGGGTATGGGTTGCGTAGGTCTACCGAATTCCAGGTTTTATATTTCGAAATCGACTCAAAATTGTGTCAACCGGACTTGATCCAAAGAAACATGGGGTCTAAAACCAATATTTTGATGAGGCACATTTTTGATGTATCATTAGCCACACGGCTTAGGGTATAGAGGATCGTAATCTACATATACGAGGATCGTAATCTACATATCTTGCAATCGTTGACTCCATCAGACCACCCATTTATCATAACGATCTTAGGTGCAATGTGTCAAGATCCATCTGGTGAAAGTTGAAATATGAGTAATGACAATTTTCCTCCCGGATTTGGGACGGTAACATCAGGGCATTTATCATCAAATGGGAAGATGATGTTACGGACAAGTGCAGACTCCGTGAGGACGAGAAGGAGACGATCGAGCATCTCCAATGTCTCCAAACCGAACCCAAACTTAATCACTTATATTAAAACCTACAAGAAAAAGACCAACGTCGGCATACTATTTGTTATCCCACACCACTTTGGGTATGACCAAGAGGTGTTCCTAGGATTTATATTTTAACCCATAGTAATATGTACAGGATGAGATGAAAAACTGCAACCAACTTCAGGCTGCTGTCATTTCTAAGCCACTCGTCCCGCAGCTGTTAAAATTATTCCAGTGACATTTCATTATATTGTTTACAACCGTACAAATCATTTTGGTGAGCATTTTCCAGAAAAAAAGTTATTCGCGATTGAATTCAAGCGTGATAGTGAGATTTCTTTATATTTGGATGGAAAACCAGAAGTGGCTTTCGTTAAGAGCACTCCAGCATTTAAATGTGAATAAATCTTTTGTGTCTCGTACCATCGCTCGTTGCCGTTATACTGATAGCGTAGCCCGACGTCAAGAACGGAAGAAAACATGGCAACATCAGCAGAAATGGTTCGAAAAGTAAAGAAGCGACTTGATCGAAACCCGCGTCGCAACATTTTGGCCGCAGGCCTTGGACATTCCAACAGGAATCAGCACCATCGTCCTCAGCGTTGGAGTATTTTGGAAAGCAAGGTTGTCGGTCACCTCATGCAAGCGCTTCGCCGGGAATGGACCAAAATACCGCAGATCAACATTCGGACAGCGTGTGACAGTTTCGTTGGCCGTTTGAAGACCATAATTCGTGCCAAACCTGACCAATTCGAACAAATCTAACATTTTTCTAAAATTTGATGCTATTTGGAGAACTTCATTACAAAAGACATACTGATCAATTAAAATCCACTAAAGTCTCATTTCGGAATGTTCATTTTGCACCAGAACCATCGGATCCGAAAATCACAATCAACGAATACATGATTTGAGTCAATACCATCATGAATTACTGCAACGAAATCAACAGAATCATGTTGCTGAAAATACAACCAACTCTACTTCAAATCAACCGGATAGTCCGCCAATGGTAACACCTCATCATCGATATCCAGCTCAAACACCGGTCCTCCAATGATCTACCAGAGTTCGCAAAATTCTTTAGTAATTTTAATTACATTAATTTATTCAAAACTATATTTTCTATATATAAATATTTCATATAAACGTGGGAAACTGTTATGTCCCTACATTAAATATGTTAATATGACAGTTGTAAATGTCATCACTCTACTTATTTTGTAATCCTAGTAGTTAAGCATTCTTGAAATAAACCTCATTGAATATAGTATTAAAAGTGCGTGTTCTAATTCAAAATCAAACAGACATAAAAGCTTTTAAAGTATCATCTCTGATAATACATTGCTCATACGTTTAGGTGATCATTATGTTTTTTGTTTTCAAAAATATTAGACACCCTGTCATGTTCAATCTCTTCCTTACTCTCTTAATCGTTCTCTTGATTTTCTTTCCAAACAGAAAATCTCCCATGAACACAAAAATGTATATATGAATGTATGTTTCGTTCACGAAGAGCAACAAAATTAACAAATTATTCATGTGTTCATTCAGAATTTTCTCAAACAAAATTTTGAAAATATATTCACACCGTTTAATCATCTAGAACGGCATGTTCAATATTACTTATGAAAAATTAAGAAATGCAATTTTTTTTAAAAACCCCGATTTTTTTAGTTTTAGTCGAAAGTTTTAAACAATTTTCATTACTAACCTCAAAGGTGTTATGCAATCCAATTGGGCACAGATACCATCTTCTCCAACATTACCAGCAAATCGGACATTAGCCTCGGCAAAAATCTTACATTCACCCTCATGGACCGGTGAATCGAGGCAGGCACTGCACAGCGGCCAATCACAGGTGTCACAACGATCCAATGAATCGCCATCATCACCAAAAGCCAAGGGTTGATAGCAACCCAAACAGACGATGCCGCCCGATTTTGGACCCATTGCGAAGGGTAGTTCGTCCACAACAACTTCACCCTTACTAACCGCATCGGTGGTTACCAGACTACGACCATAACGTGGATCAATTTCAACGCGGGACTTGAGCATTTTTCCCATTTCTGATGTCGACGCCGCCGCCATCCTTGGGTTTACATTAAGGTTCGATGTGGATGGATACCGCCGTAGTGGATGATCTTCGGCTGGATTTCGTCGGGATAATTCTTGTAATTCAATAATTTTTGTAAATTTTCTTTAGAACTTGTTTTCCAGAAAATTTTACTTATTCGCCTCAAATTGCGACCCGAGGGAATTGATTCGTTCCGTTAGAAGTAATGCACCGAACTGCACCTTTTTTAATGAAAATCTTTTTGTTTTCCCTTTGATTTTTATTTTCTCAAATCGAATCAATTTAATTTGTGTTGTTTTTTTTATTTCTTAATTTGTTGGTTGCCTGTACGTCTGTTGCAATTGACTGAATTGAATTGATTTTTTATTATGGACCGTTCGATGTGACTCTTTGAGCGTTTTATATATATCGTCGTCGCCGCCGCTCGCACTATGTCTCTCTTTCGGTTTTCCCCTTTTTTGTATTGGGTTCAATTTTTTGTTTGTTTTTATTTTTAATCTATTTTTAAGAATTGTTTCGTTTTTATTCTTAAATATTCTCTGTTTTTGTTTGTCTGTTTGTTGATCCTATACTAATTTGTTGTCTAGTCGCTTTTCAGTGTGTATATGTCTGTTTTTGTGTGTACATTTTTTGTTTTCCCTTTCGAAAATTACCTCACGTGCATCTGCATATGGACTAATTGAAAAGAAACATCTAGTCGATTTTTTGATGAAAAAAATATGCGTGTTTTTCTTACAGGTGGTCCTGCTTTTATGTGGAAAAGTGGATCGGAACAGAGAATCAGTTTTTGTTCTATGGAAAATTGAAATTGAATTCTGACAGGTTCTGGAACAGGATATTTATAATATTTTACATTTTTAAATTTAATTTTCTTAAAAATCAGGAATTGTGCCCTGGGTATTCTAAAATATATTTAATCCAAATACATTTTCCATATACTGTTCGTAAAATGAAGACCCTGTAACGGCATATACATTAGAACTTGTTAGCAGATTAGCCTACTTCATGAGGATTTATTTGGCATGTAAATGTAATGACATAATAATGTAAACGTACTTTAGGTCAGGAAATTGTTTTATTAAAACCCATTGGATGTTAACCAACATGCATGGAAATGTAAACAAATAAACGTCAGCTGTTTTTTGTTTCGTGCTGCCACAATAACAGATGTTTGACTGTATCTAGAAATTACTCGACGGTAATTGTAAATTCTATATATGTATGATGTATGTATGTCTCACATACATCTCATATTTAAAACAATATTACTTTGTGCAATATGTATTTTTTGTTTTTAAATGCTACGCAAAAATGAATTTAATTTCAATACCATATACATATATGCTACAGAGTATAGGGTTATTGTGCCGTAACGACATTTTTAAAATCGAACAATCCACATAAACTTTATTTTTCAATAAATAAAACAACATTTACATTAGAACTTTTTACCGGGTTAACCTACTTTATGAGGATTTATACAATGGAATTGACATTTTAAACCCACTGGGTTAACGAAATCTGACAGTTTTAAAAATTTTAAAATACTTATCTTCGAATTTGTCCGTTTGTGTCCAAATTATTATGTTGACATATGAAAAGACTATATTCACTTTGCTAGGGTAAAAGTGTGCATCATCGAAATATTGGTTTTAGACCTCATGTTTCTTTGGACCAAACCCGTTTAAAACAATTTCCAATCGACTTAAAAATGTCCGTCCACCTAATACGTATAAGGTTTGAAGATATGACTTATCGGACCACTCTTAAAAAAATACATACAGGGTGAGATGAAAAAACTGCAACCAACTTCAGCTATCATTTCGAAACCACTCGTCCGACAGCTGGTAAAATTATTCCAGTGACAGTTCATTATATTGTTTACAAGCGTACAAAAGCATTTTGGTTAGAATTTTCCAGAAAAAAAGTTATTCGTGATGGAATTCAAGCGTCATAGTGTGACTTCTTTATATTTGGCTGGAAAGCCACAAGTGGCTATCGTTGCAGCACACCAGCATTTAAATGTGAATCGATCTTTTGTGTCTCGTATCATCGCTCGTTAACGTGATACTGGTAGCGTAGCTCGACGTCAAGGAAGTGAACGGAAGAAAACATGGCAACATCAGCAGAAATGGTTCGAAAAGTAAAGAAACGACTTGATCGAAACCCGCGTCGAAAAATGGCTCGTGAACTGAACATATCGCAATATTCCATTCGGCAAATATTGAAAAATTAGTTCGGGGTAAAGCCATTGAAATTCCAAAAAGTGCAATAAGCTACACCGCAACAAAAAAAATATACTCAAAAGAGCTAAAAAGTTACAACAGGACTCAGCACCATCGCAATCAGCACGCGCCGCCCAGGAATGGTTACAAAATACCAATCCGTTGGACTATTGTGTCTGGAGTATTTTGGAAAGCAAGGTTGACACTATAAAAAGGTGACCATGCTCCGACCGAATATAAAGATGAGCATATTTTATCAGCGCTTAGAAACAGCATATGACCGCTGCCATAGCCATGACATTAAAATTCTGCCAGGAGATTTTAATGCAAAAATCAGAAAGGGAAAATATTTTTGGCCCCACCGTCGTAAAATTCAGTCTCTATGAAGAAACATCCGACAACGGCATGAGGTTGATTGACTTAGCGGCAGCAAAAAACATGGTAGATAGCAGCACTAGATTCAAGCATCTCGATATACACAAGGCCACTAGGATTTCTCCTGCTCAAATAACGAGAAATCAAAGTGAGCATGTGATAGACGGGCGGCATTCATCCAGTGTTTTAGACGTTCGATCGATCCGAGGAGCGAATATCGATTCAGGCTATTACCTTGTGGCGCCCAAGGTTGCACCCGTCTTAATGTAGCAGCAAAGGTGCGAACTAACACAACACCGAAACTCCCGATATAATAATATAATACTGCAGCAAAAGCAACACTTAGGTACCAAGGACCACCATCAAGAAATCCGTGGTACGATCAGGAGTGTCGTAATGCTAATGATATGAAAAGTAACATAGAGCTGCAGCGACTACGTTGGTTAGGTCATGTTTTGAGAATGTATGATGCATGCTTCAGCACAAAAGGCATATAAAAGTGCATAACGATGGCTCAAGCAGAAGGGAAAGGCCACAAATTAGATGAAAGATCAAGTAAAAGAGCTGCGCGCAAGACCGACGCGCCGTGAAACCTTTTTAGCTCGGCTTTTGGAACAAAAGTTCTGTCACAAACCAGCAAAGTAAGTAAGCTCCATCGGTTCGCTAAATACAAATGGTACATATTTAGTACTTTTTAGCACTTTTCGTGTCGTTCTAGTATGAATTTTTCAAGAGTGACCCTTACCCCAAATTTAATTCAACATTCTAGTTTCAGCCGTTTTGTCTGGGCATTGATGAATCGTTAAGTCAATCATTTTACTCTTTTATGAGTATAGATACTGATTTTCCAGTAACATCAGCTGATATTTAATCAGCTGTTTATGATTTAAGAACGAAGAAAACAATTTTTTCACTTAACAAAGATTTATCAACTCATAAACTTCTGATTGACATTTATGGCGGCAACCCCGATAAAAAAAGGACAGTCCAAACTACTCCAATCAGCCAATCAGATTTTTGGGACATCCGGTTAAATTCTTTAAGGGAAATATTATTATATTAAAAAAATCCAAATTCTTGCTGTTTCTGGAACACAGCTATTAATTGACTTCATAAACAAAGTTTAATAAGTCCCAGTTTAGATTAGACGAGTTCACTTGCGGCAAAAAAATTTGACGTACCGACAATTTTGTGGCAATTCGTTTTGTGTATTTTGTTTGTAGTGTCAGTACCAGAACATTTTCGAACATAAAAAGCATGCACAAAATATAAAAAAAATTGTTTTGAAACCTAATTGCCTTGATAGAAAACAAAGGCTCTGAAACAAACGCCAAAACATCACAACGGTTTTATTTAGTTCAGCGTATAGCGTCTATTTCTCATCTCTATTTTCCTCACACACACACTATCGATTGTACATTCTATCGATAATTTCGATTATTTGTCGCCTGCAAACGATTTATAGATCCCTAATTGCTGCTGCTACCATAGAATTTTTGCAAAGTTACATTATTTTGTGGTGTTTCGTGGTCGTACTTGTTCCTCGCTCGCAAATCAAATTCTAATCAAAAGTAAGTAAAAGGCAAAAAAGAAAAAAAAAATGATGGACAACTTAGAGAAATTGTTAATAAAAAATAACAACAAATAAATAAAACAATTACAAATCCAAAGTGACATTAATTGATAGAAAAAATGGAAGAAAAACAATTCAAAAAATGAAAATTAAACCAAAATTATAAAAGAAGTGATTTCATAACCTCTAAAAAATTATTGCAATTGACAAGAAAGCAAAAAGTAAGAAGAGAAGGAAAAAATGTGACGACGTCGTCGGATGTATGTATATAACCATGATGGTGGTAGTGGTGGTGTCAAACCAGCGTGTGTGTGTGTGTATATGTGGGGAAAAGAAAATTCGTAAATGGAAAACTGGGCAATAATAATAATGAAGAGCAAGATGATGATGAAGCTTGTGGGGAGGGAAGGTATTTCTTTTTTGTCCTTCATGTATTGATGGCAAAAATGAGCTTTTCTTTTTTTCTTCTTTTAGTTTTTGCATAGTGGCTGGCTAGCCAGGAACAAATTGGTGGTGCTGCCTGCTGCTACTGTTTATGGGCCAACCGGTCTATTTGTTTAAGCCATACAAAAAAATTTTGGGTTTTATCTCTTAATGGTCATGTCAGATAACGATGAAACGGCCAGCCAACCAACACCAGCCCCCCTCTATATATCTCTTTATCTATTAAGTTGACGGAACACTGTTCAACGCATGTTAGCCGGTCAATCACATTGTTCAACCAGCTCGTTTGCTTGTTTTTTGCAGTTAACAGCAGCAGCAGCGTGTGAGTTGAACACACCACCATAACCGGCGAGCTGCGCTGCCATAGCAATTGAAAATATATCGTAGTCGGTCTCTCCGACGAGTAGTGTTTGCGCCAATTACGTAACAACACTTTTTCACTTTTCTTTACAAGAAACAAAATTGAAAAGGAAAATTTCATTTCCGATTTTACTTTTTTTAAATGATGAATTCGAAAGTTAATTGTATTTCAGTTTGATCAGATAATTGAAATTTATGTTAGAGGAATTAAGTGTTAACTTTCCAGAACATTCCCTAACATGCACCCCTTCCCTACTCCTCTCCACAATAGGCGGCTGCACAGCCAAATCATGTGAATTTTCAAATAATAATTTCACACCTTGGGCATAGCTTTTTTTAAAAAAATATTTTTTGTTTTTCTCTCTTCTCTTCGTTTTTGGCTGGCTATCTTTAGTGTTGTTTAAATAGTAGATTTAAATTTTGTTTGTTTTTCTTTTTATCATGCTTTTATCAGTTGTACTAGTAGTCCGTCCCAATTATTAATATTAACATACTTCAATTGTTAGTGGCATCGTTGTTGTTGGGTATATGGTTGGAAATTTGTGTCATCCCATCTTCAGCCATTCGTGTTGATTGGTTTACATTGCTGCCCTAGATGGATGATAATAGTCAACCGGTAAATTTTAACAAAGTTAGTTCATTAGTTACAAGCTTTTCGGTTCCAGTTGTCGTCAATATTTGTTGTTTTTCATTAATAAAAAAAACATTTAGGCATAGATACCCCTTTTTTGTTGCTGTTGTATATATCCATCTATGAATGACAAACATTTGGTATTATGTAATTCCATTTTTTTATCTTTGAGATATACCTACCTACAGCAATCATGACTAAGAACAACATCATAACAAATGGAGAATATTCTTTTTCATAAATGCATATTTATAAAGGAACTAAATTGTTACATAATTTTTGAAATTGTTTACAATTACTTAATAGTTTTTTTTAAATAATTAGAAAATAATAATGATTTTTTTCCTGAAATATGTTTTAAAAATTGTCCATGACATGTTGGGCGAACATGTTTCCGGTATAATGTGACTATTGAATGACATTTGTCCATTTTCAAGGTTGCAATATTGAAATGTTTTTTGGGGTGGTATTTTATTTTTCAACATATTTATGGTGATTTTGTCATTTTGCTATTCATGACTTTCGACATGACCCAACTTGTGGTGTCATGAGGGGGCAGAATACCTACCTCTCAATTTTGGAATGTGTTCTCAGTTTTCAATTAGTTTTAATAGATGTGAGATTTTAATATTATGATATATGGACATCCAAAATTCCATAATGGTTTTGAGAAGCCAACTTAGATGGTTATCATTGTGAAGTTGAAGTTAGGCTAATGGATGCATGAAGTAATACATCCACTACACTCAGACACCTTTGATCAATTGTGGACTTAAATCTCTCTAAGAAAATGCACTACATTTTTACACTGGTAGCTAATTTTGATCTGGAGTACAACAGAATATGTTTTAATTTAAAAGAAAATATTTTTTGAGTGGCCGAATTTTCCAGCTGTCTTTATGAAAATATTCAAAATCACAGGTCGAATGATATTTAATTTAAATTAATATTTTGTTCGTATTGGCCAATTTAATTCATGTCCATAGGTCATTACATCCCCATCAAAATTTAAAATCAAATTTTAAGATTTAAAATAAAAATTTGTCCACCTGTCCGTATGAGAAAGTCCTCGATCGAGGACAATCTATACTAAAATAAATTTCTTCGTTCCTTTAATAACCTTTATCTGTTTTAATTTAAAAAAAAATGGGTTAAATCATTATATACATGGCTACCCGTAATATAAGTTTCAACAATTTTGAGAAGTAAATCGTAATTCCGGCAGTGGGTCATTACATTCAGGATCAATGGACACGACAATTGGTCGTGGGGTCTCTGATTACAAGAATATAATTTTTAGGTTCTCAAAGAATAAAAGAAAATATTTAAATAAGATCTATATTTTGGCATTGCCTAAATGGAAAAATCCTCGACCTTTTTCCAATCAAAGTGGTGGTTGTAATTTGACAAGGGATAAAAGACCATTTCCATCTAACCTTGCAGAAAATTATCTAAATAAGCACATGTATTAATACAACTTTCAAAATAGGTAATCGCTTGATTTTTCGCATTTTTAAGGTCATTGCCTCAATTTCCAACCGATATTGCTGATATTTTTAGTATGAGGTTCTTAGAGGATAAATTACCTTCAAAATTAATATTTCGGCTTTCATTGATTTTAGGTACTTGGGAGTTTGAAGCGGATAGTAGAAAGCACAATATTATTTTCTGGATAACTGAATATTATTTAAACAGTCTCGGGTTCTGGTTAGCGGTTTATTCATACTTAGTTGCCGAGTCCTTTCCATGGTAAGACGCTATGCCATGGCCGACCTCAAATCCTTACAAAAATCAACATCTATGGAGCCGATGCCAAAGTAGTATAGTTTGCAATTTAATTGAAATCGGCCTTAATGGCTTCAAATTGCATTTATTTTATTTATTTTTGAATAAATAAAATCATTCGAAAATTCTCGCAGCTGGAGTCTAGTTGCTATCCATAACCGACCCATACAGTTTTAAAAAATCTTTTTGAAAACATTGCTGTTATAGATCCACTTTTTGACGAATATTCCATAACAGAAACTTGGAATACATTTTTGGTAAAGCTGATTAAGTTTGGGGAGTATTCCATTTCCCACACTCAACAACATTTGACTAGTAACAACTATTTTTTTAACTTTTTATATTACATTTTTCGACAGAACTGTTTACCTCTGCCTTATTGTGAAATTCGTTATACTTCTAATCAGCTGGTTGGGGAGTATTCCATTTTCCCACATTCATTACTTTTCTCTGCCATATTTACCCATAAAACTTCAACGGTAAAACTTCTTCCACGTTCGAAATGTACCTGAATATTTCCTCGTTGTAATTACATTTTATAATATATCTCCTATGACAAAATCGTCCTAGTAATTGTCCATGCTGACGTCATGGAATGGAAACGGCAGAACAAAAAAATCAATATCAACGAACCCACTGACAGGCTATTTTCATCGAAGTGCCAAATGTAGGGGGGGCTTGTTTTGGTGTTGTTGTTTTTCTACCAAATTTTCCTTTCACCATTGTTGTTGTACAATGCTGCTGCTGCTTGAAAACACAGCTGTTGTTTTGTTCGTCGTTGAATGGATGACACGCTCAGTACGGGGTGAAAATTTTTTTTTTCACACTAACCCCAAAGCAGAATAACAACACCAAAGAAGAAGGGGAAGAAAACTAAACGACTAAAAGAAAAATTGTTTAGTAGAGCAGTCACAAACCACCGTCATTTCAAATATAATTTACTTCTCCGACTGCATCGAACAGTTGTTAAGCAAAAGAGCTAGGGTGAGGGTGTTTTCGTTGCTGCAATATCATCAAGAAGGAAAGAAAGGCTGTGCTGTGAAAAAAAAAACAACAATCATAATATAAGAAAAGTGAAAGTATTGTAAAAATATATAGAAAAGTATGCCACACCTCTTTTATTTTAAACAATTACTATATTAGTTGAAATGTTTTTTTTTTTTATTTTGTGTAAATTGTGCTGTGTGTTGACCTTAAAGTTTCCTTCATCCTTATCCTTGAAACATTACAGTAATAATAATTGCTGTATGGTGGCTACTGTTGTGTAATATTTATTGAATTTCCAAAAAGAAAGACAATTATGGCCAATCTCGAGCACAAAAATAAAACGCCTGAAAAATCAACTAATGCAGGACCTTTGCGTGTTTTAGCCACATTCTATTTTCAACCAACATGGCTTTTACCAACAAATGAAAATAAATCAAAAAAATCCAAAAGGGACTTATTGATTTTTAGCGAAGATGATGACGATGAGGCAAGTGTTACTTCTTCTTCTTCTACCTTCCCTTTGTTTAGAATATGAAAATTTATTTTTTTATATTTCTAATTGGGTGTATGTTTTCTTTTTTTTCACTTCTGTGTAAAATTATTATTACATCATCCTCATCATCTGCTGCTAAACAACAAAAAAAGGTTTTCTTTAAACAAAAAAACCAAATATTTTCTGGCTGTTGTCTGGTTTTTGTTATTATATTTTTTCGATTTTCTTTATTCTGCTTGCCCACAATATGCAGTGAAGGATAGAATATGATTTTTTTTTCTTTGTCAATTCTTGTTGTTTTATTTTCTTCCCTCATGTAGAACATAATGACAATGGCGACGACAACAAGTTCAAATAATAAGACGTATTATAGATTATAATATGTATTTTGTTTTTGCAACATATCTGATTTGTGTGTTTTCCACTTTAAACCACCTTCTTCCCATTATTGCAATTTGTTGTTGTGTTTTTTCTCTTTCTCGCCAAAAATCCACACCATGAAATTTTTTACAATTGTTTTTTGTTAAAAATTCTTATTTGTTGTTGTTATCATCGTGTGTGCATTCATTAGGTGTGTCTGGTTACCCTAAAGTTTGTAACAATTGTTACAAATTGTTACTGGAAGTCGTCTGTTAACCCAAAAGTTCTGCAAAAGAGAGCGGTTGGAGAGAGAAATTTTGACAGTTCTTTCAGTGAGAGTTTGCAAATTCTTGCTGGAAAAATTTCTTCTTGCAATCTCTTGCAACTCTTCTTCTTCTCATACATCGACATTCAATCAGATGTTTTCTATTGTTTGTTTATTTATTTTTGTGCTTTCAATTTGAAAATAATTTTTTTTGGAATTAGCAAGACTAATTGTTTTTGTTTTTGTTAAACTGGTTGTGTTTTCTTTCTTTTAATTCTTTATAATGGCGGACAAATTGGTTTGTTTTGACAAATCAGCTGATTAGTTGCAAGCTTCTGCAGGGATGCCGTCTGTTTACTTTTCGCATTTTTCTTGCAAAAGAGAATAAAACTACCTTACTCTCTCAGAAAGAAGTTACTGGACAATTCCTGCAGGGAAAGTAACCAGACACACCTATTATGTTGTCATTTATTATTTTAAGGTTTTCTTGAATTCCACTTCCATTGTCTTTGTTGGATGTTTCCAAGTGCCTTTTCATAATTATGCATTTAAGAAAAAAAAAAAATGAATTGAGTTTGAAAATATAAAATTAAACAAACTATTTAATGTACGGCAATCTCAATTTCGTTGACATTATATGATACCCTCCACACATTGGGTATATTCTACATATGTTCCTTCGAGAGAATACAGGATGAGATAAAAAACTGCAACAAAGTCAAACGCCATAATTTTTACATTTAAATTTTCTTGAATGAGAGCAAGAAATGTCGGAAATAGCATCAAATTTTAGAAAAAGTTTAGATTTGTTCGAATTGGTCACCTTTAGCACGTATTATGGCCTTCAAACGGCCAATAAAACCGTCACACGCTGCCCGAATGTGGCTCTGCGGTATTTTGGCCCATTCCCGGCGAAGCGATTGCTTGAGGTGTTCGACTGTTTGCTATTTTTTAGTGCCAACCTTGCCTCCCAAAATACTCCAGACGCAATAGTGCAACGGATTGGTATACGGAGATGTACAATGTCTGCGGCCAAAATGTTTGCGTGCCCCAAGGCTTTATACACCCTCAAGAATATTTTCGCGATAATATATTTTCTCATCGAAGAAAACCAAATTTGGCAGTTCGCAACCTTCGGCCAAGCGAAGCAACCCTTTAGCTCCTTGAGTCGATCAAATCGCTTCTTTACTTTTCGAACCATTTCTGCTGATGTTGCTGTTTTCTTCCGTCCACTTCCTTGACGCCGGGCTACGCTACCAGTATTACGGTAACGAGCGACGGTACGAGACAATCGGACAAACTTTGGGTCCTTTGTACAAAATTTACATAGAATCGGGCGGAAATATATCGACGCCTCCGAACCATAGTATGCTAAGTCGACTTAGCATGTTTTAAAGTTCTTTACGTTTTTAGATACTACGGTCCTTAATTTAAATTCACTGAAATTTTGGTAATCATCGGCCAATCCAAACCAAAGTTATAAGCAAAAATGTACTTAGCATGGCACGTACGATTAATGAAACTTCCATACTTGGAAAGCTTCTACTGAAAAACTCACTTTTCAGACTTAGCATACTATGGTTCGGAAGCGTCAATATATGGGATATATGGTGCACCATTTACATTAAATCCAACGAAAATATATATGGGAGCTATATCTAAATCTGAACCGATTTTCTCGAAACTTAACACGGATCATTATGGACCTTATTCAGTGCGCTATGCCAAATTTCGTGTAAATCGAAAAATATATAGGGTCTTTGGTGCACCATTTACAGTACATCGGACGAAAATCTATATGGTAGCTATATTTAAATCGGAACATATGTTCACGAAATTTAACACACATCATTCCAGACATAATTCTGTACGCTATGCCAAAATTCGTGAAAATCGAATGATATATAGGGGCTTTGGTGCATCATTTGCAATCTTTTTGAAAAATCTATTTTTTTTTTTTTTTTTGAAAAATCTATTTTTTTTTTTTTTAAAAATCTGTTTTTTTTTTTTAAAATATTTTTTTTTTTTTTTTTTTTTTTTGAAAATTTCATTTTTTTTTCTATGAAATCTACTATGAAAATCTACTTTTTTTTTAATTTTTTTTTTTAACTGATCCCACTCTGACAGGCCTATGAAAATTATTCACAAGGCTTAAAAAGTCTCCGAATATCTTTCAAAGTGAAATCATATTAAAATTTCCCCATAATTGCCGAATATAAAAATTTTATCTAAATTTTATAGGGCATACAAAGTATTACTTTCAGCATGATTTCTTATGTAAATCTGTATAATTTCAACATAATATCTTGTAGATTAGAATTACACGCAACACAATGACGCATATATTTTGGCTAAAATGTAAAGAGTATATGTGTGTGTGTGTGTCGGTCTGTCTGTCTTTTGAGATAACAACAAATATGCGACACACTTTAAGACATGCGACACAGCAGACAAATCTATCGCAGACTCATTCAAATATAGAAAGTAGGAAATTTGATTTTTTTTGTTGTTGCTGATGTTGTTCTTCTTCTTCGTTGTTTTGACCAATTACAGCGAAGCACATTTCTGTTATTTAAATTTTTGTTGGCCAAATTTAGGAAAATAACAAACACACGCATACGCCGTAATAGGTCAATGATCGATCGAATCGTTTAGTCGGCCGTTCGGTCGTAAGTTAAATGACCGGTTTTTTTCGAGATTTGTTTTTGCTCTGATCTGGCAGAACAGCGGTCTGCCGTGGCACATCAACATAATAGAGAATTTAATAATAGTTTTTTTTTTCAAACCAATTCATTGATGAACACACCACACATTTTGAAAACAAAATGCCGATATGTAAAAAATAAATATTGGTGCTCAGATGAGTCATTTAATTTATGTGGTAAAATTTATATCGGTTAATAAAATTAAAAAAAAAAAACCTAACCACAAGGGACCAAAAGAAATATATATTAAATTCTTCGCCTATATATAAATACTTTGTGGAGCTATGTTTAAAAGTGGCATAATTCCATATAATTCAATATTAGTCCATGTTTAGATATAGCCCCCATATTACGTTTCCTTCTTTTTTGTATTTTGAAAATTTTTACAAAGAACTTTTTATTAGTAATTTTTTTTGTGTTCCTCTCATTTACCTCATTTATCAATTTTTTTTCTAATCGCCTTCTCCCCCCTTCTCTTCTCATTCCAGATGGCTCCTCCATCATTCTCCGATTTGGGTAAACAAGCTCGTGACATCTTCGGCAAAGGTTATCACTTCGGTTTGTGGAAATTGGACTGCAAAACCAAAACTCCATCTGGCATTGAATTCAGCACAGCCGGTCAATCTAATCAAGAATCTGGCAAGGTTTTCGGTTCATTGGAGACCAAATACAAGGTTAACGATTACGGTTTGACTTTGACCGAAAAATGGAACACAGACAACACCCTCTTCACCGAGGTGGCCGTGCAAGACAAATTGCTCGAGGGCTTGAAATTGGCCTTCGAAGGCACCTTTGCCCCACAAACTGGCAACAAGACTGGCAAATTCAAGGTTGCCTACGGCCATGAAAATGTCAAAATCGATTCCGATGTCAATGTGGATTTGAGCGGTCCCTTGATCAATGCCTCGGCCGTTTTGGGCTATGAAGGTTGGTTGGCCGGTTACCAAACCGCCTTCGATACCCAACACGCCAAGTTGACCACAAACAACTTTGCCTTGGGTTACACCACAAAGGACTTTGTCTTGCATACAGCTGTGTAAGTACCAGAAATAAATCTCCCGACAGTCGCATAAGAATTGCAATATTAATTTTCGTTTTCCCTCCTATTTTTCTTTAGCAATGATGGCCAAGAATTCAGCGGTTCCATCTTCCAAAAATGCTCCGACAAATTGGATGTTGGTGTACAATTGTCCTGGACCTCGGGCAGCAACAACACCAAATTCGGTTTGGGTGGCAAATACCAATTGGACAAGGATGCCGCTTTGCGCGCCAAGGTCAACAATGCCTGCCAAGTTGGTTTGGGCTACCAACAAAAGTTGCGTGACGGTATCACCCTCACCCTCTCCACCTTGATCGATGGCAAGAACTTCAATGCCGGCGGTCACAAGATCGGTGTTGCTTTGGAATTGGAAGCCTAAGCAGCCGTCAATTGTCCATAAGTTTTATTTTTTAATTGTACTAACACTACCAAATAAATATAACAACAACAAAAAATAAACTTTCACAAATCCAGCGAAGTATGTAAAAAAAACAACAACAACATCTCAGCAAAAAACAAGAGCAACAAATTACACTTATATATAAATAATGTTACAAAACAAACAAAATCTAAACCGAAAATTATTTAAATTATCATCATGATGAAGAGTGAAGTGAGTGAAGAACAACCACAACAAACAAAAGTTTCAGTTAAAATTGAAACAAAACACACAAGAAGATGAAGAAAACAACAAATAAATAAAAATGCTAAAAACCATTGTTAACCATTTGGTTTAAGCCAGTTGAAACTAAACAAAAAAACTACATTCGTAAACAAGGAGTAACATTGTTTTTTTAGTTTTTAGTAGTTACCACTATTAATTAAAAACCCCCTTTCAACCAACCAACCTCCCCCGTCTTTCCCTGAACAAAAACGCCAGCAATGTGGGTTTTTGTTCTATCCATTCCTGCCCCCAGGAAAATCTTCTACTACTTCTACTATGAATACTGCCCAGCCAGATAAATTATATAATCTATTTTATTACTTTAAATCACATTTAAGCTGTTTAGAGTTCACGAAGAACAGTTATTTCGAAAATTCAAATATATATACATTATAATTTTGACAGAGCAAATGTGTCTCTGTGGCATTTAAATCTCTTTCTCTGTGACGTTTTTTGTTGTTGTGGGGAAATTGTTTCGGTTTTTTTTTTCTTTCCTTTGTCGGTTAAGGAGATATATTGGGGTTAATGGATTTTTGTTTAGAGCTGAAGGGAAATTATTCTTTGGTAATAATTTAGGTTTGAGAATGGGCAGTAGCCGCCGATTACGTTGCAATCAACTCTTTATTCGTGTAAAAGAAATCAAGAGTAAAAAAAGCGGCAGGGACTTAATTTGGGGTTTTATTAAGAAAACGTTTTCAAGGACCATTAGTGGCTTGGATTATTTAAAGAATATTTTGTCAATAATATTTTTTCAAGTCCCATTAGAAGCGTGGATTTTTTTAAAATATTTTTTCAAGCTTCAATTAGAGGCGTTGATTTTTTAAAGAATATGTTTTCATGCCGCCCATTGGAGGTGTGGATATTTTACTTACTTATCTGGCTTATGACAGAACTTTCCTTCCATAAGCCGAACTTAGAAAAGATTTACAGGCTCGTCGGTCTTTTGCGCAGTTTTTCTAATTTGAAAGACCATTTTCGGCAATGTTGTCTTCGACTTGGTCTTTCCATCGTATTCGTGGCCTTCCCCCTTCTGTGTGAACCATCAGCAAGTTCGCTTTTATATGCCTTATGTGCTGGGGCATCTTCATCTATTGTCACAACGTGAACTAGCCAACGTAGTCGCTGCGTACAGATCAGCCCATAGATCTTTCGGAGAATTTTTCTCTCAAACACTCCAAGAGCTGCCTCATCTGCTTGCCTTCTCCGAATTTCAAAACTGATGTCATTCGTTTTATTTATGGCTGTTACCAAGGTATATAAAATCTTTAACTACCTCGAAGCTGTAGTTCTCAAGTTCCACAGTTGGTCGGAGTCTACTGGACGTCTTGCGCGTTGATACCATCAGCTTGGTCTTCTCGCCGTTTACTGCCAGACCCACTTTGGCAGACTCCTTCTCAATTTGTTCAAAGGTGGCTGTTATCGCTTTCAATGTTTGACCCATTATGTCGATGTCATTGGCGTAGGCGAGTAACATGTGTTGTTTGGTGTACAGAGTGCCATTTCTATTCACTTTTGCCTTTCGTATGACCTTTTCCAGCAGGATGTTAAAAAGGTCACACGACAAAATATCACCTTGTCTGAATCCTCGTTCGGTAATAAAGGGCTCCGTGAGGTCCTTTCCGACTTTAACTGCTGATCTTGTGCTTGTTAAAGTTATCCTGCATAGCCAAATTAATTTTGCAGGAATACCAAACGCAGACATGGCTTTATACACCTCGAATGCGGCTTTATAGCCGACGAATAGGTGGAATGTGTCGATGTGTTTTTTCCAGGATTTGGCGCAGAGTGAAAATCTGGTCAATGGTGGATTTGCCAGGTCTGAAGCCGCATTGGTATAGTCCAATGATGTCATTGACCATTGGCTTCAATCTTTCACACAGCGCACTGGATGCGATGGGATGAAGGCTAATTCCTCTATAATTGAACGGGGCACAGGATGAGGTTCCAATCATTGGGCATGCATTCCTCTAACCAAATTGTACTAATCAGCTGGTGCATTTCTGAAAATAAGTTTTTCCTCACTCCCTTTCTCCCGATAGTTCTCCATCGCATTACGTGCTGCGTTTTTCATATCAGTAGTATTACGACACTCCTGATCGTACCACGGATATCTTGATGGTGGTGTTTGTTGCTTTTCGACGTCAAATTTCCTTGTTTCATTAGATCGCACCTTTGATGCTACATTAAGACGGGTGCGTACTTTGGCTGCCACAAGGTAATGGTCCAAATCAATCCCCGGATCGATCGGACGTCTAGAACACTGGATGAATGTCTTCCGTCTAACACAACATGTCTTTGAAAAAAAATATATATTTTGATTCTTTTAATCCACGCTTTCAAAAAAAATATATATTTTTTTAAATACACGCCTTCAATTTGTTTTAATCTACGCCTTCGTAAAAAATATATTTTTTTCAATCTACGCCTTCGAAAAATTATTTTATTTTAATACACGCCTTCCAAAAAAATTATTTTTTTTAATCAACACCTTCGACAAAATGTTTCTTTTAATCCACGCCTTCCAAAAAAATATTTTTTTTTTTAATCCACAGCTTCGAAAAAAAAATTATTTTTTTTTTAAATCCACAGCTTCGAAAAAAAAATTATTTTTATCCACGATTTCGAAAAAAATATTTTTTTAAATCCACGCCTTCGAAAAAATATTTTTTTAAATCCACGCCTTCGAAAAAATATTTTTTTAAATCCACGCCTTATAAAAAAATATATTTTTTTTAATCCGCGCCTTCAAAAAATATGTTTTAAAAAATTTACGCCTATTTGGAAACCTGAAAAATTATTTTTTGTTTAAATCGTCCCAAAAAACACAAAATTCCAGCAGAAAGTTGTAAAAATTAGAATCGACTGTGGGTTTGTATATTTTTGAACTGATATTCAGTAGACAAAAAAATGTCCTTCCTTTTAAAATTAGCTTATCAATAATTTATTTATTTTGCAATAGTACAATACATTTAATCGGGATACATAAAACATTCAAATAACAAAGATGATAGCTCACAGTTATACAAATTCTGCCGAACTTCATTTACAAGCAATAGTTAAAATTGAAAAGTAAAAAAATCAAACTTAAACTAAATTAAAAACTATCGAAGCGAAATTGCTCCAAACATTTCCCATTAAGCAGGCTGCTGTTGCTTTTCCAATTCCAGCAATTGTTTATTACGTTTTTCCATGCATTTCTTAACCCATGGATGTTGCATGACATCAACTAATGTTATACGGGAACTGCCACTTTTACGCAACAAATTCGAGATTACATCTTTGGCACCCACCGATAGATATGGTGGATAGTGGACGGCTAAGCGACGAATTTTATCATAGGTCATATCTGTATCATTGGATTCGAATGGTGGTCCACCCGTTAAGAATTCATAACATAAAATACCCAAACACCATTGATCCACAGAATCGTCATAGGTATGGCCCTCAACCATTTCGGGGGGTAGATAATCCAAGGTGCCGCAAAGGGTTTTGCGCCTGGGGGAAAAGGGAATTTAATAAATTATCAAGTTATAATACTGAGTTACTAGATGCCCTTACTTATTTGAAATGGTATGAGCGGACCAACCGAAATCAGCCAATTTAACATCATCCGCAGCTGTGAGAAGAATATTTTCTGGCTTCAAATCACGATGTATGACATTATTCAAATGACAATAGTGCAGGGCATCGGCCACTTGATATGTATATTTTGCCGCCCGTGGTTCATCGAAACGACAATTTGGCGAACGCCTTAATATTTTAAACAATTCACCCTGTGATGCAAGCTCCAGAGCCAAATAGATACGAGAATCATCATGAAACCATGTGAGTAAACGTAAAATATGTGGATGTTTGAGACGCGATTGAATTTCAATTTCTCTCAACACCTGCCGTTGGACGTTACCTTTTTGCAGCTCGGCCTTAAACAACACCTTCATGGCCACCATAAAATGGGTATGGCGTTCACGAGCCAAATAGACACGACCGAATTTACCTCTACCTAAAGGAGCGCCCATCTCGAAATCCCGCGTCGTCCATTCGTAGCTAAAGAAACAAAAGCAAAATATTGAAATTTTAATCATATATTGCTATGTAATTCACTTACGGTTGCCCATAGGCTGGATGCTGCAACATTCGCAGGCATAGATCCTTGACATAATCCTTGTGTTCATCTGGCACCTTTTCAACCAACTTTGGCAAATCATGACGATTTGGTGGCTTTTTGGCAGATTTGTGCATGGTTTATATTTGAAATAGATTTTTCTAATTTGTATAATTTCCAAAAAAATACGTGTTTACTCTACAAATGCCGCCAAACAATTCCAAATACGTTGCGTCGTTCAAAAAAATGCCATATGCCAGTGTCAATGGTTATCGATTACTTTCACACACACACAGTCAAAGTGACAGCCACCCAGATAACAGTAAATGCTTGATTCCTTAAAGTAAGTCGTGTGTCATATTTTCTAATGGAATATTACAGACGCATAAGTTTGGATTTTTTAAAGATTATTTTCTCAAGACATGAATGTTAAGAATGTTTTAGCGATGAATATTATTAATATGTGGAGAAGGTGGAACGATGACGCATGGTAAGTTAATTTATGACATTTACACAATATTTCGTCTGATTGTTCTGAAAAGGAACTGAATAAAAGCTTATTTTGCAGAAGAAGACTAGGGACAAGACCATTTTAGAAGCGCAGATCGTTTTAACGATATTATATTTTTCTTGTGGAAATCCACACTTCCGGGGCGATATGGAACTCTAATGTTTCGCTGGTACCCTTGTATTTTCCCCCTGACCCTTGGAACCCAGTTTAGAAGCGCAGATCGTTTTAACGATATTATATTTTTCTTTTTCTCCTACAAATGTGGAAATCCATACTTTTAAATAAAATTGTATCCAATCATACCAGGGGCGATATGGTTTTATAATATGCCTATATATTAGAATAAAGAATATAGAATCTAACGAGTTGTTTTGAGGTTTTTATGCCTTCCCGAATAGGTGTTTACTTTTAAAAATATTTTTTTCCAGCAGCCAAGACAAACGTAGATTCATGGCCCAGTAATAAGGTCGTCCGATAAAGCCAGATTTTCGCCGACCTAGGACGGGTGTAGATTCTCAAAATCCCATGATAGACGTATTTAAAAAAAATATTTATTAAAGACCTAAGACAGGCGCATATAAAAAAAATATTTTTTTAAGACCCAAGACAGGCTTTGATTTTGAAATATATGATTCCTGAAATACTAGGACAGGCGTGGATTTTTTAAAAATTCGATTTTGGAAGACCAAGGACAGGCGTAGGTTTTTAAAAAATTATTCTTGAGCAGCAAAAATATGATTCTCAAAAAAAGATTTAATATTTATCACATACATTGCTACTAATCCTCGAATTATTGGTTTTGAAAATGGGATATATCGGTCTAGGTTTTCGTATAGCCATTATATAAGGCAATACCAAAATTATAAATATAGGTACAAAACATGGTCCTGTATTTTAATTTTTTTTACTCACCAAGAACCCGTAATACCGAATTACAGCATCCTCGATTATAAAATGCCCCTAAAACCTTCGAAATACCGCAAATATATCTATAAAAACTGTTCTCATAGCAATCTGCATATAGAATATTTAAAATTCCCGACAAAGGGTCGATTATTTACAAAATAACCATTAGGAATATAAACTCTTAAAATCAGGATAATTAAAAAAATTCAGATCTTAATAAAATCCATCTTCGAAGAGTACAGCCAGAGATCTAAAATAATTTATTTCCCAACAATATTCTGATTTTCAGTTCTGAATTTTCTCCCTTTATTTCGAACTACAATTTGATTTTGGACATTACGGTTATCAGCCTAGCAAAGTCTTACTGATAACCACCAACATCGTGTTCAGAATACTCTTCTCTTTCTTTGGTCTTTATACAAATAATTTTATAAATTGTATTTTTCAACCCTAACATAAAAAATTATAGATAAGATTAGATAGTAAGTAATTCAGATTTGGCCCTTAGTAGAATAAAATAAAAACTTATTTTCAATGTAAAAATTCGAATGATCGCAATTTTATTAACGTTCGTGTTTCACATTTTGTGTTAATATTTTTTGTTTTTATTAGTACGTTCAACTTCTTAAATATCAAAAACCGAAAAAAATATATAGGCATATAGAAAAAAATCATTGTTATTAGTATTTCATGTATTGTTGTTGCAGTTGTTGAGCTTAGATTTTATTGAAAGCAGCAATATCAACGCTTTGAACGAAGTCTTCGAGTTTTTCGATTTCTTCGGTAAGCCAGTCGATGGAGACCTTTTCGTCTTCGACAACGCAGCTAATACTCAATTTCTTGATGCCAAAGGCAACGGGTACCAATTTCGAGGCGCCCCACAACAAACCATCGGTGGTGATCTTTCTGATTTCGGTTTCCATTTGACCGAGATCGGTTTCATCGTCCCAGGGTTTGACATCCAAGACCAAACTGGATTTGGCAATAAGGGCGGGTTTCTTCTCCTTCTTTTTGGCATAGGCTGCAAGACGTTCTTGTCTGATGCGGGCGGCCTCCTCAGATTCTTCTTCACTATCGGAAGCAAAGAGATCGACACCATCATCGTCATCAGATTTCTTCGACTCTTCGGCGGCGGCAGCAGCAGCTGGTGCAGCACCGGACGACTTGTTGCATAATGTAGCCTCCAAAGCCTGAATGCGTTTCTGTGAGTCCAAGCACATGTCCTTTAGGCTGGCCACCAAACTCTTCAATTCGGCATTCTCTTCTTCGACATGAGCCAAACGAGTCAAAATGTCAGATTGAATTTGACACGAACCAGCATCGGAAATGCCACCCATCTTTTCCAAAGAGATTTTAATTTGTTCTCTGGCTTTTTTGATTTCCGACACCAAGATATTGGTCTGGGGACTTACATTCGATGCCGAACATGATCCTTTGTTCAGCAATTCGTAGTATTGACGTTCGGCGTTGGCAAAACGGGTTTTATCCCAGAATTTTTCTTGACTCAAACAGGAGGCCATTATAGTTGCAAAAATGTCGTCGTCGTATCTCTTCGTCCAATCAAACACACGCAAGCAAAAATCTGCAACGCAACGTGCTACCACACTATCACCAAAGCGAACAGTCGGTTTTTTGACGTATAGGGATGTTAAGGTTGAATTTGATAGGGGAATAATCGATTATTTACGGCAATCGAACGTTGAACGTTATTATCGACAATTTTATTTTTTCACTGTTGGGATTTTAAATTTTGGCTGCGAGAGTTAAAGAAAATTGTTTTTTTTTTGTCGATTGAAAAGGATATTAATATATTTCGTATTATTTTCTCACGTTATTCATAATCTTTTTATGTATTAAAAATTAATTTCAATAGCCGTTGTTAAATTCATATAGAATAATAATTGACAATTCAAACAAAAAATATAGTGATGAGTATTTTTAAATCCACATTTTTTGCGACGCTAGAAAAACGTTAAAAAAAAGTTCCCTTTTTTCCGTATTTTAGAAAAAATAGTTTTAACAATGTTCTGTTCTACAATAATCTTTCATTATTCGAAATTTTTTTCGATTTCCCTTCTTTAAATTTGAAAAGTTATATTTGTTTTGAGTGCAGGAGCAGCCATGGCACAATAATACAAGGTAGGACAGCTTGAGGTGAATAACAAAAAAGCAACTATGCACGTGTGGCTTCTTATGCCAAAAATAAAATAAATATACGCAACAAGTGTTTGTGTTTATTTGACATTTTTTCAACACAAAACTAAAAACGCGAAAAATGAATGAAAGGTTATGATTTCTTCCAAAAATTTAGTAGGGAATGCCATCAAATCAAGTGTTTGTTTCATCCATAACAAAGTAATTATTCCAGACGAACATGTTAAAAACATAATTTTCATTTCAATTAAATTTGAATATATTTCAATTTATTTTGAATTTATTTGACATAGTATTCAAAACATTACACACACATACACAAAATATGTTTTTTTATTTGATGGAACAAGCCACCTTGAGAAAAAATTGTAGCCGTGTAATAATTATACCATGTATTGAACAAATTAGGGAAGAATATTTGAGGAAAATGTTGAAGTGAACTGGCTCGAAGCATTCTACAATCCTAATGAAGCTTAGCAGGAATCTTTAAATAGTTATGTGCACAAATTTATTCCAAATGCAATACCGATTTGGATAATGATCAAATTGATATCTGTCTAAAGGATAAAATTATTGCCGCTGTCAATCGTAATGAATTATGGATACGCGATTGGGATGTCCATTGTATATACTGAAAGTAATTTTCAAAGACCAATGACATAAATAATTGTCACGATTCAGATAGTGGTGTGGATATTTTAAATATAATGTTGTCGAAGACTATTCAAGATTTTTTTTGAAACCTGTGTGGAAATATTAAATAATGTTTTTTCAAGGACCTTCATTAAAAATTTTTTTAATAACGAATTTTTAAAGAAATTTAATTTTAACGACCATACAAAGGCATGGATTTTGAAAAGAAAAAATCTAATATTTTTACGGATCTTTAATTTAATTGAATTTAAAACTATATTTTTCGAATGTTAAAACAGAAGTGGGTTTTTAGGACAATTTTTCCAATGACCAGTAGAAGTAAATTTATTAAAATAATTCTTTTTCGAAGGTTGAAGCTGGTCTTTGGTATTTTTAACTCCTTATATCCTTATTAGCAACTAATTCCATGTATTTGCCATATGCCTATCTCGTTGCTGATACCTGTAGTATATATTTACCTAATATTACCTATATTAAAAATCGACACTATTAATACAGGCTACTAAATTGGACAGATGTAAAAATAATACAGGTAGTTTTTTACAATTTATCATTTAAAATACATTTCCTATGCGTTTAGAAATAAAATATTCCATAATTTTCCATGTAAACCTTACCTGTCATTTAATCCAAATACAACCCTGTTCAAGTAGGTAGAGAAGAGTTGCCACAACTGTCAGAGAAATGATGCTCACACAGTTATTGTTCAGTTGCAGCGAGAGTTTCATTTCGTCATTTGTCTTCAGCTAGCAAAGTTGTGCGTGAATATATTTGCCCCTTGAAAAGCAAAAAAAAAAATACAAATAAAAATTATTAAACAAAGCCAGAAATTAAATAAATTTATTAAAATATTATAAACAAAATAATAATAAAAAGAATTATTAACATATTATTAGTGACAGCTAGTAATTTGAAGTGAAAAAATCAAAAGAAAAGAAGCCAAAGGAGAAAAAAAGCAAGTAATTGTGTGTGCGTGTGTGTGTATTCTAGAAAAAAAAACAAAATGGCGTTTTGCTAAGGAATGAAATCGTCGTCTCTGCATGTCACACAATGATTTTGTAATATGTATACATATATCTAGTTTTCACAATATTTTAATAAATATTTTATTATTTTCCATTTTAGAAAAATATTGAAAATCAAAACAAAATTACAAAAAAGGTAAGTTTTTAGCAGAAAAGAAGAAGAAAGGAGGGCAAAAGAACTTGGTTATTGCCATTGAGGTGTTTTTTGCGGAGTGGTTGGTGATTTGTGAGCAGAAGAAGAAGAGCGATAGAACAAAAGTTCCACGACCATTTGTCTTATCTTCGTTAAAATTCCCCCTTGGTGTGTTTTTCTGGGAGATCCCTTTAAAATATTTAGTCTATCCCCCTCGAACGTCTCTTGACTGCTTTCTCTTGACAACTTTTTAAACAATGTCGGAAGCTATGGCTGCCCCTTTAATTCCTCAGCTACAAGAAATGCAACAACAAAATGGCAATTCTGCCAATCCACAACAGCAGCAGCAACAACATCAACAATGGGCTAATTATAATGCCTGGTATCAAAGTTACGGGGATGCCAGTGCCTATCAACGTTATTATCAATACTATATGCGATATAATATGCAGCAACAACAACAGCAGCAACAAGGAGGTGGAGCTGCACCACCATCCAATGCTCCTCCGGGTTTTAGTAATGCAGTTTTACCAAATGGTGGTGGTCAAGATTTGCCACCATTGCCAGCGGGACCACCACCACCGCCACAAATGGGTGGCGGCGGCGGTAAAATGGGTAATCAACAGCAACAACAAAAGAATTTTGGTGGCATCAAATTTAACCTCAATCAACAAAATCGTTTGGCCAATGCTCCAAATCCCCTGCAGCAGCAACAACAAAATGGAGTTGGCAATTTCAACGATGGAGGGAATAATAACAACAATAACATGAATGGAGGTGGTGGTGCTGGTGGTAAGAAGAAACGTAAGCGTAATAAAAATAAACAAAATCAAAATCAACAGCAACAACAACAGCAGCAATTAATGCAACACCAGCAACAACAACATGCATATTATAATGAAATGAATGGCGGTCCACAGCCAATGCAAACCGATGCCGGAGATAACAATGGTTTCGTAAATATGTCCCTACCCCCACCACCACCAATTATTTCCAATGTCGACTTAAGTAAACCCCCACCACCAATTGCCAATGGCATGCATGCTAAATCGATGGTAGATAATACCGCTGCCGCAACCATAGCTCAACAGGCCAATGCTGCAATGGCTGTTGCATCCAGCACCAACAGTACCTTTAAGAAACCCAATGCATTCCACAATCCCAATGATGCTTGGCCCGAATCGTTAAATAATTATGTGGCACGTTGTTATGCCAAATGTAATACCGATTTGGATAAGGATCAAATTGATATTTGCCTAAAGGGTAAAATTATTGCCGCTGCCAATCGTAATGAATTGTGGACACGTGATTGGGATAATGAACCCATACCCAGTGTATATAGTGAACGGAATAATATCAATATTAAATTGCAACAAAAACCAATGCAACAACAGCAGCATCAGCAGAATCATCAACAACAACAGCAGCATCAGTTGCATAATCACAATCAACGTAATCCCTTCCAAAAGAATCATCATCAGGCATCGCCTGGTGGTAGCATACCCATGGATCATTTGAAAAATAAACCAGGTGCAGTGGGTGGCGGTGGTGTTAATGCCTCATCAGCTGCTGCAGGTTTATCGCGTAATCTCAATGCCCGTCTGGGTCAACGCAACTCATTTGGTGGCAGTAATGGCAAAATGAAAAATTCTCGTAGTCGGTCGCGGTAAGTGAAAATATTTTTTATTTTTTTTTTTTTTAATTTTAAATTTTATTTTGAGCATTTCGTTATTATGAATCATCATTGGAATCTTTAAGTATTGTAATCAATTTCCGATAGGTGAATTCAAATATTTTACATCAGGATTTAAAACATTTTTTTTTTGCAATTTAGGGGCTCATCTTTGATTTTTGTGATATTTCTACCATTCATGATAACGAAATATTTGGCATTCCGAGATTCGCCATTTATGAGTCGGCGGAAAGAAATATTTAAAAAAATCCACGTAAAAATGTGTATTTTTTAAAAAGTTCACACTTGTGTCGGTCCTAAACAAAATTTTTATTGGAGTCTCTGGTTTCAAAAACTCCTCTCCTAAAAAAATTTATTTACATAACACCCGCCTGAAATGGTACTAAAAAAAACAATTTTTTGAAAAACCTATTTCTGCAAAGGTTCGGGAAACAAATTTCTTCGCAAAAACCCACTCTTGAAATGATCTTGTCCAGGATGGAATTTTATTTAAAGATCCATGCCTGTTATGGCCTTCAAAAAATAAAAAAATTTAAAAAATCCAAGCCGAAAAAATATTTAAAATTTGAAAAAATTTTATATAATTTTTAATTTTGAAAAAAAAAACTTTTAAAAATCCACTCTTGTAATTTTCATTTAAAAAAAATTAAAAATCCACTATTGTAATTTTCATTGAAAAAATTTAAAAAATCCTTGAAAGAATATTATTTTAAAAATCCTTCCTCTTATGTACATTTGGAGAATTGGGCTACGCGACCAAAATTTTCTTTTAATTTAAAATTTTTCTAAATAGCCGGCGTTCGGCCGGTGTTTTAAGACTTTGTCCTACGGACAGGTGGAAAATTGGGCTAGGAGAGCAGAATTCTTACAAATAAAATGTGGTTTGGTCAGCTTCAAAAGGACTATCTGCTGTAAAAAACTTAAACGTTTCTAAACGTATTTAACTTTGGAACCTCATATCTCGGGAAGTACAGATTTCCCCCGAAAAAATTATGTTGCTGTAATCAGCATCAGGAGGGCTACCTATGGTAAAAATTTCAAAATGATCTGAGAGGTGTCCTTAAAGTGCATTTAAGCCTTCTTTAAAAAAATATTTTTTAAAAAATTCAATCCTGAAATGGTTATTGAAAATATATTCTTTGAGGGAACCACATCTGAAATTGTCCTGGCCCATAATAGGACCTTCTCCATAAAAATCTACCTTTATCTCTCACTCTGTTAGTGGTCTTTTTATAAAGGTGGACTTTCATTTCCAACTTTGATGTAATTATTTACCGAAATACATAACTTTCATTTAAGTACACCATCTTTTTTTACCAAAAACGTTAAATAATTAATCCATTTTTTTTTGTTTTTTTTTTCAAATACAGTTCTCCCTCGAAATATCGTCATAATAAACGTACATCGCGTTCACGTTCCCCCTCTTCGTCACCATCAAGACCACGTAAAATACGCCGTTCATCATCATCGTCTAGTTCCTCTTCAGATTTTATACCATTATCCTCTTCCAATTCATCGTCGTCCTATTCGTCCAAAAAACAACAACAAAAGAATAAAAACAAAAAATCCGATTCCACTAGTAATGGCAACAGTTCGTCTTCAGGTAAATCGGGTAAAATTCCCTTCTATTCGTCGTCAATTGGTGGCGCAGTCGATGATGATTCGGCACGTCTTCAACAAAGAGCTGCACGCTTTTCTCAAGCCTCTAACAGCAAACAGGTTGTTGCAATTGCAAGCTCACCATTTGGTGGCAGCAGCAGCAACTCCTCCTCGTCTAAGGGTAATAATAGAAATTCGAAAAAATCATTCAATCATTCGCGTTCATCGTACATCGATGATAATGAGGGAGATAATGGTTTGGATTTAATGGATTTACATATTGTGGGTACATGCCATGATTTGGAAAAATCCTTTTTGCGTCTAACAAAGGCCCCCTTGCCATGTGAGGTGCGTCCATTGGAAGTGTTGGTGCATTCCCTGGAAAATGTTAAACAAAAGTGGCGTGCAAATCAGGATTATTTCTATGCTTGTGATCAGCTGAAGTCTATTAGACAGGATCTAACGGTAAGTAAAGCGATTTTTTTTTGGAATCTGAAAAAATAAAATTTTTATAATTTATTTATTTTTCTCTTTTGTAGGTTCAAGGTATACGCGACAAGTTCACCGTTGAAGTATATGAAACACATGCTCGCATTGCCATGGAAAAGGGTGATCATGAAGAATTCAATCAGTGCCAGACCCAACTGAAGATGTTGTACAGTGAAGTTGGAGCCAGTACGAATACATTGGAATTTACAGCATATCGTATACTGTACTATATATTTACGAAAAATACCTTAGGTAAGTTATTTTTTATGCAAAATGGTTTTGGAAAATAAAAATATTTATTTTTTATATTTTAGATACCACCACGGTTTTACGCTCGATCACACAAGCACAACGAGAGAATCCTGCTATAGCTCATGCCCTGGAATTCCGTTCCGCCTGGGCTATGGGAAATTACTGCAAATTGTTCCGTTTATATAAAACGGCACCACTTATGGCCGGACACTTGATTGATTGGTTTTTGGAAAGAGAGCGCAAGGCTGCTCTGAGAACAATTGTCAAGGCGTAAGTATAACTTTAGATATTTTAAAATCGAACAATATAATTAATGATTTTTCAACTTTTTCAGTTATCGACCCAATATCACAGTTGATTATATTACCGATCTATTGGCATTTGAATCACGTGATAAATGCAAAGAATGGCTTAACGGTTTTAATTTACCATTTGTAGGTGCAGATGGGGCACAAATCGATTGTAAAAATGCTTCAGCCATAGCAATATGAAGCAGTTAAATTACACGCCACAAAAAAACATCAAACAAACAATGGATGCAGAAATGTATCGCATTGTTTGTTAATGATGATGTGTTATTTCAAAGTATTAAAAAAAGCCAACTCAACAACCGCCCCAACAAAAACAAACAAACAATCAAAAACACACAGACAGATAGAACATTGAGTTGACTGTTTTTTTGTGATCTTAACAAATGACCCCCTCCAAAAACTCTTTAGCAATAAAGAGTTAGGTTATTTGTTGTAGACTTTTGAAGACGGTTATAACTCTTGTTCTTTTCTGTGAAAAAAAAAATATATAACAGAAAGCAACAGCAACAGCAGACGAGAAGAAGGAATCCAGTAATGCGCTGCGCTCTCCGTAACCAAAAACCCTAATTCAATCAAAACCGACAAACCGTTGACAAGTGTTTTTTTCACAAAACAACAATCAAGATAGAGCAACAAGTGATGCGTTCCAAAAATATTTTATTTTGAAATACTGGTGGGCTTTCTCCTTAACAGCGAGAAAAATTAAAAAAAATGAACATTGTGTTTTTTGTTTGACCCAATCAACCCCCTTTCAAATATAACAATTAACACTGAAAGACAATTGAATAGTAGCATTACGTCTCAAAAATGTGATTTAATAATGCCATAAAGTTTTTCCATTATGAATGTGGGCAATTTAATCATTGAACTTTTCCGTTCCCAAAAGAAAAAGTGAAGAAAAAAAGAGTCATATTTGTGACTCTAAAAAAATAGTCTTTTTCTATGGACATTCTTCGTTAATCCCTAAATGAGTTCTACACTATTAATGGTAGTGTTTTTGTATGTAATATTTGGACATTTCCAATTCGTGTATATTATACCAACTAAGATTTGTGCCATCGGGAAAAACAAATTATATTTAATAACAAAGTATGCGTTCGGTTTACTAAAAAAAAGTCGTACAAAAAATTATTGGCCGTTGGAGAAATCATCAGCTTTCTACAAAATTAAAATCGTCTACATCCTGTAAACTTCTTGGGATATTTTTCTTGGAAATATAGGAGAATTTAAAATCTACGATAAAATTTAAATCTACGAAAAAAAATCACTGTTGGAGAAATCATCAGCTTTCTACAAAAGAAAAATCGTCTACATCCTGTAAACTTCTTGGGATATAGGAGAATTTTGCCGTTGTAGAAGAAATAATCGCCATTTAAAAAATTGGAAAAATATTACACCTTTGAACATCTATAAATCTACGTAATTTAAATTTCTCCAAACTGAATTTTTAATTGTCTGAGAATGCTGCGAAGATTTGAGCGCACTCGACAGATCACAAATAATAAATTATTGGAAATGATTCGTGATCGTAAATGCAACAAAAAAGTGCCGGAGAAATAATGTATCAAGAAAAGCAGTACGATACTATCAAATTGTTTTCATGGAAAATAATTATGCTGGCATATTGATGCAACTACAAAATTTCTACAAAAGATTCCTGATAGAAAAAAGGATTAAGAAATATTGTATGAACAATATTCGGCACTAAATTCATTTACGAAGATGGCCTTTAGCCTAATGGACATTTTCAAGGCAATGTGCAATTTCTAGAATGGATTCCTCCCTGAATAATGCATCAGAAATGCAGCAGGAAAATCGGCAGTAAATTAATTTATTGAGACTGCCTGAAGCCGACTGATTCCTGAGGAATAATGCGTCAGATGAAGAAGCAGTATGGAAGTGTTCTGTCCAAAAATAACCAATGAAGACAGTCTCCATCTAACTCTACATATTTGAGAAATGAAGAGAAAAGCGAATAATGTAGAAAATTTGACTTTTTTTTGGCATAAAAATCGTATATTGAATACGAAACACTGGAAATGTTGCAATGGTGGAAAAGAATGCATTTTACTTGGAGTGTGTACAAACAAGTCGACGAGCATGAAATATGTCTGTACAGAGAATCAAGATTGCTGTGATTGTTAACAAATCGAAAGTAGGATCAAACGCCGGGATTTAAGGATTGTTCTGGTCTACGAACCCATACTGAAGAAATAAATCGAAGTAATCTCAAAATAAGCCGGAAATTCTAGGACAAGTCGGAGAAGTGGAAATATAACTTTTGTTTCCCCAAAAACGTTTATTTCCAAACATCGACTAACAATACAACCAGTCGTCAAGGACACCTGTATGACTCAGTATAAGCATTAGCGGAGAACGGCGGTAGAAATTCACTTTGTTATGAACCAAAGGATCGTTTTTTAAATAGAGATTTTACTTTCCTTCGATCTAAAAATATTTTACAACCTCCAACTACAGAACAATGGATGTCCTGTCTGTTGTGCAAAGATAAGTCATGCAACAATATTTCCCGGAGAACTGCAGAAGGATACAAAAGCCTTTTTAAAAAAAAATCAAATTTTACTTTCATTCAAAATCGATCGCCGATCTCCGAAGTTCCAGTAAATAACTGCTAATACCGTACAACACAATGCTATAAAAGGTCTTTGAAACTGAGGATTAACATTGAATTTCGTTACGGCGCAGGACGAGATTTATGCGGCTGAACATTTTTTTTGTATGGAGGTCCTATCTGTTGTCCAAAGATTAGTCATGCAAAAATATTTCCCGGAGAACTGCAGAAGGATACATTTTTTAACGCAAATTTTACTTTCATTTAAAATATACCGTCAATCTCCGAAGTCACTGTAAATAACTGCTACCGTACAAATAATGTTTTATAAGGTCTTCGAAACTTCGGAATGACATCAAATTTCGTTACGACGAAGGACAAAATCATTGTAATCGAAGGACCATTTTGAAAGATTCCTTCGAGAACAGAAAAAAACCATTCAAATGCGACTACATTAGGAGAAAATCAAATCTACTTTAAAATATTTCAAATAAATTATGCGAAAGGATATAAATATTTTGCAGTATACGAACTCCATAAAACATTACGATCAAATTTTGAAGGATCCATTTACAATTTGTCAACGTTGATGGTCATTTCTTTCAAGCTAAGATGTTTTATCAACACCACCACAACAGCATTTCCTTCTAGATTTTATATGTTATGGAGACTATAGATCGTATTTATTGAATTCTCGTAACTGTGAGGAATGCTGTATATGAGGAAAACAACCAGATCCTACGAAATGAAATTTTGTATAGCAATGGAGTTTAGAGAACATGTCCTGATCCTGGAAATGATATGATATGATAGAAATGCAGCAAAAGGAAATCGCTTTGAATTTGTCATAAATATTGAGCATGACTTCAAATACAACAACAATACATCGTATTTATTGAATTCTCGTAACTGAGAGGAATGCTGTATAGCATTTCAGAGAACATGTCCTGATCCTGGCAATGATATGAAAGAAATACAGCAATTTGTCACAAAGAAAGTAAACAAAACATTAAATAAATCCCTATGCAGCATGATTCTTAAGGCAAACCAAGAATCAACCACACTTCGTTAGAAAGAATGTGAATTAAAAAAGGGACATTACACAAAAAAAAAAAAAGAAAAAAAAAACCAAAATTCGAAGAATAAAAATGAACTACTTTGAAAATCAAGTGCCATAATTAAAACAAACAACAATATGGACAATAATAATTTCAAAACATATAACAAATAATACAAAAAAAGAACTTGAGCAAATGCCCCCCAAAATTAGCCCACCAAAAATTCACAAAATCAAATATGCATTTTCAGATAAAAAAAATATATATTACACCTTGCTCTCCCCCACCACCATATTCGCATCATCATTATCACAATAATAATAATAAACAAAAAACAATTTAGTTAGGAGCAGTGCAAAACAAATATTTATTTCAAATTTTCCTAGCACCATCCCCCTTTTCCCCTCCCCTTTGTAACACCACAAACCCTCTCATTACCTTTTCAAAAAAATGTTTTTAATTTATTATTTTCAACCTTTTAATTTATTGTTTTATATGTGTGTCCAATAGTTTTTTATTAATATTTTTTTTTGTTATGAAACGAATTTTGTAATTTTCAAACAAAAAAACCAAAATTGTTAACAAAAAAATACCAACAAAACACACATGTTAATTTTTAAACAAAATGTACACACACAAAAATATGTTTACAGCTATAATATGGAGAATAAGAAACTAATAACTTTTGTTTTTCTTCTCTGAGAAAATCGATTGAAAACAACAACCAACAACATCAACAAGATCGTCACACACAAGACAGAGGAAAAGCACAACAGCAGAAATACGGCAACTATGGTCCTCCAGTTTATATCTCAACAAAAGGCTGCTGCAATATGGTCATCAAAGTCATGTCCCATCTCTGCCATGGAAACCAGCCATAAATTCTTGAAAATCGTCAATAATCTGCAGCTCAACGACAGTCATCACCAACTAGCCAGCCGTAAGCATGTAAAAACAAAATATCCATAATTATTAATATTAAATTCCTCTCTCTCTCTGTCTATGGTTAATAAGTAAAAAAAAGAAAAAAGGAGGATGTTTTAATCATGTCCTCCTTAAAAAAAAAACAGAACAGAAAAGAAAAGAAAAATTAAAAAAAAAACAAATATTTGTATAGAACAGAAAAAATTGCCATTATCTTTAATGTTAAATACTACTTCTCTCTATTTCATTATATTTTTTTTTGGTGTCCCAACAAAAACAATGAATTTATGTACAATTAATTTATTTTTTTATGTTTAAAAACAAACTACTTTCCTTCATTTATAGCATAAATTTATTGTTATTATTATTAATTCATATTATTCTCAGTTATCATTACACCTTTTCTAGTTTGTAAGTTCATCTATTATGTATGTAGATAGTGTACCTAGGATATATATTATTTTTTATTATTATATAATATTATTATTAATTATTGTTAATTATTTTCTAATGTTTTAATGGTTAAGTGAATTTCAAAAAACAAAAGAAGAGAAGAGGAGTTACAAAATCATCTGCCCTCCAAAATCATGTGATGGCAGTGCGCGCATGGAAGTGTTGCCTTCGTTAATA